AGTTTCCCTTTATCTTAAGTTCCCTCATTTTTAGTAGCAAGCCGAGGCAGGTCTACCCTAGTAAAAATTGTATTTTGTTATGAATTAAAAACATTATATTCTGTGTATAGTGAGTACCTCAAATATTGAATTCAGTTTAGTACAAGTTTCAAAATTGACAGTAAAAAAACTACTGATCTATGAAATTGCTTTAAAATTCATATATTGATATTTTAACTTGTTTTAACTTGAAAGCTACTACTATGAATGTAAATACATTGTGAAAAAGTTGTAGAGTTAAGAATTCTGCATTTAGTGATTACTTTTTTATTTTTATTTTTTGTTTGATCAATTTTATAAAATTTATATATAAATCCTGTTTTGTTTTTTTAAATTATATTATGCTGAGGTGAAAAAGGCATCAATTAGTTTAAACACCAGTAATGCAATACTTTGAAGCTGTAATAACCAAATGTTTAGGAATCATTACTTTAGTTAGAGTAGGTAGGTTATACCTGCAGAATTAAGTTGAAAATTAGTCAGGAATTAAAGAATGAAGAAACAATGTTTCCTGGTGATGTTTGAATTGCTGTGCGAGGAGCCCATGTGTAACTTTTCTACATGCTCTGTATTTTTCCTGGTTGTTGTACTGGTACTGGTGGGAAGAATTAGTCCAGCATGATTGATCTGTATAGAACTGTGGATGGTAACAAGATTTACAAAAATAAATTATTAAAGAACAATAATAAAAGACTTATTTTAATTGAATTTTGATAAGTATTCTTCATATTTTATTACATAAGTTTAAAAAATAGTAAATTTTGTAGTAAAACTTCAAGGTTTGTTTTATATGCCAGTTCTACACTACAAAATATATTCAACTATTAAGCAATATATAAAATTAGTTAACTTATAATAACATTTTATGTAAATCTAAATCATTATTATTATTACTTTTTTCACTTTCAAATTGTGATATTTGTTGTGCATATTTAGAAGCTGTTGCATTGAACTGAATTTTCGTTTTATTCTAAGTAAATTTCACTAAGAAATGGCATCTGGAGTAGTTAATCTACATCCATTACCTTGTTAAATTGGGATATTTCATGAAATAATTATTGTTATAATTATTATTCTAGTTTTTTCTTTGACCTCTGATATACTACTAAAGTACTCTTTTTATTTATAATAGATTTGTGAAATAAAATATTTAATAGAGGTATAATAAATATAACTTTCTTGCAAAAATAATGAAATTTATAAATTAGTAAACTTTTAGTTAGTTAAAAAAGTATTAAAAATAGTATAAAGAGTAAATAAAAGAGAATTTTAGTAATTACTATTAACAGTAACATAAAAAGTATTTCAATAAAGTCTACTTTTTAATATAGTAGTAATAATTAGCTATCTCCTTAAACTGATACTTATTTTTGTTTTTGTGGTATGAGAATTTTTGTTATGAAAAATTAAATAAATAAAACTTGGCAATTGCCTAAATCATTTTGATGAAAAGTTTAATAATAGAAATAGGATTAGCAAATAAAAAATATTTACCAGTTTATTAAAATACATCACAGTTCACAGGGAAAAAAATCAATAAAAGCTTTGTAATTATTTTTGTTTAGAACTCCATGTCCTTAAAGCTTATTAAATAAAGAATTTTTCCAATAGTAAGAAATTAGTAGTCTAGAAGGAGGCTTATTAAAAAAATCACAAATAGTCCATGATTTTATGAGACTGAACTTAGCGTTATATAGCCCCTTAAAATGGTTTTGATAAAGACAAATTCTGCTTTGTTTTTGGAGGAAATTCTGTCTAATTCATAAGATATTGTAATAATCTAAATTAAAAATTGTTTAGTTATATTTCTTTTTTGTTTTGTTGTTGTTTTATCACCTTGAATATTAAAGTGATTTTAATGTCGATACAGTGACACAATATAAACAAATGTGTAGAGTGATAGTTCTAAATACTTTTTATATCAAATCCACTATTACTTTGTAGTGTACGCAGTCAGCTTCAGTTTGATCTCTGATAGAGCTTGTTCCTTTCAACAGTTTATGAGAAATAGTTTTTAAACACAAGAAATTTTTATTTTGGGATTTTATATTAGCAAATATCATAGAAATTCTTAATACTATGAGTATTTTATAATAACTATCTTAATGTTTACAGTTTTCATGGTATGTGTTTATATAAAATTCCAACATTGTGATTTTTCATGTTTCAAAAAACCAAAGCAGTTTTCCTTGAAAAATTTAATTTAAAGAGCTCTATCGGAGCTTAAACTAAAACTTATAAAATTCAGCGAAAAATCATTTATGATAATTATCCTCGTGGGAATAGCTGTTTCCTTATAATTTGCAAACGGGCACTATTGGGGTGAACACTTAACTGTTTAAATTGTACAGTTTTGTATATCTGTTTCAGAACTGGATTGTTTCTGTATCTGTTGCAAAAAACTATAAAGAACAAATGCAAAAACAAATTAAGAATAGTGAAACTATATATTCACTACTAAGGAATACAAAAATATACAGCAGATGAAAGCTATGAAGATTTATTAATTCTGGATTAGTAAAAATTAGACTGTGTACAACAAAAATATTAAGAAAAAAATAAGATGACATAAAAATTATGAGATTCTCGTAATATACGTTGATAGTCATAAGTAATAGGTGAATGATGAGAATAAAGTATATTACATAGTGCATGGTTAGCTGGTGTCTGACTGAATAGCAATTGGAATTAAGAGTGTTTTGATTCTGGATGAGGTAGGAGCATATTGAATTTTGAGAGGGAGAAAATGCTAAGAAGTTGCAGAGCAGTAAACTAGTAGTTTTAGAATGAGATAGATCTGTGAAAAGAACCATCATTAAAGTCTGAAGATGAAGAACAAAACATGGATTGCCTGGCAACCTCATAAACCTAAGACCACAAGTTCAAATCCCTGTGCCGGGGAGGACTTACAACTTTCGACATTAATCCCCTGTCCTCTCTCCTGACCTTAGAAAACACAGTATAGCCTGCAAGGCCAGAAAGGGGATGAAAAGAAAAACAAATTGAGATCTTTTGGTAAGAAAATGGGCTGAGGACTAAAATTAGAGGAGCTAGTAGTTATGATGAAATGTAGGACCATGGTTGTTGATAATTAGATAAAGGAATGTACCTATGAAATACATTTCGTTTGTCTTTAGAAGGAGAGGAAGGAAGAGTCACTAACTTGGCATAGCAGTGGAAACCCTGGGATCCCATAGATAATTGTTTCAAAACTGTTCATAATTGTCTTTATGCTGTTGTTGAAATCCATCAAGAGATCACTATAGGTCAAAGTGAGGTAAGATGAAAGGGGAAACTAAAAGTCTATGTTTAAATGTAGGTAAGACATGGAAGCGATGAAATAGTTTGATAGTGAAAATTGACAAATGGGAAATAATGCGAATCCAGGAGTGGGTTTGGTCAATGATAAAGCTTAATTTCTTAACCGAGGAGTATAAAGTGATGGGGTTGTCATGTAACTATAATATGGGAATGTTGGTATTGGATCCGGGAAGGGGCTTGAAACCAATGAAATGCTTTGGGTTCTTGCTGCATTTAAATTCAATCTGTTTAAATTTATTCAGGCACTAATCCAATCTCAATAGTCTCAAACTACAATTACCTTAAAAAGAGAAAAGGATAAATAGATTTGGAAGATATACTCGAACCCTGGGCAACTCCTGAGAACAAATATTTAGTATATTAATGCAGTAATATTTAGAAATAGCTATCGAGATTGTCGCAATTCTCAATATGGAGAACCCTTGTGGCATTGCCAAAAGGTTGGAATCTCTGCTCTAAAAATACAAACATAATATTTTTGTTTTATAATATTCTATTCAAATCTTTATTAGAAAATTTAATAAAGTTAAATTAATTAGGTTTCTTTATCAAATAAAATTAGGTTTCTAAGTATAAAAATTAAAGCTTCAAAATTTGTTCCATTTTTTGATCCATTTTCAACATCTAGTTGTTTTTGATAGAATTGTTTTCTATTCTAGGAACCAGAGTGCGAAGTATTGATTAATTAATGTCAAGCTAAAACATTTTTCAGCCCTAAAATAAAAGCCTTAAGCTTAAGCTGAAATATGTACATTAGTTTCAGAACCTCAAACGATTTACAATGCAAAATTAATATATTTTTTTAATCTATTAGAAATAATTATGCATTAAAAATTGAAAGTTTCTGATAAAAACATTTTGTCTGGGAGTGAATTTGACAAGACAAAGTCATGATAATTGCATCTTATTCTGTCGACAACTTCATAATTAATTCTTGTCATTCTAAAAGCAAATTAAAACTGTTTTAAAAAAATTAAGTGGTGTTAATGCCTTTCAAACACTTCATAGATGACAGTGAGTTATTGCTAAATATAGGAGTATGCTTTTATTGGCTTTCTCTAATCTTATAGGAAGAAATTAGTATTATTAAGCTATTCAAAAGTTTTAGCTTGATATTAATAAGGTAATTTTTTATATATTAGCTTCTGGATGTTTTATTCAGACTGTTATTTTTACATTTAATTGACTTTGAAAATTCCTCTTCAGCATATATTTGTATTAATGGATGATGTAGATGAATTTCTGCCCACAATAGAAACAAAGAAAATTATTTTTATTATTTTAAAACGATTTTTGTCAATTGCATTGAAAAACAATTAACATTTAATCTGCAATTATCTTTTATTTTTAAATGCATGAATGATTTAGCTTTATAGATGAAAGAATGGATCCAAATAAAGATATGGCTGCATGATTTTTTTTTCTTTTTAATGTTTTAACTTTTTTTTTATTTTATTCTTACATAAGTTCATTAATTTATTTGTCTTTCAATTTTGATTTATCTTTTTTATCATTTTTTTATCTTAATTTATGATTTTGTTTTATGTTATTTATCAAGCCATTTTTATTGTTTTAATTTTATAATTTTTTGTCTCTTTAGTTTTTGATGTTATCGTTTTGCATGTTTTACTTTTTCACAGGCGTGGCAAGACGGTTTGAGAAAAATCACTCATAATAACAAGATGAACAATGTCTGCCCCAGCACCAATCTTATGAAGCAGTGAGTAACAATAAAATTTAGGGCATCATTCTTAAATTAATTGTTTAGTTTTAAAAGAAACTAATCACTAGTCTGCTTTTCACGCCTTGAATGTGTTTCTATTGGTGCTCGGTGTAACTGCTCACATCTGCAAAGGCCCTCCTGTTGTTAGTTCAATTTCTAATCTATTATATTTTAAATTTTTTCAGTTGGATGAGGCTCGGAATGTTAGTAGATCCAAAGGGTAAGGTGCCTGTCAAAGTTGTAGCTAGGACTTTTGCTTCAGGTAAAACTGAAAAAATGGTTTACCAATGCCTTCAAGATCTTGGCCTACCTTCTGGGAAGGTAAGTAATTTTCTGAGAATTTTTATGTTAACTGCAATTGCCTCTATAAAATATTGAAGAAAAAGAAAATCCAGATCATTGTAGTTTAAAGAATGATTCTCAAAAGAAGAGCAATGTTTTATATCTGATTACTCATGTGCTTCACAGTGAGCCTAATGTCCGGGGAAATTATTTGAAAATGAACATTACTTTGTACATGTAGTTTATTATAGCTACATTATTTATTGGTGAAGTCACTTATTTGGAAAATCAGCATCTGTTTTGAGAAAGACATTGAGCTCAAGCATTAAGCTTAGTATATCTAGAAAAATAAGAAACAAAGTCGAATATGCTGTGTCATTGCTAATACTGTTTTGGTTTCAATGATTTTTTTTTTCTGTTTTGTAGGAATTTAAATGCAACCCTAATTTAATGAATGAATGAATTTAAATATGGAAACTGTATACCACAGGTGGGGAACCTTTTTATCATTAGATGCCGTAGTAAGGTTAGGCAGTGCTCACGGAGGCAGCACGAATTCTTTATATTTTACCATTTCGGTTTTTATTTATCAATAAATACACACACCTACATGCATACATTCAACTTAATTCTATTAATTTCCAAATGACGGTTACTTAAATAATTGAATATTAATTAAATCTAGCACTATATTAATAAATATCACACAAAAAATTTAGAGACCACATGGGACCTCTGAGACAGCTGTTCCCTATAATGAAATTTTGACCCGATTACGATATTTCTCTTATCTAGTGGTAGGAAGGAAAAATATATATGGTACGAGATGGTTATTTTTTTTTTCTGTTAAGTATTAAGCACTAACCCTATTCTACCTGCTGCATTTCGGACTCACCACTTTTCTAATGCAAATAGGGGGTTCCAGAAATCACATTTATTTCTGTATTTAATATTTATATATTTCTATCAGTTCCAGAAGGAAACCGCTCTACTTAAAAATATGTTAATTAGGTATTTGAAAGATAAATATCACAGACCCTCTGCTGTAGTATTCTAGATTGAAGTTTAATTTCTATTGGTTTCTTTTCTAAAGGTATCATGTTTGAAATTTGCTATTTGTTACTATATCTCTATTTTGTGTCATGCAAGAAAGGTTATTAAAAAATCAAGATTTAATCAATAAGTAATCTATTTCTGATCTAAAACATTTGAAATAATACATATGTACATACATACTGATATAATACATATAGAACTCTTTACTGGAGAATGCTATATGTGAGCAGGGTTGATTAAACTATTATTTTTCTGAGCTATTTCTTCCTGGTGTCTGTTGCCGATGTCATTTCGAGGTCTGTTCTTAATTTTCTCTTCCCCTGGACCATCATATCTGAGGTCTGCTTCATTTGAATCGTTCTTGCCAGCGTTGATCCTCTACTCCTCTACTGAGGTTTTACGTATAGAGGTGAGTAATGATTAGCAAAACAAGTAAGCACGCATTATAAAGGATTGGATTGTTTAAGGGAAGCAGTTCTATGAGAAGGAATGTGCAGATTTGTTAGCAGAGGTTAGAGAATGGATAGAGAAACAAGGAGTATTAATAATTTTAAGATCATATAAGGTAGAATTACATTAAGATAACATACCATATAACATCCCGCTATATCCTGTTTATATAAGCTAATTCATACGTTGATCCTCTACTCCTCGACTTTCCTGTACCTCTGGCTGTCTCCAACTCTCCTCTCCAGGCTTGGCTTCTCCTATATTTTTCTATCTACCAACAGATCTTGCAGTCCTCTTTCTATTGTTTCCTACAATTTTACATCCATCCTTTGTTCGGCTTTTTTGTTTGTCTCTAGAACCTTTTACAATATTGTAATGGAATCCATTTGACTTTATTACATCCTCACCCGAGTGTCGTCCGAGAACCTTATTTGAGCAGCAGGACTAGGTGGGTCGCTAAGGTAGCCTTGTTAGTCTGACCCTGTCTTGCATGTGCTGGCAAATTTTATAATTTTTCTTTAGGCTATCTATTTAATTATATTACACCGATGGGTAGTTTCTCTTCATGTTGTACATGTCTTGTTACTTGTTTCATATTTACTTGTTGTATTTATCATTTAATACAGTTGTAAATTTCAATAATAAAAAAATAAATTATTATTTTTCATGCTTGATTAAATAATCATCGAACCATTGTTCTTTTTATTTTCCCTTTCCCTAAGACAAAAGTTACCATTCTCATTAATGTGATCTCTGATCCTTCATTATTTCTTTATTGATTAGAGGCTTTTGTTTTGGAATTTCCCAAAAATAACCCACTTTTTTCTATATATATAAAAATGAATGTATGTCTGTCTGTTTGTTCTTTATGCATTACTAAACCATTCATCCGATCGCCATGAAACTTTGAAAAGTTGTTCGGTACACTCCTGGGAAGGTTTCTGGCATAGTATTTCTGTCTTATGATAATTTTATATATGTAAAAAAAATGAAAATGTAAATGTTTTTTTGGTTCAAAGCTGCAAAAAAATGAAATGAAATGAAAATATATTTTATTATTCTGGGACTGTTGACCCTTTAGAACAAATTATAAGTGCTAAATTCATGTATAAGTGGTCATAAATAGAGTGGATGTCTACAATATGGTTATTTAAAACAGTAAAAATACAGACGAAAAGAGAGAAAAGACATAAAAATCTTAAATATACATACATAATAATCGTACATAATGCAAACAGAGAAAACTAAAATAACAGAAATATTTTCTGGGGGTAGAATATTTATAATATTTACAGCAGATATGGAATTCCAGAGTGAGGCGGCTTGAATTGCAAATGATTTGTTTATACGCAGCAGTTTGGTGAGGAGGTGGAAAGAGGTCGGAAATGCGAGATCTAGTAGGATGGGATTGGATGGAGTATTTAAATTGTAAGCTATGGAAAATGTAGGAGGATCGACGAGTTCTAATGATCTGGTACAGAAAGGTAGGTAGGAAGTACTGACAGCCATAGGATGGATAGAGCCACTTTAACTTAGTGTAATACTGGGTAATATGCGTATCTCTTGAGATTCCGAAAACAAAACGTAATGCACAATTCATTAAGCGTTTAAGTTTGGCCTCGAGATCTCCTGAGAGTCCACCTTACACCATACAGCCATAGTCAAAGTGGGGGAAACAAGAGAGGAAACTAGGAGTTGATGGGACTTATGTGGAAGGAGATAACGTAGGCGATTCAACTGTTTTAGAGTGGTGATAGTGCAACGGGAAATTTGGGAGATGTTTCCAGTAGAGAGTCTGATCAAAACCTAAGTTTTTAACGGTAGTACGGAATAAGATAGGTGAGTTGTTCAGGAGAAGATTCAGGGATGTCGGGAAGGATTGGAGGAGTGTGAGGGATCCAATCAAGATGGCTTTCGTTTTCTTAGCGTTCAGAGTGACCCTGTTGAGGTTTGCCCATTCACTTATTCTATTAATATCTTCTTGAATTTTTAGAATAGCATCTGAGGAATCGGTCGGATTGAAGGAGAGGTAAATGTGAACATCGTCGGCATACAAGTGTTATTGACAGTGCAGAATTGAGGATAGTGATAGGGCCATATGGCCGGAGCTGTGATTCTGTCACTGTGACTGGGCCGGAGCTGGTGATCACAGTGACAGGCGCTCCGAAATCACAGTGACAGGCGCTCCGAAATCACAGTGACGATCACTGTAGGCCAACAGTGACGATCACTGCTCCAACAGTGACGGTCACTGTTGGCGCTGTCAAATCACTGCTCTGACCACTCCGCTCTATCACTTATTTTTCGTTCTAGCAGTCTGGGCATTTTTGACTTCATTAATTTAATAAATGAATTAAAGAAATAATTATTTCTAAAATAATAGTTATTCATCAAATTTTATTGAAAATACTTTTTGAACTTCAGATGAATTGAGCATTCATTGCCATATATTTCTGAATGAGTTATGTCTGAAATAATTATCAGGAAGTTTTTCATTTAACTGTTGAAATATAAATACAAAAATTAATTAAAAATTAAATAAATTCAAATATTCTCTGCAGGACTGTACACAGAAACCAAGGGATCCCAGAGATATTTTCCTCCATCAAATATAAAATTTATCACAGGAAAAAAAAAATTATTTTAATATAAGTTTAAACATGTAAACTATAATTTCACAGTGACGCTTTCGCCAAGTAGCCATTGTATATTTGACACCGGAAAAAATCACTGTAGTGACAAATCACTGTGATTTGTCACAGTGATTTTCCCGTATCTGTCACTGTCGGAGCTGTGACAGAAAATCTCTGTCACACCCCATCACTAATTGAGGATGGGAGGTCATTTATATAGATGGATTTATTAGGAGGATGTTGTGGTCTACTGAATCAAAAGCTTTAGAGAAGTCAATGAGAATAAGGATGGTTAGTTTCTGCTGATCTATGGCTGTATGAAGGTCTTGGGAAATTTTGATTAGGGCAGACTGAGTGGAGTAGCCAGACTGGTAGAGGTTTAGGAGATTATTGTGCTTTAAAAAATGAGAACTGGAATTGGGCTAGTCGTTCCAAAGGTTTGGAGAGGTTTGAAAGAAGGGAAATTGGACGGAAATCATTAAGGATTGATGATTTAGAGGTCTTCTTCAAAGGGCGTACTAGGGCGGTTTTCCAGGAAGTAGGTAAGGTGGCATTTTGAAAAGAATAATTATAAATATGATAAAGGATCGGAAGAATGGATGATAGTGGGGCTTTGATCAGTCTGACTGGAATGTTATCGGGACCATAATCATTAGTATAGGATTTCTGAATGGAGTTTAGGAGATCATCAGGGGTAATGTGGAAAAAAAGAAGTGATCAGGATTAAAAGAGGAAAACATAAAAATGTGTCGCTATAAACTGTAGCGCCAAAACGGCTTTAACGATTTTAACGAAACTTGGCTAAAGTGTTCTCCTTGAAACCCTTTTAATTTATGTGTGTCACATACTTTCTTGAAAACAAGTTGAAAAAATGTTACGATGAATTCAATATTTTATTTGCCGATAACTAAAAAAATACACAATTTTGATTGATAATACCCATATTTATTTGAAAGATTCCTGAATTGCCAACAAAATTTTTAAAAAATCGCCGAAATTGAATGATTCGTTGCAGAGTTATAGTTATAGAGTTTTAAACATTTACTACTTTCTCTTCAGAAAAGACCATTTCTTTTTTTTTTTTTTTTTGTTATTGATTAATCAGAAGTTTTATTATTACTACAGTAATTGAAATTATCATTTGAAGAAGATTTGATTCTCCTTATGTACGTCAATACTATTATACACTCTTTATATTCATTTTTTATTTTCCTCCCAATGTATTCTGGAAGTAGTATGACACATTTCAAATATTTCATTTGCTATTATTTAACTCTTGAGTAATACTTATCACCGTTTATGTTCCTTTTAGAAATAGTTTTTTATTGATTTCAGTTTATTTTATTTTTTAATAAATTATTTTCTCTAACATTATGTTGAAATAAGGTTGTGCTGTTTACCGTAGGAATTCTTTCATGAGTATGGTTTATTTTTCCACTACAATTTTTGCAACTCTATTTTTAATCAAGTTGTTATTAAGAAGAAACAAGATCAACTATCTTAGGTAGGGTATGCGAAATCTTTTGAGGAAGGTAGAAGGTAGTTCTAATGCACATGAAATGAATGCTATGATAAATGGTGTAGCGCAATTTCAATGCATTGCCACGATTGATATTGAAAATCTTTAACATTGAAACAGTATCGTAAAATATTGTGAACTACATCATTGCTTTTACATCCAACTGATAGTGTGTTTTTAATAAATATGTATAGTTTCATCTTATATTTTATAATAGTAGATATATTAAACCACGCGCGTATTTAAATGCAATATTAAGCCAAAATATCAATGCAATGGGTGAAGAACTTTCTGAGATTTAAGAGTTTAAACAGCCAAACATTTACATTTTTATTTGCCATAACACAATGTTGAACATTAAATATAAAAAAAAAATATATATATATATATAATAATCCATATAATATATATAATAATCCATTTTGCCAGGCTAAGCCGTCATCACGTGGCCGGGTAAAGCTAGTATTATATAAAAACAAATTTGAATTTGTCAAGATTTTTCTTGCTTTTTATAATATTTAGCTTCTTATCGCCAGCGAATTCTCCGATGTTGAGTTGTTTTCTATATAATGTATAAAATAGTATCTTTATAAAATATAAATATTTATAAGATTATTATTCTGTTATTTAGTGTTTTGTTTTAACAGTTGTACCAAGGTAGTTCTCTTGTTTACAGAATGACGTGATAGAACCAGCAGATTTCACTTTTGACAAATTTTATGAACTTTATCACAAGATATGTCCTCGTAATGACATTGAAGAACTTTTCCAATCTATGTAAGTGTCTGTTGCAATTAATCCATTGGTCATTTTAACAATGATTTATTTTTTTTATAATTTAACTATATGTTATTTGATTAGAAAGTTAATGTACTCAAAAAAGTCTAACTCTGGGTAGTTTAATACCCGTGCCAGGTTGTATGGATCTCTACATCATTATTTATTTATAAAAATAGTTAATTCGATGGAAAATGTTTTCATTACTGTCCACTGGGTTATTTTTAATTTCACTTACCTATATATGTAATATATAGTAAGAGAAAGTATTGCTATCATGAAAATTTTAAGTCTGAGTTTTCAACGGAAATACACGTTTTGAGGTACCCTGAGTCCAAATAACCAAGTCCTGAAAAATGGGATCTGTGTGTTTGTGAAAACTAGCTCGAAAACAAAAAGTCGTACGACACTGATATTATGTATTTAAGATAGGTATATGCCTTAGATGTAACAGCAACTTGATGAATTTTCACTTTGTGAAATCCCAACATTATCCACTTTCAATTAGTGTGACAGTTTTTGACCTATTCATGGCATGCAATGAAAATCTCGTAATTTCCTTTTAGTAAACTTTACAATGGGAAATAACAACAGTTTAATAACTAATAGTCCTACAATCCATAATCATTTATAGGTTAAATATTCAGATGTACTTTCAAAAATCTCTGAGCCTTTCGTTTGACAGAATGGCAAATTTCAACATTCTTTATTATTAATTTTAGTGATGTTTCTAGTGACGAAATCTTTACCTTTATTCACAGTTCTATATTTCAACACTGCAATCACCTACTCTGGAATCAACTTACTCACTGTCAGTATAGATAAGTTTTTTAACTACAAATATCACTAAAGTGACATTACTCAAAAATTTCGAAATTGAAGTTAGTCATTCTGTCAACTGAAATCAACTGAAAGGCTCAGAGACTGAAGTTGTGTGGTTTATAAAAGCAGATGGAGTAACGAGATTTTTATTGCCTACCGTCAATATAATAAATAGATTTTTGTGATTTTAATGGTCTTAATGATTTGTTATCTGTAAGCTTTAAGCTTTAGCTCCTTTTAAAATGCACTACAAAAATTTTCTAATAGCCCAACATTGCCAGAAAATAATTTCTATTTAAAGTTGTGTGTTGCTAGCACCAGATTTTTTCTGGGTAGTGAATTAGATTGAGCCATCAGTCTCGGAGCATTTCATTGCAGCATTGGATGTGTAATACTCATTCGGGTGGAGTCAGCTAATTGAAGTGGTTTTGCATATGGATTAAAATATCTCAGGAACTAAAAATCGGACCTGCATACTGTAAGCAAAGAAAATGATTAGCATTTCATCCTCTTTCTAATGAGCTATTATTCAAAATTGTATCTTAACATGACGCCGTGTATCGTGTCGAAATCCGATTGATAATAAGTTTAGTTGAACATATAGATTAAGATCTCAGAAACTAAAAATCAGACCTGCATAATGTAAACAAGGTGAATTTTCAGCATTTCATCTTCATTGTAATGAGCTATTATTCAAAAGTGTATCTTAACGCGATGCCGTGTCAGAAAGGCAAAAAGGGAAAAAATAGTGTCGGAAATAAATTGATAGTGAATTTTGTTGAACATATATATGAATTAAAATAGCCCAGAAACTAAAAATCGGACCTGCATAATGTAAGCAAAGTGAATTTTCAGCATTCCATCCTCTTTGTATAATAATAATAATAAGGCCTAGCGAATCCGAACCGCTGTTTCCAGCCAGTACAGAGCATATCATTTTTTTAGGAATTCTTTTGTTACTAAGCCCAGCGATTTTTATGCACATTTTATTCGCCTCGTCTTAATCACCTCAATTATATTAACCGGATACAGTTCACGCAATTCGGCCTTGTGTAACCACCTAAATTCTCCGGTTGACTCGTCCTTTTGAGGTCCGAATATTCTGCGCAATACTTTATTTTCAAAAACTAAGACATTGCTCATCCGTAATGTAAGCGGCCAAGTTTCGCATCCATGAAGAACCATAGGAAGGATAATGGTTTTGTAAATTCTAATTTTTAAGTTTCGGGACAGGAGACGAGAACTAAGTAATTTTGACAAAGAAAAATAACAAGCATTTCCCGCCTTCAGCCTAACCTTAATATCCTTCAATTTCGTTTTTTTTTTAGTTATCGTAGACCCTAGATACCTAAAATTCTGTACGTGTTCAAACACATTCCCTTCTATATCAATATCATCAAAATTGTGGCTGTCTTTGCAGCTAACCATATATTTTGTCTTATCTGTATTTATCTCAAGTCCTAGTTCTTTACCATGCTATCCTCTTTGTAATGATTTATAAATCAAAATTGTATTTCGATGAGATACCGATTTAGAGAGTCAGAAGGGAAAACGATAGTGCCCAAAAATACAATAAGAACGACTGTTTTGAACATTTGGACTAAAATATTTCAAAATTTTAGTACCATAGAGAATTCAATAACTGATTTTCAGAAGTCAATATATATATTTTCTTCAATTAGCCACAAAAATAAGAAATAAGAACTTTTCTGTTCCACTCGATAGAGTTTCAACAACTTGCTAACTTTTGTTACAGAAGTTATATTAAAAAAATGTGGTGTGGTGTGTGCCTCTCACAACTTTCACCTACCAACCGAGTAAATAAATATTTTCTTATAGCAAATCAATGTGAAAAGAGTATAACTTCATTTGAAACAAGTAATTATCATGTTTTTTTCTGGCTATCGAATCAGTTAAATTTATACATTTGCATCACTTTCCATTTCGTTTTACAATTGTATATGGTATCAAACAATACTAATGATTATGGGGAAAATGGATCTTTCGGAAAAAATGGATTTTATCGGAATAATTATCACAAAACATGAAAAAATAGTGTTAGTAATATTGAATATTATTAGGTTTATATTAGTAAATACTCAACGTTTTGCCTGAAAACCATTTTAAAAAATGATGTATAAGTAAAACATTAAAGTTAAACTAACAATACGAAAGCCCTATATAGAGGGGTATCTGGTGTCTGTAAAAGAATAGGATCGCCAAAGGTCAGGCGCTCTCAGCTAAACAGCCGAGCTTCCTCTATAACTTCTAACGGATAGCTTCCTACCCTTATTTCCCCTTTATTTACCAATCAATTTTTCATTTTTGTGGTAGACTGTTCTCAGACACACACTCACACACCATTTTGTAGGACTGTGGAAACATATATTTCCATTGAAAACTGAGATTAAACAATTTTCACAATTGCAATACTTTCCCTTACTATATATTACATAGTAAAGTAAAAATGATGCAGTTTTTGGTAGATGTTTAGCAAATAAATTTTGATCAAAAGTATTCTACACATGTTTTAGTTATCACTTTTGCATCAAATTTAGAGTATAATACAAATGCAATCAGTCAGAGCAAAGTTTACTACAGTTATTTATACACAATTATAATTGTATATATTGTAAATGTTATTATTTTATGAATATAGAACAAAAAATACTTTATACACAAAAATAATTATATGTATATATATATTGTAAATGTTATTACTTTGCGAATATAGAACGAAGAAAAATTTATATTTCATATTATTAATCTTGCTTTGTTGATGTTTTCACTTCTATCATGTGGTCTAAAGCACTCACCGTAGTTTTTTTTTTTTTTTCTATTACTGAAATATTTTATTTCCACCTGTAAAATATTACAATTAGCAAACAAATTAATATAAATCATACATAGCATGGGTAGGCATGAGAGAAATAGTATACAGTGGTGCCTCCTCCTTGACATTCAGCTAAATTTTATTGTTACACTAAGAAGTCCCTCATACAACTCCTTTTCAGCCTTCGCCAAGGTACATCAAAAATGTGATTTGTTGTATAAATTTGTTTATAAGTCCATGTAATTTGTCATGAAACCATTAGTAATTCATATGAATGTGTTTTTTTGCAGTCTAAATGCATAAGTTAGTATGTAGCGTCTCGTTCGAAATATATGGTGGTGAGTTTGTTAGCACTCTTAAAAATTGAAATTGGAACATTTGTATTTTTTTAATGTGTTTCTTTTTTGCTGGTCCATAAATTTGGCAGGTGTAGATCTATATGGATTTTAGTAAATAAGTATAAACATTTATAAAGTTTTTTTTCTGGTGGGTAATTTAGAACATCTGTGTTGGATGGAATATAATAGTCTGTCGGAAATTTAGAGTTTTACGTTTTGTCTTGACGTGTGGCCCCCATATCAACCTTTTGTCAAAAATAAGTCCCAAGTATGTTACTGTTTTTGTTTTTGGTATCAGATGATTGTCTATGTAAATTAGAGGACAGGTGTCATGTCACTGTATAAATGTAACGTATTGTGACTTGTCATGGCTAAGCTTAATTTCCTTTTCTTACACCATTAATTTATTTTATCTAGGTTGTGTTGTAATGCCAGAGAAGCATGCATTGGGTCTGTGTTTCTCATAATAATAGGAATATCATCAGCAAAAGTTGCAGTTAATATGGCATCATCTGTCGGTAAGTCATATGTGTATATTAAATATAGCAGTGGGACCTTGAGGGATTTCTGCAGAAATTGGTTTTATTGATGAGGAGATAAATTGGTTTTATTCCCTGTAGTTTGTCGTACAGAGAAGAAACTGTCATAGGGAAATGATTGTGTAGTGAAATAGAAAGCACTTGGAAGAGGGTTTCAGTTTAAAGAGAAAACGTTGGTGCCATACCCTATCAAATGCTTGAGTCACATCTAAAAATGCCCCCAGAGATATATTTTTTAAGTTCAAGTACCGCAGAAATGAAGTCTGTGACTCTGTGTAGCTGGTGTGGAATGAAATATGAGGAATCCGAATTTGTTATCTGTTAATATGTTATGTTCTGTCAGTATGTTAAGGATACGTTCGTAAAATAATTTTCAAAAATTTTAGAGCATACAGTAAGAAAACTAATAGGTCTATAGGATTCAGGTGTAGTAGATAGCCCCCAGTATTTACTCCTTTATGTGACATTGTGAGGGAATGAGAAGGAATATATAGGAATGTGGGGTTACACGATGAATTGTACTCAATTATGCAGTGGACAAATTATTCATGGAAAAGTTTCATATCGATAAACAATCGATGAAGAAGGACGCTGGAAAAAGGACAGAGCAGGTAGCTCTAGCAACAGCTGCAGGAGGACACCGAGGGAGAGAGGAGCACTTGAGGCCTGGACACGAATATGAGAAGACGTCATCTGGGAAGAGAGGCCTACTACATTGAAGACTAAGAATATCAAGCCTACAGTTATAAGATTTTTATACATTAATTTATTACAGTTGTCAAAATAAATCGTTTTATTATATAGGAGTGAAAAGTCATTTTATTTAGTTGTCCTATATGTCTCATGATTGAAGAATAACAAACCAGGTGGGTTAATTCATTCAAAGTATATTTACTAAGTCCCACATTATATATATATTCTTATTATTTCTGGTCACTCAGTGTCACAAAAGGTATCAGATTCCCGAATTCCCAACGAGAGTTAAACACCCTCAAAAAGTCTATATCCAGTGCCGGGGTTTTGTTTTAATAATCACGAGTGTAAATAACCTAGTTCCCTGATAAAAGCGGAAGGCTATTCGCAATTTTCCCCAAAACAAATTATTTGCAATTAAACATTATTAGGTTATTTACACAGGTCTATGTCTATCTTTGTTAGGTTTAGGTATCATCAAAACTGCAGCATATTTCCATCAACGGGAAATCTAGTGTTGTTCTCAGTATAGCATCGTATAAAGTCATGAGAAATGCTAAAGCTTTTTTGGGAGGTTTACGAAGTAACTCGGCAGTAATTAGTTCGTAACTAGGAGTCTTATTTTTTGCCATTTTAAAAATTTCCCTTGATACTCCGGAAGGAGTAAAGGATTTTGGTGGAATAGACTTTGGAAGGGCAATCTAAACATTTCAGATTTTTCACTATCTGACAAAGTCCAGGAGCTATCTTCTTTTCTCATTGGGGCTGATACCTCATGATGTTTTAAAAGACGTTTGGTGTGCCTCTACAGACTCTTGTCATCAGATGTCAAATTTTCAAAATACATGTCAAAGTTAGTTTGTTTTAATTTCGGTATTTCTCTTTTAAGTTCATTGTTAGGTTTGTTATAAGTTTGTCTGTCTGAAGGGAATCTGTGAGCTTGCCATTCCTTTCGTATCCTCTTATTTCTGATTAGATCTCCGATATATTGAAGCTGGCAGGCGAAGTTATTCCCTTCCTTCCTCTAGATCCGTTTCAGTTTTTAGTGCAGTTAAGGCAGTCAATTATTCATTGAGATGTTTACTGAATTGGTCTCAATTCATGATACCTTGGGCCAGCGACAGGCTTTTTTCGGCTAGGAATGTTTCCACTCCCAACATTAGATTCACCGGTAAATGATCTGAGCCAAAATCTGTTTCACCTGTAATAGTGTTCAATTTATTTCAATATTTTACTCATATAATGCAAAACAATTTAATTAAATAAGTCTTTATATGAAGCTTTTATTAAATTGTATATTCTATTACAAATTATAAGGCCAATAAAGACAGTAATATTACTTTTTCTTTTAAGGAATCTATTCTCTGACCAGTTAACTGTCTTTCATTCGTTTTTAAATTTTGAAAAGTAAATTGATAATTAATGAAAATGGTCTCATAATGTATTTATAGAGCAGTTAATATGTTCAGAAAAAATTTTGAAAGATTTTATCCTTGATAGTTTTTTTATTCAAAGAACTTGATTATGTCAAATTATTTCCTTCTTGATGTATAAATAAAAATTGTATCAGCAAGATAAGGTAAAAAGAGTAATCGGATGTTAATTGAAAAATCTTAAAAATTTTAATTTTTAAAATAAAATTTCAAAAATTAGAAAGGAGCAACTTTGGGCAAGAATCTTTTTAAAATTTATCTTTTCCCTGGTAGACAGATGAATATTGAACCAAAAAGCAACAATAAATTTGTGGAGAAGTATTGAGATGTTTTTATTAGATCTTGCAAAGTTAATTTAGATCCATTAACTTTAACGACTTATCACAACTCTCCAAACAATATTTATGATAGATAAAAATTGATATTATAATATTAAATTTAATTACTTATAATGTAATGAACTTTCTAGATAAGTTTGGTTAAAAAAATATTCTGACTTTTCATCATGTGCTGTTTTGAATGCCTCAGTAACTTTATCAACAATAGTTAACAATGAAGGTTAGAAAATGAAGGTTATTATCATTCGGCTTTAATCTGTTATTTTATTTATCTTGTATATTACTTTACCTGTATATATATATATATATATATATATATATATATATATATATATATATATATATATATATATATTTTCTACTTTGGTTATTTATATTTATTTTCCTTTCTTATGTAAATATTGTGTGAATGAATACTATAGTTCTAGTACCAATGCCCTTCAGTGTGGCAGACTATATTAATATTCAATAAAAACATTTTTTAAAAATCTTAAAGATAAAGAATGCTCTGGCAGACTGAACAAGTTTGAAGATAAATAATGGAGAAAAATGACTTCATGGAGACCAATGTCAGACCATAGCTAAGCTTAGTAAGTCATTACTAGTAGATGACACAACTATTTTGAAATGTTTTAAATTATTAGGAATGATCCAGAAACAAGGATATTGGGTGTCGTCTGGGTTGAAACCAAGTGATGTTAAACATTTTTTTATGTTTGAACTACTGCATTACCAGCAGGAAAAAAAATGTGTTTTGCATCATATCTTGTCTGGCAATAAACCTAAGCTTAGAAAATCGTGGGATGAGCTCGGCCATGCTTCAACATCATCCTCAAAGCCTAACATCTATGATTCCTCTGCATTTGTTGGGATCAGCACTGTTTTTTTTTTTTTTTTTTTTTTTTTTTTTTTTTTTTTTTTTTTGTTATGAATTGCTTAAACCGAACAAAACTATCATGGAAGATCGCTAAAATTTATGTGTTTGAGCAGTCACAACAAGGTGATTTTATTACATGACAACGCTTGGTTTCATGTTTTAAAAAACTGGTAAAAACCTACTTGGAAGCTCTTGATTGGGAAGTCTTGCCTCACCTGTCTTTTCACCGGACATAAACCCTTTTGATGATGCCTTATTTGATTCGATGGTACATGTTCCATATGGCAGCTCTTTAATTCTTATTTAGATGGGTAGATTCTTGGATAGCCTTAAAAGACGAGTCATTTTTCTGTCATGGAATCCATATGCTGCCAAAAAAATGAGAGAAAGTAGGTAGTGGTTAGTGTTGGGCAATACTTTGATTGACGTGATTTTTACCACTTACTTTAAATAAAGCATCAATTTTCACAAAAAACAGTGAAAACTTATTCAACATTCTAATACAACTTAAAAGTGCCATTTATTTCTACGGATTACAACTAAGTAGTGTTTGTTATTAAAATGATGAGAGGAAACTATTATAGACCAAAAATCATTTCATTCTTTAGTTGTTGGTAATTCTCAATCGATTTTTTTATTTAATTTTTTTTCAGAACTGAAGGTAAAGCAGATTTCATTAATATTGACCAGTTCATTATTTTTTTGAATGAAAAGCAGCGAGACCCTCGGCTGAATGAAATCTTATATCCTCTTTATGATGAAAAGAGAGCTGCTGAGATTATTGCGACCTATGAACAAAATGAAGAAGCTGTGAAAGAGAGTAAATATTATTTTGAAGCAATTCTTATTTAAACGTAATCATTAATTTAAATTATGTAAATACCTAAATATTAACGCTATAAGTTAGATGATCAGTATTTAATATTATAGTGGATGGCCCACTTTACAAGTGTTTAAGTTATATGGTCATGGAGAAAGACCCACTTCGGGGGAATGTGAGCCGTATCTTCGTACTGTTTCGCCGATTCTCTCTTCCTTGTTCCCCTTGCTTCATTGTTTCTTAATGGAAATGCTACCAGCTTCCAACCCCAATTATAGCACTCGAATTGCTACCCTGGAACAACAGGTCAAATGTTTACATCAGAACATTGTGGGTTGCTGGAATTTTATGTGCAAGCATTTTTGTTTGCTTTGCCTTTGACAGCCATTGGTCTAGTTGTAGAATAGAATAGAAAATATAATAACTTTATTCTGGGACTAAGTCCCCTTAGAATAACAAAGATGAATTAATACAAAATAAAATACAAATCTGGCCAAAAACTAACTTATAAAAATTCTAACATAATATACATTATTTAAAAAGTAGTATGAAACCACGAAGAAATAAACAAAAAAAAGATATAAATACACATATATATATATATATATATATATATATATATATATATATATATATATATATATAGTCACCTCCTGATGGGAATGTGACCATGTGGTTTATAAGTCATCTGTGTCGTTGTAGTTTAATTTATATCACCTAATCAGAATATTATAATAATCTACAGTTAAAACACATTAAGAACACACACTCCTACTTCACTTAAGGTGTATCATTTAGGAATATCATTTGACATACCTATGCATATTAAGATATTTTATATGTATGTGTGTGTATGTATGTGTATATATATATATATATATATATATATATATATATATATATATATATATATATATATACACACATACATATATAAATGAACATACAATCTTCTCCAAATTTACTTATATGAGGAAAAAAAAAAAAAGAAAGAAAAGAAATTGCATATCTATATATACATAACTGCACAATTTATAAACAATAGACTATCTAATAGAAACATAATTTAATACAAAATGTAATAATATTTACAGTGATTCATACAACAATGAGCAAACACTAAGATAAAATAAAATCTCAGGAATAATGTGGTATAAAGGTAAAAAGGAATTATATATACTTACTTATTCATATTGGTACACAGAGAGACAAAAAGTATAAAATATAAACATATATACACGAAAGAAAAGCACAACCTGAGGTGAAGAGAAATACAAATAAATAGTAAAAATAATAGTAAAAAATCATTGCTGTTTTATGTTAAAACTTAAACAGTAGACATCACCATTTACTTCTCACAAATTCAGTTCATAAAATGAAATTTATGGTTGCGAATCGTCTGTTTGGGATGTGAGGAGATATTGGAAAAGGAGGTATTTGAAGGTTGACAGTGAAGAGGCATGACGGATGTTATGTGGCAAAGAATTCCAGTAGGTGATGGAGCGGGCTAAGAAGGAATTTTCATAGGTTTTTGTCTTGTGGAATGGAATATAGAGGTCAGAATCACGGGATCTCGTTTTTATTGAGTGGACTATAGGTTTCGGCTGGAGGAGACAGTAGATATAGGAAGGGTGCTGGGAGTTGATCGTTTGATATAAGAAATTTCCAAGGAAGTATAGGTGGTGTAAAGGGGGAAGAGCCACTTTGACTCGGCATATAGGTGGGACACATGAGACCATCTCGAAGTGCCGAAGACAAATCTTAAAAAACAGTTCATGATTCTCTTCAGTCTGTCCTCAAGCTCCAACGAGAGGCCACCGTATACCACACAGCCATAGTCAAAGTAGGGGAAAATTAATGAGGAAACGAGGAACTTGCGGATAGTTGTGGGAGATGCTGACGAGAACGATGAAATAGTTTAAGTGTACCAATTGACCTTCTGGAGATATGAGCAATATGGGGTTTCCATGATAGGTTTTGATCAATGGTAATTCCTAAGTTTTTTACAGAGGAGGTGAAGGAGATTGGTTGGTCATTAATAATCAAGGAAGGAAGGGTGGAGATGGATCTAAGGAGGTAGTTGGAACCTATAAGAATGGCCTGAGTTTTTGATGCGTTTAAGTTTAATTTATTCAAGCTTGCCCAGGCACTGATCCTATCTAGGTCTTTCTGAATATTCGTAAACGCTTCTAATAACTCAGTGGGCGGTAAGGAAAGATAAATTTGGGAGTCATCAGCTTATAGATGATATGAACAATATTGGATTGAAATAGGAAGGTCATTGATGTAAGAATTAAAAAGGATAGGAGAAATGCTTGAACCCTGGGCTACTCCTACTACTGGGGGGACAAAGTGAGGAAAGAAGATAAGGGTTGATTCGGAATACTAACAGCTTGAGTCCTGTCAGAAAGGAAGGATTGGAACCATAGGATAGAACTATTGGAGAAGGATAGTGATTTTAATTTAGTGTTGAGGATAGAATGGTCTAAGGAATCGAATACTTTGGAGAAGTCCAGGAGTACCAATACAGTCATTTTTCTTTCGTCAATTGCAGTATGTATATCCAATAGTTGTAGTAGGTCTTTTATTCTTATTTTTAAAAGTTCCAAACCAAAGTTCCCCCAAATCTTGCCAAGCTAAATATTTTATAGAATCAATTTGTGGGGTAAGAGAAGGATTAATTAACTACTGTTTATTTATTTAAAAAACATATATGTTAAAAATTATGATTTTTCAAATATATATCATCTAAAGTGATAATGAAACTATATTTACCACCCAGATCACTATTATAGATGTTTATTCTTGTTTATAACCATTTCATGCATCCTGAATATTCTCCATATTGACCATTGACCATTGACCATCAGTCATTCTTCTAGTTGTTTTTGAAAGAATATAAGCATTTCAATTTCATTGTATTCCACCTCCTTTGTGCATATTTTTACACTGCTGATTCTCACCCTAATCTGAGCAATGATCAAATAGTGGTCAGAGTCTATGTTTGCTCCCTTCTATGCTCTGTTGTTTAACAGATTAGCTCTATGTTAGGTACTTATGAGCAGTTGGCCCATCTGATTGAAGGTGGTTCCATCAGGTGATATCCATGTGCCCGTCCTTGTGGATTTTTCGTTCCAGGAATACTGTGCTTCCTATAATCATTTTTCGAGATGCAGCAAAATTTACAATCCTTTTTCCATTGTCATTATTCTCTTCATGGATGCTACGATTTGGGATAAGTGTTCTAGGAGAAGGAGCGATAAAGAACTGCTCATAAAAACTTTTCAATTAATATTTCGTGATATGAAGACTAGGAGATTAAGATGGACCGAACATCTAGCTCGGAGCAATCCATCGGGAAGCCTCTACACGACAATAAATGCCTCTTTAGCAAAAGCGCAGATCGCTCTCTCTCCAATACAAATGTTGAGGGGAGCGAGAATATTGTTTCTTCTCTTCCCCAATAATATCAGACCAAAAAAAAATTAAAAATCAATGATGAATAAGCTAAATGAATGAACAAAATGTGTAAACTAAATTCGATTAAGAAAAGTCCACTAGCTATGACTTACTTAAAAAACACAAAACTTAAATTTCCTACTATTTTGCCGAAAATCGGACCGTTGTTTATATGAACATATTTTATAGCCCCTGAGATCTATTATTAATTGTTTAAATATTTCTCTCTACTTACGCGACCTGGGTATAATTTGGTAATGGTGTATTAACAATGGCTTTTTTCAACTTTTCTCTAGCCTTCCAGGAGTTCGTTTTTGCTTTAGAACGAATGTTTATTACAGTACGTGTCTTAAATGCTTGCGAAAACAAACCAGACCTACAAAAATGAACACCTAAATAATTCTATGTACAGACCGTATCAATCAGTTTTCCATCCAAATATATACTATTATATTTCTTTGTTGCTTGTCAGCTTATTGTCGGATTGTGATATTTCTCAATAAGTAAGTTTTAAAAAAAAATATGACATTCAATAAATTAATAAAACAAAAGGTTACTACAACTTATATTCCATGAGTTATAGCTCCTAGAAGGTTCATGTAACAACTTGAATGTCATTTATAGATTTTTTATTTATTTTTTGTCACACTAACAAAACTCTACATACTGACCCTCACCTTCCAACAATTCACCAACATATAATGGAGGCCAGTAATCGCTTTGTACAATTCTTTCTTCCTGATTTTAACATTAAAATCCCCCCACAGAATCTTAATGTCATCACTCTTAGGGCATATGTAATGAGCTCTTTCTAATGCATGGCAGAAGTTCTCCTTCTTATCTTCTCTTGATTCTTCAATAAGTGCATGATGGCTGATAAGGCTTTAATTATAAAATACTCTTTTCATACGAAGGGTATAAAGTTGTTCATTAATTGGAAAAAATCCAATAACTTTGTGTCTCATTCGCCCTCTCACTTTGATTCCAGTTCCAAATATATGATTCTCTTGGTGGTAGCTATAATATACAGGGTGTTTCGTAATTGCAAGCCACTGTTTTAGGAATGTGTTCACTAACACAAAAAATTTCATATTAACATATATCTCAAACTCATTTATTTACTACATTAAGACTGACCGTACAAAGTTTAACCTGTTTAATACTAAATAACAGATTTTAATCGTCTGATAAACAAATGAACGATAAGCAATGGCAGTAGTTGCTCATCTGTTTGTCTAGTTCTGTGTGTTTTAGTGTGAGTGAATACTGTGACACAGTTCAATTTATAATTATCATGAGAGACGTCATAAATTTATTCACTTTTGCAGAACAAACAGACATGCTTTTAGCTTATAGCGAGATACATAGAAACGGTGCTGCTGCTGTTCGAAGATAGCATGAAAAATTTCCAAAGAATACCAAATCGTAAAATGTTTGAGGCCATTGAAAGACACCTTAGGGATAATGGCATGCTAAAATCTTTACGTGTAAATGCCGGTTGAAAAAGATTTCGATAAGCGCAGAAATTTCTCCCAGTGGTTAATTCGACAATGCACATGAGATCCTAACTTCCTGAACTGCATTTTGGTCACTGATGAATCTTGTTTTACAAGAAATGAGATTCTTAATTTTCGAAATACCCATACTTGGGCTGAATAAAAGCCTTATATGGCTGCTGTCTTCTAAGCAACAACATCATCAGCCCTTTCTTTTTGCCACCTAGGCTGTCAGATATATCTTACTTGCATTTCTTGCAAAATAATCTTCATGAACTCCTAGAAGATTTTCCGCTAGGCATTAGGCAAAGGCTGTGGTTTATTCATGACGGTGCTCCAGCTCACTTTTCTAATAGTGTCACTGATTATTTAAATGCAACTTATAGAGACCGATGGGTTGGTCAAAACGGACCTGTTAAATGGTCACCATTATCTCCAGTTTTAATGCCATTAGATTATTTTGTGTGGGACTGGATGAAGTCTATGGTTTATTCTGCGGCAGTTGGCACACAAGAAGAGCTAAGAAATCAGATCATGGAAGCAGCAGTAACTATCAAGCACCATTCTGATGCTATATGAAGAGCCAGAGAAGCATGGATTCGTCGTGCTGAATGTTGCATTCAACAAAACGGAGGCCCCTTTGAACAGTTACTCTATATGTTGTAATAATAATAAATAACAAATCTTTAACCTTTGATATCTGTTTTATAAAAGAGTTTGAGGTATATTTTAATATGAACTTTTCTGTTTATTTTGTGTTAGTGAACATATACCTAAAATAGTGCCGTGCAATTAGGAAACACCCTGTATATTGTGTTTTTTTTTCCTCAATAAATAATATTCTAAATGCAATTATTTCTAAATAATACTTCAGAAAAAAATGTTTCCTATGAAATTTCATTACCAGCAAGATGTCATTATAATTCATTTAAAGTAATATAATCTCAGGTCAAAGAAAAAAAAGTAATTAATGTTTTGTAATAATTTATTGTAGGTATTTTCACTGTAATACACCGAGATATAGTGTGATAGCATGCCTGCTGTGATGAGATTTGTTATGATAGAAGACTGCTTGAGAAGTTCTCTATTCCCCTGCTGGCTTACAAGTGATGGTAGAGCATGAGATATATACTACCTTAACTGAAAGTCAGCTACCAACCAACTGTACTGGTTAAATGCTGGCAACTCTGGGGAGTGGCACTGAGGCATGGTGTCTCCCAACAATTTTTTCCTCCATCCAATGTGTTTTAGTATGTATTGGAGGCAAATACAAATATCGTGATTATTATTTTACATTTTAAAAAGAAAATAAGTAAAAAATATGTAATGGTCTTGTTCTCTTGGTCCCCAGTTCAAGCCTAGCTGTGGCAGGTAATTTATTCTTTGTTAAATCAGCCATTGATCAATGTTGGAGTTGGGAGACCCTCCTGGGTCACACTCATATAGAATGAGTACTTATAATTAGTTTATTGTTCAAGAGACAAAACCTAACTATTGAGCAAGATCACAGCTACATCACCTCCTTGTACATACATCGGCTTAGAAATAATAGTTCCTTAAATAGTTTGAATTCATGACCACTGATAGTACAGGTATATATATATTAGATATGGGCAGAATTTATTTCATGTAATAACTTGAGCATTATTTCCAAAATAATTATTTCAGGATTACTGACATAATTATTTCTGAAATGATTATTTCAGAAGTAATGTTTTGAAATAATCATTCTGAGGGGCACAAAAGGGATTGAAATAACCATAATAAAAATTCTATTGTTCACTAAATCCTAAATTTAGTTTTCGCTTATGCCCCTGTTTTGTTTTCTATAAGAAGCTTTGCTATAAGAAGGACTTGAGGCATTATATTTGCTGCTGTTTGAGACACTTTAGTCTCTGTACAGGCTGAGTGTGCCCATCAGCAGTTTCATTTTTCTTATGCCCCTTTTCGTTTCCTACAATTAGACAGACTTGAGGCATTATATTTATTGCTGTTTGAGACACTTTAATCTCTGTAGAGGGTGAGTGTGCCTGACAGCAATTTCATTTTTCTTATGCCCCTATTCATTTCTTAGAATAAGGCGGACTTGAGGCATTATATTCTTCTTGTTTAGTTGTATGTGAGTTGTATGAAAACTCACCCTCGCACACTCACTCATATATTAAAACACTCACAGGCATAAGGCAGCTCAGTGTGTTTCTATATTAAAAAACTCACAGGCATAAGGCAGCTGATTGTGTTTCTGGCCAAATCATCGTCTCCATGTTCATTCATACAATTTTTGTTTAATTATTACAATATTTTATCACTTAGTATAGTGTTTAAATGTTAATAAATATTCAAAACTATGTTGTAATTGTTTTGTTGTTTTTTTTAGAAAAATTGACGAAGGATGGTCTAATTCGATACCTGATGTCTGATGAAAATGCTCCAGTCTTTTTGGACAGGCTAGACATTTACATGGACATGGACCAGCCTTTGTCCCATTATTACATCAACAGTTCTCACAACACATATCTTACTGGGCGTCAGTTTGGAGGCAAATCCAGTGTTGAAATGTATCGACAAGTCCTTTTAGCAGGTTGCAGGTATTTGAATTATTAAAATATCAAAATCTATTTAACAATTTTATTTCAGTATGGCCAAATTTATGTTTATATTTCTGCACTGCTTCATCAATGTTATCAAATAGAGAATAGAAGTTAAGAAAGATGCAGCATTACAAAGCTCCATCCTAAGAAGTTCGAACGTTCTTCCAACTACCCAATAATTATTACATAAATCTGTTTTTTATTCCGTTACTATTTATGTCACGGAAACATTGATCATTAATACTAAACATCTTAAATGACTGTGCCTTGTTAATTGCACATTTCACTATACTCATGTCAGTGCCACTAGCATCAACTTCTTTCAATTCCTGTTTTTACCATTTGGTTTTATTTAAGGCTTAAATTAGTTTTCATTGCAAATTGTTCTTGTTAAATGGTTACCTTCGCAGGCAATTCAAAATTTATATCGGTAGGTTTTTTCATTACTTTTGCTCTACCTTTTTTACTATTTACTCAAGTCTATCCATCAAACTTCCACAGCCACAATGCTTCTTACATAGGTGACATGTTTTTATCAAATAAAAGTTAAACTGGAGACATGGCCCAACTTGATCATATGAATTAGAAATTCATAATTGTTAACATTAGAAATCTTTGAAATATTAAAGTTGATTTTCATTGTTGAGAAATGGCCTGTAGATTATTGGAAATTCTGAGAGCAGATTATTTTGTTTTCTTCGCTTCCCTTTTCATCAAAGTGTGTGTGCGTATGCGTGCAAGGAATTAAATTGAAAATTTTCTACATAATGGACAGCAGGAAGCCAATGATGCTCATATTATAGCAAAGCTTATTCAATTTATCGTAGCTTAGTTCAATTAGGTATGTTGGGAATTTGGTTTTGAAGTAATAGTTATAGTTTTAACCATTTTTTGTCATCTCATTTATTTAATGCCTAAGTAGGTTACTTTTAAAAGAAACTGTTATACTAATATCATTTATACTATAAATAAAAACCAGTATTCGCTATATAGTGACTATTCAAAATTGGAAAAATGCAGTTATGTGACATTTTAAAGAAAAGAATTGTTTGAAAAGGAGAGGGAGAGAAAGAGATAGAGTAAATAGGATAAAGATTATAGAAACGTAAAAATAGAAAAAGGCATAGATATTGAACCAACCATAGATTGGCATAGAACCAAAAAGTGTATATAAATCATATACTGATAGGAAGGTTTCTGGGGTCCAAGCCTGAGGTCTAGGAGGATCATTCCTTCATGCGAAAGATGGGTAACGAGAGTCGTACGCGATTATTCTGCTGTTTTTTTTTCATTCAGTTGATTTATATACCTTCATCTTTATCTAATAAAATGAACATACTTTTAAAGTAAAGATTTAACTATAAAAAATACATTTTAAAAAAGTAAAATATATAAATCATCTTCTTATGCTGGGCGTTTGGTGGTGGCGCAGTCTCATAGTGGGTGTGTGAACTATGTGAAGGGCCACTACAGTTTAAAGCATTAGGTGGGGAACTTTTTTATCATTAGTGGCCAGATTTAGGTTAAGCAGTGATAAAGGAGGTCACATTTACCTTAGGCAATGATAAAAGAAACCCATATATTTTTTTATATTTCACACATGAAATTTTATTTTTTAAGCATATGTATTTAAATTTTAATCTCAAAATTGCCAAAATTGAGGCATTTGTGAAAACCACATCCCTATGAATTGCATATTGTTGTGTTCCTTGTAACTATTTATTTTAAAAAAGCCAATGTACTCACAAAAAAAAATGAACGCACTGCCCCAAAATGGTGTCTAAGGAATGGCAGACTGACAATTTTGACTTGAGTTACTTTTTTGGTCACTGTGAATCAGCATTTGGCTTAATTTTGTCATAATTGGAATTTTATTAAAGCTGGATGGTCAGAGAATAAGAAAACACGAAATTATATTAAAAAATAATTGGCTTAGGCAATAAAAAACACCAGTAAAGATAAAGTTTTCAACAAAAAAATTTCAACTTGAAAATCAAGCATCCTTTGTAATTAAACGGCCAACAATAATAACGAAAACGTACTGAAATAAATAAAACATCTGGAAAACATATTAATCTTTCTAAACCACTGATAAATTTTTAAAATATTGGAAGCGCTTTAGTAGAAAATGCACTTAATCGGCGGAAAAGCCGTATTGGCGTAGGTGCCTACAGGCCACTGCTACATCATTTAGCATCCATAAATGGCATAGTTATAGTGCTATAATAATGTTTGTGATACATTATATTGATTGTATTAAACAAACAAATATTAATGAATTTTGTTTTTTATTGCCTAAGCTAATAGTTTTTTAATATTATTTCATATTGTCTTATTCTCTGACTATCCAGCTTTAATAAAAGGTCAATTATGACGAAATTAAGCCCAATACTGATTCTCAGTGACCAAAAAACTAATTCAAGTCAAAGTTGTCAGTCCGCCATCTTTGGACGTCATTTTGGGGCAGTGTGTTCACCTTTTTTTTTTAGGAAACTTTGGCTTTTTTTTTTAATTCATAGGGATGTGTTGGGGTGGGGAGTGCACGGTAGGGAGGTCTGGGCCACCTTGAAAGAGGTATAGGTTCTTAAACTCCGGTCTGCAGACCCCTGGAGCTGCATAGTGATTCAAATAACTTTTTTAAGAAAAATCCATTTGTTGTTATTTTATTTTGTTTTTTTATAATTTAGATAATAATAATAGATAATTTGGAAGTGGAATGATAATTTATCCATTCTACAAATTTCTTTATTTTCTTACCATTTTTTTGTTATTATGAACCATATTTTTTGCCTTTTTTTGTGAATAATATCTAAAATTTTCAGTAATTTCAATTCTATTTAATAGATTTTATAACATTTTATTTTTAAAGAAAAAATTATTCCAGGTGTGTTGAATTGGATTGCTGGGATGGCAATGATGACGAACCTATAATAACTCATGGGAAAGCTATGTGTACCGACATATTATTTAAAGTATAATAATGGCTTTACTTACTAATTATACTTTTTATTTCATATTTTTTATTTACATTAATTTTTATTATTATTTCATCGTAAATTTTCAGGATGTGATATATGCTTTAAGAGATACTGCTTTTGTTACTTCTGATTTTCCTGTTATCCTTTCCTTTGAAAACCATTGTTGTAAAACGCAGCAATATAAATTGGCCAAATATTGTGATGATATACTGGGCGATCTCCTTCTGAAAGAGCAAATTCCTGATTTTCCAGTAAGTATGTCTTTTTTATATTTTTTGAAACATTATTGCTTTGTATACAAATTTGAAGATGGACAACCTTGATGCTTTTGTGAAATTCTAGGTAAAAATAAATCTTTTTATTTTCACCTAACTTCAAAAAATATTATTGTACTTCTTAATTGTCTGACAAAATTCACAAACTAATTTTATTTTAAAAACTATTGTTAAGTAAGTAAACTTTAACGAATAACTGAACTGATGCACAATGGACCCTATAGGGGTCGACGTGCCTTGAGCCAACACTATAAAAAAAGTAAACTTTAGCACTCCATCTTAGTGGATTGTATATTAACCAACAACTCAAGCTTTAAATTAGTTACAAATATATGAGGAATGTTATCGCACTCTTCGAGAACAGCTGTTTCAATTTTTTCAAGAATGCTAGGACACAGATTCCGACTTTGTGCTCTTCCCTAAAGGTGGTCCCCGACATGTCCGATTAAGTATGTCTAGTCTTTGTGGTGGCTATACCAAGCGCTTAAACCCGACCTCAATCAGGTACTCCTCCATCATTCGTGAATTGTGTGGTCTAGTATTATCGTTCATTAACATAAATCTCTCACTAACATAGAGTGCAAATGACACTATATGGTTTTTAATTAGGTTGTATAGGTACCTCTGTCACGTTGGTGACCTTCCTCGCACCGCAACCAACTCCATATGTGCATTGAAAGAAATGCCACTCTAGAACATTAGTGAGCCATCTTATAATGGCATCTGAGGAGCCATGCAGCATAAAGCCTAAAGCCTACTTATCTCCTGGGTGTCTCCATATAAAAATTTGGCCATCTGAAGAGTTCAGAACAACTCTCACCACATTTGTGAATAAAACTCTCTTTCAATCTTCCTTGTCGAATTCACATGGTTTATTGCGAATCAAATCCTGGCCATTTTGTGAGCTATGATAAGCAGAGATACATGGACAGGATGTCAAGCCTTAAGGTTACATTCATTATGCCTTCTTCTAATGTTCCTGACAGAAATCAATAAATTTCAGACTTGCCTAGTGAGATTTCTAATCTCATTTCCTATCATCTATCTTACTATAGTGTGAAATTGACTTATGGTAGATAAATTATTTATTCTGTTTCATAAACCATGGATCAACACTGGGGTCATAAGACTCTCCTGGGGCATACCCAGCAGCCTCCATAAAGTATGTATAACCCTTAATTAATTATTTATAATTAGTTCAGGGGTTGACCAAGAAACAGTACTTACTCTACATAGTACTGAACCCAAGACCCTTCATGGGTTGTAGTGATACAGATTTTTAGTGTGAAATTACAAAGGAAAAGGATTTATGTATCATGAGTTTTTCAATATTTCTAAAAGCATTTGGAACTATCTTTTAGTTCATGCAAAAACTATGCTCGGTAAAACTAAAAAATTGACTTTGTGAATAATTCAAAAACATATAATTCAATAAAAAATAAATTAAATAAATAAAGAGTAAATCACCAATCAAAAATCGAGCTTTAACTACTTAAAATTATTTATTAGTAATGCAAAATAGACTCATTTCCATTTAAAATATTTATAGTTATACTCATTCTTAACTTAAATACTGCACAAGCATTAGTTAATAGAACACGAATCAGAGTAAAGTACTTACAGGAGCTACTTTAAATAAAACATATTTAATTTCCATTTTAATTTATGTGTGGTTTTATCACAAGAAATCAATGTTATGATTAAGCAAGTAAAAAATAAATTTAAATTAGCAATTTCAATTCACTTTAAATCCATTTTTATTCACAACTTCTCTGTAAACAATATTCTTTTTGGATGTTCTGTTATTGTTTAGTGCATAGCCTTGCCCATTACCATTGAAAATATAAATTTGAATATTTTAAATGAACGTCCATGTGAAATTACTCGACGTCGCAATAATATACACATTTTTCCAAAACTTTGATCCTGCGATTTGATTATGGTCATAGCAAATGCAGCTATTAAGCAGAACGTTGTTCTTTAAAAGTCAAATGTAAGTATTGTGTCAGAAAATATTAAATTAAAATTCTTTTATTTAAAGTAGCTCCCGTTAGTACTTCACTCTCATTCGTGTTCCATTAACTAATGCTTGTGCAGTATTTAAGTTGAGAATGAGTATAACTACAGAATTTACTTTTAAATTTAATTTATGAGTTAACGTTACAATAATATTCAATGATCTCATCTTTTCAAATAATAGTCCCAATTACTTCATTAAATGTAAAATTTGCGATTTATCAAAAACCAAAATAATGGAAATCGACTTTGCAAAAGAAAAAGTACTAAATGTTTAAAATGATATATCTCTGCATCAAATAGTCCGATTTCGATAATTTTTTTTTTTTTTTTTTGTAGGGAATTCAGAAAGCTTTCAAAGATATATTGGTATTATCAATAAAAAAAGTGTGTGTTTTTGAGTTATTGTAATGAAAATACTGAATTCATTATAAAAATTTATGCAGCTTGTTTTCGGGAAATTATGTTATATAGATAAATTATAAATGTTTCAAGGGGAAGACTTTAGCCAAGTTTCATTGAAATCGTTGAAGCCATATCGGTGCTACAGTCTAAAGTGAATCATGTTTTTTGGTCGCCATTTCTAAAGGAAAGGCCTGATGATAATGAAACATATACAAAAACACTTCTAAATATTATTGCGATGTTGTGTCAAAATTTAAAAGAAATCGGTGAATAGCTATTTTGAACAAACTACCATTTATATTTTTATTTATATACTATTTCATATTTTTATTTATTGATAACATTAAAGCTCGTCAATAGCTATTAAACAAAAAAAGAAGGAAGAAAATCGGATAAATAATAGAGGAGTAAAAGGGGCTGACTGTTTTGTGTTTGCCTATTTATATAATGATAACAGTACCCAATTTTTAGGGGTGTGTGTCAGGATGATCTTCTGATCCCTGGGTCAATCCACAACTGATGTAACAGAATTAATAATTACCTACTACAGCCATAATTGAACGTGGGCATCGAGCATTAAAAGTCAGCACCCCACTCCCTACCAAATTAATAATCAATACGAAATGTTTTTAGGCAAACAAGATTTTGATAATAAAAGCAACTTGATGAAAAACCCTAATGAATGATCATTAATATCAATTTAATCCTCACATATTCCTTCTCTAAAATAAATAAATACATCTCTCTATTGTATAAAAAAGTTTTTAGTGACTCATATTTCATTTTACATCCACAAAGCGGGACAGACCATAAGAACAGGAACAGTTCGAAGAACAGGCTTTTACAGGAACTCGACTTTTCAGCCCACTCCTCTAGGCTCAATAGTTTATTAGGATATTGCTGATATTGCAAAAGGTAGTATGTGACAATTTTACATGTTTATTCTCTTTGCACTAAAGTTGACAATTTGTAGTCTGCAAAATAGGAACATACCAAAGGAAATAAAATATGAAATTATACTAATAAATCTGTAAAAAAAAAACAAAAAAAAAAAAAACAATTTTTATATATGGCCTTTATCTCTAACAGTAGGGATATGTAATTAAAGAACAGTTGTATAATTTATAAAATGTGGGTTGGTCAGATTGTATAGGAAGTAATCTTCTAGTATTTTAAAAGAATATATATTGATTATCGGCAAAACAAAAAGGTATTGGAAGAATATTCCCAAATCATTTTAAGTCAATATTGTAATTAAAATTATATAATGAACTAGACTCATGTGAATAAACATAATTTTATACAAAAGCTATAAAATTGTGTCATCTTAGCAGCAAAAGTGAATTTTAATTTCATGTTTTAAAAGTTTTGTTATTGTTGATAATGGATTCGAAATATTAATAAAAAATTTTAGAATTTGTTTTTTAATGTTTATAAAACTATCTTTTCAGCTGGAGCCTGGGATAGTTTTACCACCCCCCTCGTCTTTAAAAAGAAAGATTTTAATAAAAAATAAAAGACTGAAGCCTGAAGTCGAAAAAAGGGAACTCGATTTGTTCCTCCAAGGTCAGTTTGTAATTGACGATGAAGAGAAAGAGGATGCTTCTGCTCCAGTTGCGGTTAATTTGGATGAAAAGAAGGTATTTAGTTCTCTTCTTTACTTATTTCTTTTAAATTTAAATTTAATAATTTTAACTTAACATAGGCTCCCTGGTACATCAGTAACATTACTCTCCATAAAGACCTACAGATTCCAACAGTTAACAACCACATACGAACATTTTAGACATATCTGTCAATTGTTTTTCACAGATACCTCATTCTGTATTATCATATTAATATAAGGGCTTCACTGCAGTTATTTCTTGCAAATAGAGCTATATAGTAATAAATCTAGTGTGCGCAACACACAAATTTCACTTACCACTCAATTTTTTAATAGAAATTATTTTCTGGCCATGTTGGACTATTATAAAATTTTTGAATTGCATTTTCAACCGAGCTAAAGCTAAAAAAATTACAGCTAACAAATCATAAATACCATTAAAATTACAAAAGTCCTATTTATTATATCTCCGGTTGATTATGAATTGTACGATCCGTTGATTATGGATTGAACGATCCGTTGCTTATGGATTGTACGACTATTGACTGTTATTTTCCATTGCAAAGTTTACTAAAATGGAATTGAGAGATTTGCATTATCTGTCATAGACAGGTCAAAAGTTGTCACACTAATTGTAAGTGGATATTGTTGGAATATCACAAAATGAAATTTCATCAAACTATTCACTAATATAATTTTCTAAAAGATTACATGATAATTTTTTGGAATAAACAGACGATAGAGACCTAACCTTTTAAATATAATGTCAGATTTAGAGTTATTAAACTAGAATAAATATATTTAAGGTCATAAACGCATCTATGAAATATTTTTATATTTCACTTCTTCTTTCACACAAGTACAATGAAATAGTAGTGGATACATACTGTTGGAATATCAAAAAGGGGAGATTCGTCAAATTATTCACTAATTTAATTTTCTAAAAAGTTAAATGACAATATTTCAGAATAAACAGACGTTGATACCTAATTACTTAAATATAATATTAGATCTAGAATTATTAAACTACTGTAAATGTATTGAAGGTTATAAACATATGCTTTTTACATCCATGAAATGTTTTTATTTTTTACTTCTTCTTTCACACAAGTACAATTAAATTGTGTTTTAAACAATGTCATTGTCTTGATTAGGTGGATTTTAAATACTTTTTCAAACTTAAAAATATTTTAAAAGTTTACATTTAGTTAGTAAATTTCATTTAATTTCCTTGAAAACATGTGATTTACGTTAAATATTATTAGTTTTCGAAAAGTATTATAATTGTTTTGCCACTCTCCGTTACCTTCTACAACTTTCTGTATTAGATGTTGTTTCTAAAATTCTCCGCTTTCCAACGATATATTATACGTATACCTTCTGACTAGTATTTCCGGAGATTCATTGTCAACCTGGATAAGCATTTTTATTATTTTCTCCTTTATTATGTTATCAAATTCTTTCAAAAGTTATATTTAGCATTTTTTTGTAACTTTTAATAATGAGCGATAGTTAATTATTTAAAATAAACTGTATTAAAGGTACTTTAGAGGAAGACGCATATGAACATTTTGCATTTAAACCCTATAAAGTGACGTCAACGGGGATATGACCTCAATGATATTAAAGACCACTTAATTATACAATGATACATTGAGTTTAATCAAAATTGTTGAGTTTAATCAACATCGTTAGAGCTGTTTTTGAGAAAATTGTAAAAATCTATTTCACTGTTGATATAAAGTTGAAAACTCAGATTCAAAAACTTTCATGATCTCAATACTTACCCTTACTATATATTACATATATAAGTAAGTGAAAGTAAAAAAAACCAGTGCCCGTGAAGGAAGCAATCGAGTTGGAGTAGTGGGGATACCCGGCAACAGCCTAATCCTACGAGTCTCCACCCAAACAAATAGATGTGTCTCTGTTATTATTATTGTACGCCTCTGTTTCCCCTTTTTATGCAGTGTTGAAGTTTTATGCTGAGTCCTTCCTCTTTCAAGTCCAATCCCTCCGTCCTTCATCCATCTCCGAGCTCCTTCAATTCAAATACTCTGTTCGTGACCAGTCTCTGATTTATACAGAAGAGTCTTCTGAGCGCCTAGTCTTCCGGTCTTCTGATTTATACCGAACCGCTGCTTTCGACAAATCGTTCATCATCCAATCCTCATCCCTATGGAACTCCATTCCTTCCCATATCCATCAATCCAATACCCTTCCTACCTTTAAATCCCGCCTCTTAAATCATTTCTTATCCATCCAATCCCCCATAAAATTTTAAATAGATACTACTGTAAATATTCTCCTGTTCTACTACTGTAAACATTCTCCCAGGCCAGGGAGTGTGGACGGGGATTTAAAAGACTCCCCTGGCACCGGCATGCGAACTCGGAACTATTTTTCATCGTTGTCTCATATGTCAGGTTGCTGGGCAATGGCGGTGCTGTGCACTCTCGTTAGCCCATTCGCCCACCCCACTCACCACCCACATTTCTGTCTTTCTGTGTTGTTCTAAAGATGCTCGTCCCAGAATAAATAAGGTATCATTATTATTATTAAATAGTACTCAAAGCAGTTGCTATCCCTCTTCAACCCATATTTGCCTTTCTTACTCTGTCCTCTAGATATGGTTTTGAAAGAAAGTTCTTACTTTCTTTAAAAGCAGTAATATTTTTATTATTTAAAGTGCAGAATTTCTAAAAAAATAAAATATTGAACCTATCCAATTGTCCAATATTAATCAATCCAATTTTATTTTTCCCATTATATTTATTTAATTTGGTTTATTAAAAATATTTTATTTTTAATCCTTTTTCCAATTTCTTTTTTAGTTTAGACCTTTTTCAAGGCATATTAGTGTAATTTAATATTTTAGCAGTATTATTGAATATTTAGAGATTTTCTCATCACATGTTTTATGTTTATTATTACTGCATATTTGACATTTTTTTATTATATATTATACGGAATACTTAGTGGATTTTCACTGCATAAAAATCTGGGCTCTGGTAATCAGTTATTAACACATTAAAGGCGGGAGTCGTAGTACTACGATTTATCTTGACTGCTGCTTAAAGGCAGGAGTCGTAGTACTTTTCATCTCGACTAGCATACTTTCGTCAAGATCCCCCGCCTGTAATGTGTTAATATTGAGAACAGAGTTGATTTAGTTGTTCTCTTATTATCTGTAATTGTATGCATGGTTTTCAATTTTAGATTATAATAATAAAAACACGAAAATTTGCAAATCTTTCTGATGCATATTTTCTAAGATACTTAGTGTTGTGCATCTTAGTTCCAAGTTAGCCCCTTGATATGTTTGAACATCTTCAAGGTTGGATTTATGTCTTGCGCTGATTAGAAAGTAATCTATTTGGTTCCCTACTGGGTAAATACATCCTGAAAAATTAAAATGTATCAAAATAATTTTGTACTTTAGGAATAAGGTTCCATAATGCCCGATTTCACCTTTAACCAAAAAAATTCTATGAACCGTGGTTGCATTATGCCTTGGAGAGAGTATTAGATAGCATCACTCTCTGATATTTTTCAAACCTCCTAATGAAACTATAATTTGCGTTATATTTATATGTTAAACTTGATTTATTCAGATTCATAGACACTGTAAATATTTCAGACTTTATTTAAATTAAAATTTAATTCTTAAAACATTTAATCAGTTAACATTTTTTTTTTAATTGTTCTCAAAGTCTTCATTTTTAAGTTATTAATTTCTAATTCCTATTTCAGCCGCTTGTAGCTGAAGAGTCTATAGAAGTGGCTGCAGTCGAGGCTCCCCCAGTACAGATACAGTACACTGGAAGTACAACCAATGTCCACCCTTGGCTCTCATCTATGGTCAACTATGCTCAGCCAATTAAATTTCAAGGCTTTGATGTTGCTGAACGTTAGTACTCCTATTAATCAAAAGTCAATTTTTCCTCATTCAAAGTGTTTTCCATGATAAATGAAATTTAGTTTTCTTATTTCATTAGATTAGGTTCATTTGATTGGTTTGTTGCATAGGAGGGGGGAAACATGGGCTATCAATTTGATAAAAAATAACCCATAACAATCTTCGAAATCCAGATGCCTCTTAACAAAATAATGATACTATAAGGATCATTTGATAAATAAACAGACAAACATATCAAAGGTGATACTTCATATAGGAATTGAACTTTTGTGTCAGTTGATAATAGCAATATTGCAAAAAGAATCAACTGTTTGGTTAATATTTATATAAAAATAACCTTTTTAGAATGACATCAATTATTAGATTGAGGTATATCTTCTGAGGATATAGATATGGCTCTAAATAATCTTAAAAATCACAAAAGTCCAGGTCTTGATGGTGTCCCATATGAAATATACAAGAATATCCCTCCAAATCGGTTTCTATATATATATATATATATATATATATATACAGAATTTATTTAATAAAATTCTGAAGGAAGAGGAAGTGCCAAAATCATGGGCAGAAATTTTTAGTGTAATGATATTTAAGAAATAGGACCGAGAAAACCCACTTAATTATTGAAACATATCTATGGCAAACTGTGCTTCGAAAATTTTTACCAAATGCTGTTGGAATGAATCACATTATATATTGAAGAAAGCAGAATTATATCTGAATGCCAATCAGGATTCAGAAATCGAAGAAGTTGCTTGGATATTGTTTTCGTCTTAAATGCTGTTATCCAAAATCAATTTTGAAAAGAGGAGTCTAACCTTTTTGTTGAATTTTGTCGGACTTTTGAATCCATAAATTACACCTTACTATGGGACAAACTTTTTTCTATAGTTTTGAGCAGGAAAATAATTCGAGTTATGGGAGACATCTATGATAATGTGTATACACAAATAAAAGGAACTGCTGAAGGGCTGTTGCATAAGTTGAAAATTACTGCAATGGTACTACAAGGAGAGAGATTAAGTCCCATGCTGTTTAATATTTTCTTATCTGATATTGAGGAATACTTTCGCAAGCATAACCTGTCAGGTATACCTATTGACGGATGTGTTGACATACTGTTTGCAGATGACATGGCTATTTTTCCCGATTCCTATACCGACCTTGTAAAAAAAATTAATTCTCTAAATGAATATTTCAGAGACAAGTCAGTGCATACAGTTATTTAGGTGTCCACTTATGTAGGTCTGGTTTGTTTTCGCCAGCAGTTAAGACAGCAATCTCAAAGTCAAATTCGACAATAGGCAACTGTAATAAACATTTGTTCAAAAGCCAAAAAAAATTCCTGGGGAGGGGAGAAATACCTCTACCACTACAATCCATGAAGGGTCTTGGGTTCAGTACTATTTAGGGAAAGTACTGTTTCAAGGCCAACTGTTGTGCAAGAGATGGTCAGTCCAGGATCATTTTCAACCGCTAGTTTTTCCCTCCTAATCAATTATTTAATTAAGGGTATCCACTTTGTAGAGGTTGGATATGTCGTAGGAGGATCTCCCTATTCTAGGGTCGCCCCATGGACAATTAAACAGAATAACTAATTTTTCTGTCATGGGCCGGGATTCGAACCTGAGACCTTAAGCATTGGAAGCTTAATGCCCTAGCACTGAGCTACCCCGATCCCACAAACTCCTGAAAGGCAAGAGAAAAGTTTAAAAAAGCCATTATTAATACATATTTGCTATGGAGTCTCCAGAGCTCTTAGAAAAGGTCAACACAAATTTTTATGAAAAGACATATTCACTTTGTAAAACAACCCCAGACTTTTTAATACTTTTAGAAACGGGATCTGCTCATATCGGTTTCAATATTATGAAGTGTTCATTGAATTGGTTGGTTAGGCTTGTGGAAATGGAGGAATTTAGATATCCTAAAATATGTTTCGAAAAGCTAAGAAATAAATGTTATCTATTTAATGCTGCTCTATCAAAATATAATTGGTGTTCTCAGCTAAAGGTATTGTTAGATACTATTGGGGAAGGCAATCTAGTTTATGAAACCAACTCAGCCATAATTAGAACAAATATTAACAGGGTATTAAATAAATAAAAACAACATTTATAGAACAGTAAATGGAGAAAGCGGGGTGGTCGAATGGGCTAACACGTGTGCACAGAACCGCAAGTTGCCCGGTTATCAGATAACCGAAGTTATGAGAGATTAAAAAAGTACAACCTCGCGTCCCTGTACCGGAGGGGATTTTAAATTCCCTGACCTCAAATCCTGTATAGCCTAAAAGGCGAAGAAGGAAGAAATAAAAAAAGAGGATGGTGACAGGAAAACATTGCATAGCTCATATTATTGTGAACATTTAACATATGAGAAAATTATATTTTTTCATCCTTAGTATTTAAATTATAAAGAATTAGTAGGGCAATCTGGAATTTTGTCCTCAGAATATTATGGCAAAAATGTACACTGCATGTCGACATTTAATCTGTTTCTTGGCTGTTCTCTTAGGCATAGGAGTAATCTTTTAATTTAATTTTAAAACATAGTTTAATATTAATATTTAAAAAATAAAATATATTTATTGTTATTGTGTATGTATATCGTTGACAATTTTATATTTTTTATTAATTTGATAATTGGAACTATTTTAACCTTCTGAATTTTACAGAATATGATTTTTAATTTACTCTAAGGGTCTTGTAATATTTTCAATGTAGTATAAAAAAGAATGAATTTGTGGTACCATAAGGATAATAATGTTCGTTACATTTTGATGGACTCAATTTGTATATGGTTCTTCTCTTGAAACAAATAAAGATTAAATAAAAACCAAAAATAATAAAAAACCTTTATGTCTTAGATATGATGGTGTCCTCTCAAAGTAAAATGTCTTTGAAAAGCAACATTCTGTGACTTGCAAAATATAATAATATGGAACTGAAGAGTTATTTACATTTGATTAATTATGTACTATAAATTTGTATTGTTAATTATTGGTTATATTTCATTAAGCAATTAATTTTGTAATTAAACTTAATATTAATGGAACGTTAAGACCACAACTGAAACGTCATGAAAATATAAAAAAAATTAAGTGGTGAAGTTATTTTCTGTCTCGAAAATCTCTAATAAATTACTTCCCTTCACCTTAAGCGAAAAACGCTGCAAAAAACATTTTGTTCAAAATAATTCTTTGTCAATAAACCATTATATAAACACTTTCAGAAAATAAAACAACAAAATTATTTATCATGTAGCCAAGATAAGAGTCATTTAATCGATCAATTAAATGATCTTATCAATTGATCATTCAAAACAAATAAGTCATTCCAAAGAGAATGTGTTTTTCCTGCTATAAATATTAACTTTATTACAGTTTACAAACTTAAATAATTATTAAACCTACTTATTGATTAAATAATTAACAAGATTGTCAATATATATATAGTCAACTTTTCAAAAAAGTAAAACAACGTTAGCAAATTTCAATATTATCTACATACATATTTTTATCTATTTGTCATGTTTGAGCATAATAAAATTTAATCAGTATTTCTTTGCATTTTTAGAGAAAAATATTCATCATAACATGAGCTCCTTTGCCGAAAACACTGGACTTGGCTACTTAAAATCTCAGGCCTTGGAGTTTGTGAATTATAACAAAAGGCAGATGAGCAGGATTTATCCTAAAGGAACTAGAGCTGATTCCTCTAACTACATGCCTCAGGTAATAATCAAATGTAATCTTTCTAAATGGAATTAACTTTTGTCAATATTACTAGCTGTATAATGTAAATATGTATTCGCAATGTATTAATTTATTATGTATTCACTTATTTCAATATTTTCTAATTATTGTTTTATATTATACTAGCTGATGTACCCGTCGTTGACGGCTGTATAGTTAAAATTTGAGATGGATTTTGTATTATGGGGAGAGGAGGGTCCAAATTCAATTTTATAAAATTGGATTGAGGGAAAGAAGGAGGGTTGTTTTGAAATATTTTATGGAAGTCAAGGTTTCACAATAGTCACAACAAAAACTTTGTTATTCGGCTATTTTTTTAGGTATCACACAACTAATCCAACCACCACCGATCCATTAAAATTTGTAAAGTCTTTAATTTTTAGTTATGATGAAGCGAGGAGATTGTGGAGTCCATTAACTAATCTAAGATTTGTAGTCTCTCCACTTCTTTAAACTCTGCTGAGTTTATCGCTGGCAAAATAACATTAGACATTGAGTCACCTGCATCCGTGTAAAATTAGAACTTGATCTGAATATTGTGGCGGGCAGGGTGAAATTTTGGGGAGTTTTTTTTTCCTAATTTCCGGCTAATCCGGTAATCCTAAAAATGTATACGACAACATTTGTCAGGCTCGGGAAATTGAATTGAATGATACCTTAACGGCAAAATCGGATAAACTTGAAAAATGAGTGTGTTTTACCCGTTTTATGCGACAATGCATTACAGATGTTCGGTATTTCGGATTTTTGCAGTTGAGCTGTGATAATTTTTTCCATCAGTTGAGTAGTAAAACTTTTAAATGTGGCTCACGATAGAGTAGGTTGGGATGGGAATCAAAGTAAGTAATTGCCTAACTGGGATCTCTAGACAAATTACTCAAGAATTCATAACTTTGGTTCTACTCAATATTTTGTATTTATTTAAAGCCTATATTTTAAGTCAAGCAAACCTAAATGTAATGACAAAATTTCAAAAATCTACCATTAGCCATTGTCGAGCTTACCCCTGACAAAATTTCGTTGGACAATGCGGACATCCAGACAGACAAACAATTTTTTAAAAGTGGATTTGGTGTCTGCAATGTATGAAGCCGAAAGATATCATTAAACGGTTTTATTCTATTCAATGTACAGACAAAAACTTTATTTTATTTATATAGATTGTATTATGTATATTGTGATTATTATGCTTATCATTCATGATCTAAATATTATTAGGTTTTCTGGAATGCTGGGTGCCAAATGGTCTCGCTGAATTTCCAAACTGCTGATCTTCCTATGCAGTTGAATCAGGGAAAGTTTGAATATAATGGAAACTGTGGCTATTTACTCAAACCAGATTTTATGAGACGTGCAGACAGAAACTTTGATCCCTTTGCTGAATCTCCTGTAGATGGAGTCATTGCTGCTCAATGTGCTGTACAGGTAAAAGAACTAATATAAAAATAGCTAAATGGAAATTTTATTAGTTTTAATATAGTAAAAAACAATGTTTCATAAAGATATATAAGAACAATACTTTTGGAAATGGGTCAATGTTATATAAAAATAAAACAGTTTGTCGTTGTTTGTTTTTTTTACAGTTGAAATTTCAGCCCAATCATTTGGGCAATCTTTAAGGCTAGATCATGGTACTACAAATATTCTGTCACAGGAACTCACATATGATGTTCTTGGATCAGGTTTTATCACCTCTGATTCTACCCCTAAGTTGAAACTGCATCAACTTCATAGTATTTATGGTATGGAATTTACTGTGATCAAAATGGTGCTCTGTTATTCCCAACGCATTTCCAATAAGAATATCACTATAGCCTTTGTATACTTGAATTGAGCACTCTTAAAGCAGTAAAATAAAGTAGTAAATAAATTAAATGCTAACAGTAAAAGATGAGACATAAGTGAATTTTAAAGTATATATAATACCCATTAATAAATAATGGGGGGAAGGAAAGGAGAAATACATGAAATTAATAAATATAGTATATCAGTAAATTATTAGAATACTGTGATAAAAATATAATAAATGATCACCAATGTGATGAAAGATTAAAATAAACTATTTTAATAAATGAAAATTAATATTAAGCATTTAGAATGTAATATAAAACTGATCATTAAAGTAATACTAACTTTATCTTATTTACACTTACCTCTATTTAATTATTAATAACCAACACTTTCACCAAAATCTTAGTCCCTTTTTACCTGTTCTACAAACCACTGCAATCTCTAAACCTCAGCTCCACAATAACCTCAATGAATGATCAATGATCAGAAATAGACCAGCATATAGCAAGCACAAACAGAGCTTTCTTCTTTCTATTGAATTCCTCAAAAATCTCAATAAATGTCAAATTTGTCTTCAAAGCGAAAGATTTGAAGAAAATTGTAAATTTACCTGACTGATCTGGGATCAAAGTACTAAGGCATAGAGAATTAAACTGGTCAATCATTATCTGATGATATGTAGTCAATGTGGTTAAAATGAGTGGGACAGGTAGCTCAGAACAACCAACCCATTAGGAAAGTTTTCTCACAACAATGAATATCTCAATAGGTGACAAGTCAAGTAAACCAGATGGATAGATCAAATCAATAAAGATTATGCTGAAGATTAATAAAGATTATCAATAACTGAAAAGCAATAGCCTACTATAGATTCAGACAGCCAAAGATCTACAAGGTTTAATAACACAAGAGAGAGAAAAAAAAATTACTGTCTTGAAACTTACAGCCCCCAGAATTTAGCTTGATTCATGCTTAAAGTTGCAGATATTTTTTCTGTAAATGTGCAAGACCTGATATGTTTGATTACAAGTTTGAATTAAATAAAAATAAGTCTTTATTTACTGAAGAACATGACATAAACATTGCCCTGAAACTCACTCATTTAACTTTCAAACAATCAAGCTAAAAGAATACAAAACATACAGAGCTGACCATCCAGACCACTTGGCGATACCACACAGGGATACTGTAATCTTTGTGGACAAATTGTTAAATCAGCACTTACTTCCTACATTCCTTACAATTTCCCTACAATACATCAACATTTCCCTAAATTCTTCAAAATTCCAGCTCACGATTGCCTCAGTGTATATTGCTCCCTACAAAGTTGTATCCACAAATGAATGAAAGAACTTTTTCTCTACAATGGGAAAATCAGTCATTCATTACAAATGAAGACTTTAATGCTAAAAACACAAGGTGGGGCTCTAAAGTGTCCAGTAATCCTGGAGAGAGGCTACAAAATTCATTGAAGACTTGAAACTTTGCATAATTTCTCCATCTCAACCTACCTATTCTCCTGATTCACTAATTCTTCTTTCTTACCAATTGCACATCGTTTCCTCTCTTCTTGACCTTTCATCTCATCACAGCCCAGTTTTACTTGAACTATCAAAGAACTCTTTCTCTAAACCTAAACTCCCTACATCAATTAATGGCTAAATAAACTGGGAAATCTTTTAAAATTTTCTGAACCACAAAATTATGTTACGCACTTTATTAGTACATCTGATTACTTTGACAATGCATTCAACTACTTGACAAAGTGATTTTTCCTTATGTCAGTCCATACTTATTATTATAAAATAAATACATAAAGTTAGAGCTCTATGGCAAAGAACTAGATTTCCATCATATAAAACTGAACTCAATAAACTAACTCAAAAACTTCACAAAGAATTATTAACATTTAAAAATGACAATTACAAGGACTATATAGACTCAATAAACAATAGAAATAGATCAGTATGGACAATAACAAGACTTTTCCTGAAGAAAAAGGACATTCATTACCCTACCCAACATAACAACACAACATCTGGGCAATAACAAGCAAAGAAAAAGCCAAAGAATTCGTAAAATAATTTTCCCAGTTATTTGGGACCAATACAATACAGAACATTACTCTCACCATTAAAATTGAAGATGGATTGACAACTCCATTACTTTTATCACTACCCCCACTAGCATTTCATCCAAAGGAAATATACAAACAAATTAACATATTCCCAATTAAAAAAGCTCCTCGTTATGATCTAATCACTCCCTTTAGTCTTTATCACCTATCTTGAAAAGCTGTTCCTTTTCTTACATACATTTATAACTGCATCTTACTCACAACCTATTTGCCTCACCTTTAGAAACTTTCTACAATTAAAATGATTTCTAAACCTTCAAACATACCACTAATAATTCACCCTGTCACCCTATAGCACTCCTTCCTATAATGAGGGAAATATTTGAAAAACTTCTCCTAAACTGTCTAAAGCCAACCTTTTGTTCTTCAGAACCATTTATTTCGTATCCAAAAGTGGTCCTATGAATGGAAAATCAAAATTAATGCTACAAAATCTACCCACATAAGTTTCTCTCTAAGGAAAGCCTTATGCCCACCTATAACTATTGACAACAACGCCATGCCTTTAAAGAACTAAGTATGGTATCTCGGACTCAACTAATACAAAAGCCTTACTTGGAATATACATATATATATATATATATATATATATATATATATACATACAAAGTTAAAAAAAAAAAGACAACTACTGACTAGACGATATAACCAATTCTCACATATTTTGGACTATAGATCCTCACTTAATTTAGGGAACAAGTAACTGATCTACATAACAATATATTGAATATCATTTGTAGATAAGGAACAGAACTTTGTGATTCAACAAAACAAACACACATAAAAAAATACTAACAGCTCAATCAAAAATACTATTAAAAATAGTTATTTTATTTTTTACAATAAATTAGGCCAATTTTCACCAACATTTTATTGATACGCATTAATTTGACGTTTCGACCATACTAAGGGTCATTTTCAAAACTCTATGACTCCTCCGTTCTATGTTCATCATTAATGTTGTAATTAATATGTTCACTGAACATAATAATTACAACATTAATGATGAAAATATAACGGAGGACTCATCAAGTTTTGATAATGACCCTTAGTATGGTCGAAACATCAAATTAATGCGTATCAATAAAATGTTGGTGAAAATTGGCCTAATTTATTATAAAAAATAAAAAACTTCAAGACCCCAAAAGTAGGGAAAATGAACAGAAGAAAAATAGTTAACATACTATGGTACATTTCAAATTACACTATACACAACTTCAACATTTCTACAGTAAAATCCTATATCTGCTTATATGTGGTGTGTTGAAGGGATATATAAACCCTTATACTTTCAATTTTTTTATTCTACTTGCAACATTACTTCTGTCTTATTTCTATGACAAATATACTACATTTCACTCTTCGACCCAAAATCACCTCAATCCAGTTGTTCATTCAATTTACTCCTTTAACAATAAACAAAGTATTAAAGTCATTATCAAAAAAATTCAAAGTAAATAATCAGCTACATCAAATTTTCTAGATGCGCTTCAAACACTTGTCAATAGAATAGAAGATTAAAATAAAAATATATCTAATGACTAGAATCTTCAATTTTAAACCTGTAGTATACAACCAAATTGTGCTAAACATTCTCCCATATGGCAGTATGATCTCAGCTCAAAATTTTTGATCTATCTTGATTAACATTTCATTCTGGATTCTTCTTCACCAAGCACCATGAAAAACCATCCTCCAAGAGATTTACAATGATCAAAAATGAAAGGGGGGCTAGAGAATCACATCTCACCCACCACAACCAGTCAACATTTCTTAAGGTACTATCTCTCTGAGCCTGTCCATAGCAGCGACCTCCATTCCTTACTGCCAGCCACTTATGCTAACTGTAATGGTTGAATTATGAGGTTAGGTTATGTCTCTACTATAAAATGTTACCCAGCCTGCCCAACATCTACAAAATGGTGGTTTCTTGTAATATTTGGAATTGAAAATATCAGCCCCATGATTGAAAAAATATAAAGAATTTAATGTAAGAATAGATGATGTATCTCTGATTTTATGTTTATAACTCTTTATTAGCATGATCATTTCAGTAATAAATATATCGTTGCTTTATTACAGAAAGTTATTAAGTAACATTTCATAAAATTAAATTACTAAGTATTTTGCTGAATTCCCCTCTGTAAAATCAAAACATTGTGCACTTGGTGTAAATATGTTTGATATATTTATTATTTGTGTTGTTTTGTAATTTTTAGTGTGTTAATGTTAAAAAAAAAATTTGCTCCATGAAAAATGTACTTTGTGACTTTCTGCAATAAACTGATTATATACTAGTAATGAAATCAAAACAAATAATGCTTTATGGTTAAGTAATTAATAAATTAGCATGTTAATTAAAAATGACAAATTGATTGTTCAATTTTCAGATTTGAGTATTTACTTGAATTTATTGCCCTGTTATTTAACATTGAAGAGAAGGATAGTTGGGGTGATCAGTAAAAAATAAAAATGGCAAAAATAAATAATTTATTTAAACATTTGCCGACGTTTCAATGCGATCAATAGTGATCAGCCCTGATGAAGGCCTGAACTTCGGGTCAAAACGTCGGCAAATGTTTAAATAAATATTATTATTTATTTTTGCCATTTTTATTTTTGACTGATCACCCCAACTATCCTTCTTTTCATTATTCATTACAGTCAACCATCAACCCACAATTATTATTTAATATTATTTGGATTTAAGTATAATAATTAATTTTTAAATAAATCAGGTAGTATTTATTATAATTTAATTCCACTCAAAAGAAATATATTTTCAGGTGATTGCTGGTCAGTTCCTGTCAGATAAGAAAGTCGGCACTTACGTTGAAGTTGATATGTATGGCCTACCAACTGATACAATAAGAAAAGAATTTAGAACCCGTGTGATTCCTAGTAATGGCCTTAATCCTGTATATAATGAAGAACCATTTCTATTCAGGAAGGTAACAAGATAAATTTTGATTTTCATCCTCTAATTAATTTCATAAGGTGTTAATTCTGATAGCATTGGCTTCATTAGATTTATAATCATAAGCTATGAAATAACTAGGACTGATTTGAAGGATTTATTTTTATTTTTTTTAATGCAAGTTTAATAAAAAAATCTATTCTTCATAGATCTTTGCTGCTATAAATTCCTATTAAGATCTTTTTTTCCAGTTGTGCAGATCCGTGATAGAGTTTTCTTTCAAGTTTGATTCAATTGATTAAAGTCATGAATTGTGATTTGTAGTTTTATGCTAAAATAAATATGTGGTTAAATAAATTTTTTTTTTAAACCTTTATTATGATATTTACAACTGTATTAGTATAATACATCAAGTAAATTTGTCCAGAGAAATATTATTACATGAAACACGCTTGTTGAGAAACCACCCACTGGTAGCACTCCAAAAATAAATTTAGTTTGAAATTTTGAAGCTTGATATCTGGAGGTTTGGCAAGGAAACAGTAATTTTCAAGATAACAAAACTGTGTTTTTTTTTCTTAGGCTGTACGGGGTTTACCTGGGTCAGGGGATTAATGCCAAAGTTCTCCTCCAAATCCTCCTCTCCAGGCCCCGTGACACTAACTCCTAATTATCTTTACCTAATTATCTTTGATCTAGGTTGCCGGGCAACCCATGGTGCTGTGCACAAGCATTTGCCCGCTCGGCCACCCTGCCCATAAAATCAGTTTTTTGAGTGATGGAAGTAAGCACTACTTTTGATTCACAGAAGAAAGGTCCAAACTGGCCATACTGAAAACACCATTATTTTTTTCGTTAGCTTATTTTTGTATTGAATACTGCCAATTGCTGATTCTTTGTGTGAAAAATGCCAAAAGTGATCTCACAAAAATCTTCATTTTTTTTTTTCACCACACTATATTTGTGAGCCAATGGTGCGACAAGCGTGTAACAAGTGAATACGTTTCAGCACTCCAAGGGTGTAACAGTTCTCAAACATACTAGAGCACTCTAATGGCTGTTGGTTTTTGCACCTACTCAAATGGGTGTGGATGAAGCTCTTGGACGGCCAATAGCCAACGTTAGTCGCTTGTGTGTAACTTTGTGTTCTGCAAAGGAATGGTCTGATGAAAAATGTTTCTGTTTATCAAACTATATCAAAAATATTTTATATCGTGGAATCCTAAAGATTCAAATTATATATCAAACCTCAAGATATCAAGCTTCAAAATTTCAAACTAAATTTATTTAACCACAACCAATTTATTTACCAATTGAAACATCGGCATATGTAAAAATAAATATTATCATTTATTTTTACCTTCTTTTTTGACTGACCACCCCAACTATTCTTCTCTTCATTATCATTTATTTACTATTTGTTGCTACACATTATGTCATATTGATATTTCCATTCTTCTGCTATATTATTATCTTTTACATGTTATAATACTGGATTGATTGGTATATTAGTAGGCAGAAAGCTTTATATACAGTAAGAAAAACCCATTGAAAAAACTACATAAAATATAAACTAAATTACAGTTTGTCAAAAACCTAAAATATACAATGCATAAACATAGGAATACTATATATCTTACAACGGAATAAATAATTCATTAACTTTTGTGGAAGAGTTTGTTACTGCTTAAGTGCCAATAACTTATGAAGTCGTGAAAGGTATAAAACTAAAAAATTTGTACACTCAATCATATTGCAAATTTTATCAGCTTTAATTCTGGACGGAACGCCTTGGTCGATGTGATGGATAGTTTTCCTGATATAACCGAAAATCCGAAAAAAGGGACCTAATAGGCGACCTCCTTCTCCCCCCTCCCACATCTTGCTCACCATCTAGGAGTGAGGACTTTTGGTATGTTTACCTCCTTAGTATCCCAAACAATATCTCAAAGTCAAAAATTGTGTCCCCGCCATTTCCTTCTATACCCACTTTTCGAACATTCATTGACTGGACTACGTTCAGGATTTCATCGAAATCTTTTCCTTGCTGTTGATAAAATTCTTTTGTAACTAGCCATGCTCCAAACCATCTGAATTATATTTTTATAATTGTTTTAAAATGGGCAATGTATTTTTAAGAAGTAACCTTTAAAAATAAAATCTACGGTGTGTGCTTTACACCGCACAATAAAAGTGAAAACATCAACAAAGCGAGATTAATAATGTAAAATGTAAATTTTTTTTTGTTCTATTTCCACAAAGTAATAACATATAATTATAATAGTGTATAAACTATTTTCTATTCTATATTAAAAAAATAATAACATACAATTATAATTATATATAAATTACTGTAGTAAACTTGGCTCTGACCGATCGTCATTTGTATCATATTCTAAAAATGATGCAATAGGTTTATGATAAATAAAATATGTGATGAATACTTTTGATTGGAATCTATTTGCTAAATATTATACAAAAACTCCGTCATAACTTCTGTTACGGGGGTCAAAACTTTATCAACAGAAAATCGAATAGAAACACAATTTTTTTATTTCTTACCTTTATCGCTAGTTAAAAAAATTTCTATATTTACTTTCTCTAAGAAGTTGCTGAATTATCCATGGTATTTAAATTTTGACAGATTTTAATCTATATGTTTTCCTGATAACAAAACTCGTTATCATTTGGTTTTTGACACTATTTTTTCCCCTCTTTGCCTTTCTGACAACTTAGTCTCATTGGCTTCCCACAAAAAAAGTCCAAAACGCACCTAAAGAAACTTTCACTTAAAAAAAAAAATTGGTACATCTGTTCTTTGATCTATATTTATGTCTATTTAAAAAAATGTATAGGATTTTTTCTATGATATAGTGTTATTATTCTACCAAATCAACTATGACCAACATATAGTGTACTGCAAAAACTACACAAGTGCAAATTTTTCGGATCAACTACATATAATATTCACTTATCATCTACATATCAAAAATATTCATAAATAATGTAAAAATTGATTGCTTACACTATATATTTTTATTTTCCAATAGTTTATTATTATTTTTCTTAAAATTGTGGAAATATTATGTGTGTTGTTAATGAAATATCTGATTCAAACATGCTATACATATAGAATAGAACTTTACTAATAATATAAAATAGCTGGCCCATGCGAATAATTCGCCGAATATATTGTTTAGTGACGAAATAGCAAAACAATATGGAAATAAGTAGATCCTATGAATTATGGGAGGGGAGAATTAATTGTGTTTTCCTTGGTGGATTACAATATTTCATTTAACATAATAGACGAAAATATTTTCATAAATTACTTTTCTAGAGCCTATTTTTAAACACTGAGGGAAAAGGTAATATTCAAAAGGAGGCCTCGATCAAGGGATTTTCTAAATTATTTTTAGAATTTTGTAGTGAATTTAGTAATCTTTCAAATGATCATGGGTAAAATTTTCTTTTCCTTCATAGTTTTTTTCTGAAATTCTGGGGAGATGTGACTATTATGCTAACCCTGAAGGACAAGAAGATCTTCAAAATGAGGAGTCAATCATTGGATTTGATGAAGATGTGTTCTAGCGACAAAAAAATATATTTTATAAATAATATGTAAAGATGATTAAATTAACTCTCCCTAGAACAGCTATAAATCAGGTGTCATGTTAAAGAGTTATAGTTAGACGTGTGTCAAATTCTCAGTCTCTTTATTTTTCTACTGATGGCATTGAAATTTATTTAAGCTAAACAGAATTTTTGTGAGTTAATTTTAAGTGAAAACCTAATTTTCTCAATTTGGTTAAAATCTTATCAAATGAAGAACAAGCTTTGTTATTGATGCAATAATAACTAATTTTGGTTGTTAGGTCGTATTGCCAGACCTTGCTGTATTGAGGTTCGGAGTGTATGATGAGAACGGAAAGCTGCTGGGCCAGAGGATACTGCCGCTGGATGGACTCCAAGCCGGCTACAGGCACATTTCTTTAAGGACTGAGGCCAACTTTCCCATGTCACTACCTATGCTTTTTTGTAATATTGAGCTAAAGATATATGTTCCTGATGGTTTTGAAGGTAATTTTTATATTAATATTATAATATGTTAATAATAATAATAATATGTTAACATAGTATTTAGGCTTACTGCATGATTTAAAAAAGTTACGAATAGTTGACACAAAATAACTTAAAAGTTTAAAGACAAAAAATCCTTAATAATTATAACACAATAAAATATTTTCACAATTTTTTTACCATCATATTCTTTATTGTAACAAGATTGAATGGGTCAGTTATAGATAATATGGGTAGTTAACAGTCCCTATATCATTTTATTTCAAATTTGTGTACAGTATCAAAAACAAAACTTATTTTTCATTCAAAAACTTATTTTGATGTATTTTATTTGTTTTATTTTTATTTTTAATTCTATAGATTTCATGGATGCTCTATCCGACCCTCGAGCATTCCTTTCAGCCCAGGAAAAGAGAGCACAGCAAATGAAGGCGATGGGAATTGAAGAAACTGACATCAATACTCAGGGACTTGCAATCGGCTCTGGTGAAAATTCTAAAAAGGCAAACAAAGAAGAAGAAAAAAAAGGTTAATTTCTTTTATTTTTAATATATAGTTGGAAAAAGATTAAATTTCTATACTAAAAATATCTTTAATGCCAAATTTAATAAATCAATCATTTTCAAACTGTTGTATGCTAAGACGTCTTTGTGAGGCTAAAACAATTTAGTAGTACCAACTGTAATATGTGGCATCCTTAAAGAAATAATTAAAATATACAGTTCTAAAAGAAAATGGACAGTCAAATATGATGAAACCTAGAAAAACTCCTTAACAAAAACCTGTTCATTCTTGATAAGTACTATGGTTCAGTTTACAGTTTATATTTTTACAAAATAGGTGTTTGCCGTAAAAATGGACACTTGTATCTATCTATCTATCTTAATGGCTCTACAAGCTTCAGTGGGTTCTGGCCTCCTCAATGAGCTTCTGCCAAATTTCTCTATTCTGTGCGGCCACTTTCCAGTTTCTGACTCCCAACAGGTCTGTAGCATCACCCGCCACACCATCTGCCCATTTCAATTTCGGTCTACCATCTCTCTTGGTATAGTGTAATGGCTCCTCAAGCACTCTTTTCGGGATTTCAGACCTCTCCATCCGAGCTATGTATCCTGCCCAATTCAGCCTTCCTAACTTTATTATTCTGATCACATTAGGTTCATTAAACAATTCGTAGACATCTCTCAGTTTTTCCGAATTCTCCAATCTAGTCCCTCTTTTACAGGGCCAAATATTCTTTTAGGGATTTTCCTTTCAAAGACCAGAAGGTCTATTTCGTCATTTTTGGCTACCATAGGTAAGAAGTGGCCAGATGAACTCTTTATAGAGCTGCAGCTTCGTTCGTTTACTAAGTAGTGAGCTTCTCATGTGCTTAAGTAGGCCAAAATAGCATCGGTTGGCAACTGTTATTCTCCGCTTTATTTTAAGTGACATCTCATTTTTTGCTGTAATATGAGATCCCAAATAAGAGAACTGTCGGACATCCTCAAAGGTGTAAGGGCCTAGAGATATTCTTTGGTTTTGGGGATTCTATCCTCCTGTATACATATATTTTGTCTTATTCTCATTAATGTCGAGCCCCATCTTAGCTGCAGCTTTTTGCAATTCCTAGAAGGCACCTTCGAGAGCTGTAAAGGAACGTGCAACACTTGTTTGGACACTTGTAGGCTGTAAATAAACATAGGTACTTTAAAAAAACAAGTGAATCCAATTTAAATTTAATCTAGTTTTTATTTTATGTCTAATAAATAGATACCTTATAACTGTTACTATATAATTTTAAGTTTGTTTTTACTTTTTTAATTTTATGATGAACATTTCAGTTGAGGATATTCAGTTCGAGGTTATCACAATTGAAAATCTTAAGCTAGAAAAAGAATTTATAAAAATTCAAAGGAAGCAACAAAAGCAGCTTGAAGGGCTTCAGAAAAAGCATTCAAAGGAAAGACTGATGATGCAGAAGCAACAATGCGCAGCTGTCGAAAAGCTTGTTAAAGGCAAAAAGTAACAAAATATACTTGCAGTTATTAACATATCGATAATTAGACATTTATTCTTAAATTGTCTCAATAATTATTATATATTTAGATTCTTTTTACACTTTGCCCACAAGTCCACTAGTCATGGTCAAAACACAGTAGTGATAACATTTTTTTTATTTTAGTGTTTAAGTGATGGTTATCTCCCTCATTAACACCTAATCTTTACCAGGATTGTTAGATGAGTCCAACCTATGATACTACATTTATAAAATATGGTCATTGAATTAATAATTTTTACACTTTTTTTTCTCTCTCTTTTTCCTTTCCTTGAAAAGCCGCCAACTCAAGTCCTGTTTTGCTTCATTTATGCTGTATTATAAGTCTGACTTTTCTAACAATACCTTGAAAAGGAAACATAACATCCCTGCTATGTTCAAATAAAAAGAATTTAAATATTTTAATTGTGACCTGTATGCAAAGTGGTGGTAAAATTTAATATAATAAAAATTTAAGCATATGAACTATTATATATTTAGGCAACTTTATTTATTAAATTATTATAGTTAGTGGTACAGATCCCTTTTATCAATCAAATTATTAACATCTGCCTAAAACTTCGTGAATAGCTTAATCTCATCCTAACCTACAAATATTTTGTTTACAAAAATTCTCAGAATTGGGTTGTTTTCAATATGGAGATTAGCAAACTTTGTCTATTTAATTAATTAGGTACTAAAAACTCATGAATAGCTTTCCATTTGAATTATAAGCTAATAGATCACAAAATCAAAGAAAAAGGTACCTAATTAAATAGACAAAGCTTACCGATCTCCAGATTTAAAATGCCCCAATTCCAAGAATTTTCATAAATAAAATATTTGTAATTGGTAAATGGTTGACTGTCGTGGATAATGAAGAGAAGAATAGTTGGGGTGGTCAGTCAAAAAAAAAAAAAGATCGAAACGTCGGCATATGTAAAAATAAATATTATCATTAATTTTTGCCTTCTTTTTTGACTGACCACCCCAACTATTCTTCTCTTCATTAAAATATTTGTAGATTACCAAGAGATGAAGCTATTTATGAAGTTTTAGTCGGATGTTAACTCTTAATAGGCCTAGGTATCTTTAAAGACACCTCCCATAATTTACTTACCCAAGAGAGGAACTGCTTCCATTCATATCTTTTTGGGCCACAATCCACACCTCTGTAGCCTCCTAACATTAGTACATGAGACAAACGTCGATTTATTGTTATTGGAAGCGAACTATTAACAATATATTGAAGCATATCACCATTTTTTTTTACCACACTGTTTCACATTAGTCACCAGACAAGTTTCTAATGTAAATATGAATTAAAATGAGTAAATTAGTTTTAAAACATTGTATTTAAGTTCTTACATGTTTCATTTCCTAGTCTGGAGAGGAATAAAATTTTTGCATGAATTTTAATGATGTTCTACTTAAGTTCACTCTGGCCTAATGGCAACAAATGTGCCTGTGGTTCATGATTTTACATTATTTCTTTTTTTTTTTTGCTTTGCTACCAAAATTTAACATCACTTCTGATGGAAGAGAGCAACAATGAAGAAGAAAATGTAGACAAATGCCCCAAAATGGCTACAGCAAAGCTGAAAATGAAAGTAATAAAATATTGGAAGATTTCAATATTGAAGATGAAAATTACAACAATATCCAGTACAATGAATTGTTGACAATGTGTGAAGAAGTAAAAGATCCCATTTCCACTGGAGTACATGAAGAAACTTTAATCCCAATAAAATTAAAATATTTATTATAATTATTATGTAATACCTCCAATGATAAAAGACCCTATAAAGAAAGAAAAATTTCAAGACCACAATTCAGGTGAGTAAAATATTAACATTTATTTCATATTACTCAATCCCTTTTTGCCAATGCATATCTGTTGTTAAAAGGAACACCCTAAAATAAATTTGACTTTAAAACAATTTCGAATACAAACTGCAGAGAATATGCTGCTGTATAGACAAGCTAAAAGAACTAGTGGAACCAGAACACCACCAATTGCATGAAAAAAAGAACAGCTGTAGCTGTCATACCCAACGCAGCAAGACTTGATAAGATGCACCATTGGCAAGTATTAACTACAAAAGAGAAGTGCAGACTGTGTTGCCAGAATCAAACGATTGTTTCCTGCCAAAAATGTAATGTGAGAATTCGGAACACCAATTAGAGGCTCTGTTTTCTTGAATTTCATTGACAAAGGAAGGAGTGATGTTATTTTTCATGGATTAATGTTTTGTATTTTATTATATTTTGTTTTCAATATACTTCTTTTTTATTTACAACATTTTTCTTTTATTACCTAATAAATTATTTAATTCCGTTTTTAAAAACTATGATGTCAGTTTATTAGCCAAAGTGAATTTAAAGAAACCACAATCGATTTACTGTGATTGGCCAAAGTGTACTTATTATTTATTTATTTAATTACAGTTTAAGGTTCCACGTACAACGTCAAAGGTTAGAGGCACCGTGTTTCTGTTACATAATTTAAATCATTTTATACAGTTTTCTATCCTTCAAAAATTGCAGCAAGTTCTTCTGGTTTCCCTGTTCAAAGGCTTGACAATTTTCCATGATGTGCTCGATGGTCAATGGTAAGTTGCAGCTGCGCTTCCCTTCAAGGAGGTGCCCATGCGACAGCCTTGTATGTCCTATTCTGAATCTACAAATTATGGTTTGCTCCCGACGGTTTCCTGTTATTTGAGGCTGTCCTGTATCTTCATAAATGTTCTTCAGTTTGTTGGTCTTTGGGACCTTGGACTAAAAATAGCGCCATGCTTCTTTGCAATGATTCAGCACGGCAGGATTGAAATCGTACAGCACCGTGTTAAGTTTGGGTTCTGGAAATATGCTTCCAAAGTGTACTTAAAGACACCATGCAGTATTTTTATAAAAAAAGGAAAAGATTAAACAAAATCATATATATTCTACTTATTTAGAACACAAAAAAGAATGTTTAATTTTTTCATTTTTTGAGTGCCTGGCCATTTATAGGTTAATAATCTGACAAAAAGGCATCTATACCACGGACCATTATTATATACATCATATTTCCTGTTTTTATTTATTTTATTTTATTATTTTTATTTTTATTTTTTTTTTTTTGCTCTTTGACAATACATGCTGTCTCTAAGAGAACTGAGTGTTGAACCTCTCTCAGCATATCAAGAAGTAATTTTATACCATCTGTGCCTGCCACTGTTGACTTTGGTATCAGTCCATTGGTGGTTATTATAATTTGGGTGGTGGTGGCACTCTTCAAATGATATAATTTCTTCAATTGTGTTGCTAGTTCCTGATTTTTTCTGAGTTTTACTCCAACAGTGGAGCTTATATTATCAGCCTTGGGGATCCTGACATCAATAACTGCTGTTTTTTTTTTCTCTCATATCTATAAGGAGGATATCTGGTCTATTATGATGCACAGTATGGTCCGTAATAATTGATTCATCCCAATAGAGCTTGAAGAAACTTTTTTGGAGAAGTCTATTTGGGTGATAATTATAATATGGGGTGTTATCATCTATCATCACCGTCAGGGCTTGATGAAAAATTATGGCCACATTGTTATGCCTCTGAAGATATTCGGTACCAGCTAATTAATACTAACACTCCACATCCATCTGTTAGATAGATTCCAGCGTTACTGAGCATAATCAACATTTATCCAATGTTGTTGCGTATTTGCCTTCTTTATGATCTAGTGACAATAACTTGATCGTGAATGGCTTTTAAAAATCCTTCTGTCTCGGAGAATGTCTTTCCAGCTTTTAACCATTCGACTGATATTTCCTTGTCAATGGAGCTATCGTTCAATTTGCTGTAGAATCTTCCATGCACAGACTTATTTTTCCATTCTGTCAATTGTTCATGTTCTGAGACAATTACATTATATTATTATGTATGAAAAAAAAAATACATTTAGAAAATGAAATATTTTACTATGAGTAGTATAGTAGAATAATTAAAGAATCTGGCATGTACACAGATCACACAACTTTTGTTTAAGAAGTAATTCAATGATAGTCTATTTCCATTGGTAAATATCTTCTATACTTATTGTACAGGACTAAGTATACAATACTGATCATCCCTCTTCAAGTATGTTTTTTTTTCTTGTTATTATCGTTTATTTACTCCTATTACTAAATTCAATCTAGGAACTGGTGTTTGCTAGTTAGTCCTCTGAGTTTCAATCTTTTTCACATGTATATTATCATAAAATGTTAAAAATGATTCCCTGATGATGCCTGAATTGGTAAAAAAATTTGTTATTGAAGAATAAATTTACTTTATGGCAGAGACTACTGAGACCTAATCCACTACCTACACTTCTAGTATGGTCTCCTTCTTGTTGTTCTCATTAACAAATAGAAATATTAGGATTATTTTGATTTATTTTTATAAGGTCCACAAAATTTTTATTATTTTGAGAGAGAGAAGAGTAATTTAGATACTCTATTTCATAGGATTTTTGGATAAGAAGTTGTTAATCTTTCAAGTAAGATTGTTCCTAACTCATTTTTATATCTATTGCAGATAAAAATTGACTGCAGAATATTCTCGGTCTCAGTTATAATCCTATAAATCTCTTCTTTTTTTTAAATTAATAGTGAACAGATTATTATTTTCTTAGAAATTTATGCTTTATATTATATGGACTTTATGCTGTTTACCTCTTATGCTTTATATTGTATGAACTTTATGCTGTTTACTTCTGGGCTTGGGTAGGGAGAATATACTCCCACTATGGTTGCTTGTGAAAGTGATTAAATAGGATTTTATGCCAATGTTGGTTAAAGTTATTAATTTTTATATAATTTATTTATTTTTTAAATAATATCAGATTAATTAACATCTGTTTGTTTAGTAAAAATGATGTATCAAAGGAAGCTGAAGTCAAGGAGGCGGTAGCTAGTCAAGTAGAGCAATGGTCAGAAATGATAGAAAAGCAGAGAAAGGAGATCTGGGCCATGAAGAAGCAGCACGTTACTGAGCAGCAGGAATCTTTGACGAGGCTGATGGAGCAGGCCCACGCCAGCCAGATGAAGCAGCTTGATGGGAAGCATGATAGGTGTGTTGTGTTCTCCTACAATAGTGCATTTCAAGTTTAATTCAGTTCCATTAGTTCAGTTATGATGAGAGAAAAATTAATTTATTGTACTAATAATGTATTTGCTTGATCTCTTCTACTTAAGATAAAATCCTTTACCAAAGCTCATTTAATTATAGAATGTATCACTACATTTTTCGAAATAACTCTACTTTGAATTTTAATAAATATATTTATTTCTTCTCAGGGAAATGAAGGAAATCAATGCCAAGCAGGCCAAGATTTCAGTTGAAATGATGAAAGAAGTGATGAATGATAAAACATTAAGGACAAAAGGAGAAAGAGATAGGAGACTGAGGGAGAAGAAGCAGAACAACACAAAAAAGTTCCTAGACGAGCGGAAAATGCAGCAGGTAACTTTGAATAATATATTACATTTGATCTTTTCCTTTTATAACAGTCAAAGAATTGAGTTTTAAAAATTGAACTTTTATTTACTATATCAGTCCTCTTCATTGTGTTGTCTTACTAAAATGAATCTTCTTTTATGATGTAGAGATGGTTGACTGTGATATAATATAAGAAGGAGTTGAATGGGGGGATGCGGTCAAATAAATACTAAATTTTAAAATAGTATTCTAATTGTTACGCCGACGTTTCGACCCACTTTGTAGGTCTTCATTAGGGTGGTATAGGGAGGGGGCGGGGTGGCCGAATGGGCTAAAGTGTGTGCACAGCACCGCTAGTTGCCTGGTAACTGGATAACAGAGATTTGAGATGATTTAAAAAGTACGAGTTCGCGTCCCGGTGCCGGAGGGGATTTTAAATTCCCCGCCCTCATCTCCCGGCCCGGGAAAATCCCGTATAGCCTAAAAGGCGAGGTAGAGAAGAAAAAAAAAAAAGGTACTGCAGGAAGCAGTTGATTGACTGGCCAAATCTTCTTTTAATTAGAATTTGTATCTCACTCACTGAAGCTAGCTCAAGTTCTGGCTTAGACTATCTTTTTATATCAACCCCTCTCCCCTCTCAATCAATGTTATATGTTTGTTTATTTAGGCTTAAAGTCCTTTTATACTCCAACTAGATCAGGAAGGATAGATTATCCTTCTGGTAATCAAAGTATTCTAGCCAGAGTGGAAAGGTCTAGATTAATTCCATGCATTCACCTCAAAACAATTTTCAACACACCTCGGCTGGATTTGACCAATGCTGATTCGAAAATGCTCAAGTAGGCAATCTCTTTACACTTTCAGCCACCATTGCCTTAGTGAATGTGAATTATGACTAAGAGAAAACAGCAAATTAAATAGTTTTTTTTTATCATAACAACCATATTTAGGATTATAACACAGATATGAAACTAAAATCATAGAAATGATAACATCAGAATCGAAAATTTCTGCTCGTATTTTACATTTTAGACATCGAGGATCAAATTTAGTTCAGTGTCTATCTGTAGTCAGATTTTATTTATTTTTTTGTTCTCCCCATCTTTTTTTGTTTGGTTTCCCACCCAGGGCATTAGGAATGGGGATTAATGCCAGAGTTAAAAGCCCCATTCTCCCTGGCACCGGGATGCAAAGTCGTAATTATTTTTTTCCCTGTAACTTTGGTTATCAGGTTGCCGGACAAAGGTGCTGTGCACATGCATTAGCCCGCTCGGACACTCCGCCCCATATACCTATTCACCTGCTATAGATCAGTTTGAATCATGTCCAACTAGTAAATCTAAGGTTTCATGCTGTGGCTCCGGGTCTCATTTCTTTTACCCACTCCAGTTATGGCAATCACGTTATCTGCTGCATGGATTAAATCTAGGTACTTGATAAGTACAGCTCATAAGCTATATCTGCTTGGACGAAACCATCAACGCTCAACCAGAGTAGAGTGGTGCTTGCGAGAGTGATCGATGGCATCACCAGTAGAATAAGATATTGCATGAGACTAGTCCCCTTTACTCATTATTTATTTGATAAATTTAATCTAATACTAACTCCTTAAAATTAATGCGCCATCAGAAATAAAGGTTTGATGAGAAAATCAGTTCAAAATACCTCCTCACAAAAATATCTTCCTACTGTAATTTCAGCCAAGAAAAAAGCTCCCAGTCATATTGTATGTGCCTGGTTCTCCATTGTTGTAAAATATCATTATTATTAACATTTATATATATGTAATGTTCACAGATCAAACAAGGGAGAGAAAAGGAAAAATTAAGTGTAAAACATGAGAAACAGAAACAAGACTTGTTAGCCGAAGTTAATAGTGTAAGTAAATTTTTTTTGATAGCTCTCATGTTGATTTTATATAAAATCCTCTCCACAGCAACTAATTCAAGGTTGGTGAGACAAATTGAGAGTCTTATTAGTGATTACCAGTGTGGCTTTAGACAAGGAAGATCCACTACTTATTTTACTTTCTCTGTAAACCAACTATTGGAGAAGAGTGATGAGCATAATGTTAGCCTGCTCCATCTTTTTATAAATTTCAAGCAGGCTTACAAAGGTAAAGGTAATTGGTAGAAAGGGGATGGTGACTTAGAAGATAAGATCAATAGCTAAAGCCAAACCAAAGCCGGTAAGATTAGTAGAAAAAGATGTGGAGGAAAACTATAGGATTGTCTGGAAATTAATGCAGGTTTATAGTTTTATAATAAAACAAGAAAAAATAAATGATACATAACAGTTTTTATCAACTGAAATATGCTCTATTACTCTTGATACATTTCTGCCAATCTGTCAGTAACTTTTTCATTCCCTCTGTTTAGAATGTTGAACTGTGATTATAATCAAATTATAAAAGTATGTTTTTTAATAAATGTTGATCAATAAAATGTTTACCTTTCAAACAGTGCCCCAGATATCTAAAAAAAATTATGGTAAGTTGGTAAGAGGTCTGGAAAAATGACAGGTGAGGTTTGTGTATGTTAAGCAAATAAGTGCAGCACGAATTTCATAAGGAAGATTTTTTTGGTAGTAATTTAATGTATGAGAAACCCAAGCTTAAAGCTTTTTTATCTTGAGTTGAAATGGTCAGTGATGGCCAATTTGCTAACAGAAAGTATCTCTGTTAATTATTGAACATTTGTTCTTGGATTTTCTACAACCAAAGCTCTCAGACCATCTTTAGCAAAGGGAGATGTCCTTCTATGACCATCTTTATCTTCTCGGTCAAAATCTCCTTCTAGAATTTTTTTTAAACTATTGTTGAACGACACACTCACACTGCCATTGCCCCAGAGGTAATTGATGTTCCTAGCATATTGGGCCTTGTTCTATGGTAAAATTTATAATAAAACTTTTGAAAGGTAATTAAATTACCAACAAAACCAAAAAAAAAAATCATTGGAATCAAGTGATTATTAGCGTATTAGCGATGATACAGTGTATTCTATTTTCTACACCTGTTTTAATTTATCACTTTCCTACCTATACTAGGTAAGGAAAGTATTGCAATCGGGTCAAATTTCAAATTACATTTCAGAGCCCCCTGAATCCGAAAAACACTGTTTTTTTTATTGTAATGAAATTTTCTACAAAACTATATAAAAATCATTGATTTCGATCAACTATTAACAAAGTTACAGCTATTCAATTTCCAATGTAAGATTAAGGGTACACATCCTGGTGTCAGAAAGGGGTGAATGAGAGAAAAAAGATAACTACAAAAAAAAAAAAAAAGATGACTAAGTGAAAGTAAGAAAATCTGTTGCCCACATCACACAAGCTTCTCTATTTTCTCTACTTTTAACAGAAATTATTGTTTGACAATATTAGGCTATGGCAAAAAGTTTTTGATCAGCAATATTAGAAGATATTGAAATTTTTACACTGATCTACCTTAACCCGGTTTACATTGCTTTAGTTTGTTAAATAAATCGTACTCAAATCTTTTCTTTGATTAATTTTCAGGAAAATAAATCTATTTGATTTTTTTTTTGGTTCTTTATGTACATATGTAAAGATATGGAAACTTTTCTGAAATAGGTAGGAAAGTAGTGTGAATGGACACACCAGATTTTTATAATTATTTTAGCATCATCCCACATACGTAGTCCAGTACCATTATTCTGTTTCGAAGTCTAAAGGTTCTGTTTCCATCAGGGTGGATTCAGGGAAGTTTGAAGTAGAAATTATTCTCAAATGTTTTTATTTCATTCATGGTGTAATTTTTATTTATTTTGAGTGTCCGTAATATTCCCTGATTAGCCTGCTTGGACAGAATTTTACTAACGTGGCATGCAGCCAGAATATTATCTACCTTCAGGCAAAACTTCCTCCAAGCCTGTCTTTTGGCTCGCCTTATAAATTTGTGATACTCAGTAACAACTCTATTGTAGCTACTTTGACATATATATATATCACTTTACTGCCAATATTTAAGAGTAGAAAAAACATCAAATTGGTTGAAAGGAATCATTTTTCATTTATTTTTATAAAAGGATTCCTTTTTCACAGAAATTTCTAGTGGAGTAGAGATACCAGTGAGGAGAATATATCCCTAAATAAACAACTCATTTTTATTTAATTTTCATCAGATTTATATATAATTTTTATTTTAGATGTTGGATGTTTATAAAAATGAGGAGGTAGAATTTGGACTGGCCAACAGCGTAGAGTTTTTTACTTGAAATTGGTCGCTAGATCCACCGCCTCGAAAGTCGATCATCATTCTGCTATTATTCTAGTCAAGTTGATCTGGTCCTAAGCTACTTGAGTAATACCTGATCAGAACTTCATCACAGAGTATTTTTTTTATAACGACCCAAAGCTCTGTTTTTATTTCATTGTGTCCATATTTTTTAATGTTTTAATTCTTATTATTATATAACAGTTCTTATTAAGGTTCAGAAGGATGAGTTCACCAATTCTCTTAAGTGCTTTAGGCCTTAAATACTATTAGGGAAATATGATTATTTTATATTGTAAAGATAAAGATTTTTGATTTTATATATTAATAGCTATGAACTGAGTTGATATATTGCCATTCTGTCAAACAGAGCAATAATTATTTATTATGTGTATGTTAGATTAAAAAAAAAACAATATTTAGAATATTATATCTCTTTATATTAAATGTGTTCTAGATTCGATCAAAATAGTTCGTTATCAATTATAAAGTTCATTATATTAAAAAAATTTATCTATTGTTTTTAGCTAAATAAGTATGTCGAGGATAGAAGAACAAGGAAGCAATAGGGCCATTAAAAGTATTTTGGCTTTCAAAATTATTACTTACTCTTAGGATTTATTAACAATGTTTTCATAATAATTTAACGGTTGAGTATGAAAACCAGACAAATAAATGATTTTCAGTTTTTATGAAAATTATATAGAAGAATATATTCTCTTTTTTATGTCAAGTTAATTCATATCCATCCTCCCTCCTTAAGGAAGCTATTGTATTTGTTTCTATGTATTAACATGGTTAACATCTGTTTATCTAATTGTTTTTTCTGATGCAGTTAACACTTCTGAATATTGAAGGCAATGACAATCAGGAAAAAAAAAATCAGTAGAAACAGATTCATTATTGGACTTTTTCATCTTTAGACCATTTATACTTTTATATATGTTTTTATAACCGAGTCCATTTCAAAAATCATTCAATAATTTTTAGCTTTCTCATGGACTATAATATATATTTATAATGTTGGGAGACCATATCTATATAATATTTATTCTCAAAATTGTTTACAGAAGAGATGGTATTTACTAAATCCAAATAATGTTCTGACGAATCATTGTGAATAATGGTCTGGAAATCAGTCACTTTTTTATATTTCTGCCTACTATTATTATTCAAAATAAACCTTCATACATTCATCAATTATGTGCCATCTAATTTGAAGTAAAAAAAAAAAAAATAAGTAGTAATGTTTTTTTGTACATCTTTCTCTAGGTTAATAGTGTCGGCAAAACAACTCAAGTGATCTTGATTTATTTTGATAAAATATTCAACTAGGCTCTAAATTACTATAATGTAGGATAATTAATGATTTATTAAAAACTAAAGTACAGCATGTTTTTATATATAATATTTTCTTATATGGATTATTTTTTATCATTATGTATGGGTTAAGAGAAAAATGGTTGTATGTATGTTTTTCTCTAGGTTAATAGCATCGGCAAATAACTTTAGGATCTTGACTTATTTTGAGAAAATATTTAATTAAGATCTAAATTGCTGTTATAGTTGTATTTAGTAGGTATTTTGCAGGTTAATTAGTGATTAATTAAAAACAACCATCTTGATAACACATTAAAAAATATTTGAATGTATTTATTAAAATTTCTTTATACATCATAAATATAATTTAAAAGTTTAATCTATACCAGTCCATGATTCAGGCCTCTTGTGATGAAATTAACACTCATCTAAAACCTTTCGTGAATGGCTTCATTTTATCTGCAACAATTCTCATAAATGGGGCTGTTTTCACTTTGTAAATCATTAAGTAAATTAATTTAATGATGTGCTAAAAATTCATTAACATTTCTTTGCTTTCCATTTGAGTCATAAGATTTGATCAACTAATCAAGAAAAAAGGAGCCTTATAAAAATATCGGTGGGTTGTTTAATAGCTTATTGGATTTTTTACATATATTATACTTTATGCTTTTGGGAATTACATTGAAAAATTGGCGAAGGAAAAGATAATTCTTAAAATTTAAAAAAATATCTTTGGGAAAATAAAAAGATTGAAAACAAACTTTTTTTTTTAATGTTCATTTTTGGAGTATTCCTCTATCATCTGAGCTTTTTTTTATTTTTGTATAATTTTATGTAGCTGTACTATAATGTTAAATTATTTCTTCCTTATATAAATCCATAAACAATATACAATTTTCATTAGCTGTAGTCAATACACTCCAGTAATCCAAGCTTGAAAATACAAAAATTACATGATAAAAATCCCTTAAAATCTAAGAAAAGAAATAGTGAAATATTTTTTTTTTAAATATGTTTTTATAAGTACAAATAATGAAGTAAGTATAGTATTCAGTTTAAAATAAAATTGTATATATTTATCAAGTTTTAATATGTTATTGTACGTAGGTTTTCCAAACACAGTAACACAGTAATCCTTAAATGAATTAGTTCGGTTTATTGATATTGCACTATAATTTTGCATTGTGAAATTGGAAATTCCATGAATTTTATGCCTTTAATATCTCTGTAATCTGATTATTGATTTTATCAAGAAAATATATTGAACCATTATTATACAGATTTTGAAGTGCTTTAATTTTGTATAGAATAATAGCCACAAACCTAATTTGTTGGAGATATTCACAAAATATGGAAAATGAAAATCAGTTCCCCTCCTACAGTCAAAACTCCTGACCAAACTCCCTTCCAGAAATTTGAGCAGTTTGTGAATATTTTCAGCATTTTTTTACATTCACTTATTTTCTTTTTAAGACGCTATGAATAATCCAGAAATTTACTGATCTATATTGATAAAATCTTTATCTTTTTGCTGGGAAGTTGTATGCTATTCTCTGTTTTTGGCAATAATAACTTCCAATTAAACAACAATTGAATTTTCTTTCTCTTTTTTTGTAATGTATTTCTAGGCCTGTGTAAATTTTAGGCTAAATATGTCAAAGTGTTCTAAGCTTAATTTTATAAGAAAAAAAAATATACAAAATGGGTATAATCAGTACAGTTCTTATAATTAAATTTACATGTTTAGAGCATAGATCTGAAAATCATAAAAATGTAGATCAATATAACCATTTGAGTTTTAGTCTCATTAAATTTATGTGTTTTCCAAATTCCAGTTTAAAAATGGGCTATTTCCGAGAATTTTCAAATATGAAACAGTTTTAGAATCTAATAAAATAAAGCTACTCATGAAGAGTTTTAGATAAGTATTAATACTTTGATAAAAAGGGATCTGAATCGTGGGCTTGTATGTATTTTAAATTATATTCATCATGAATAGATTCATTAAAATAATTAAAAAAAATTATTTTTATTTCCTTTACATGAACAATTTTTTAATATTATTGAAATGGTTGTTTTTAAACATCACTTATTAATGAAAATAATTGAAATTTATGCCCTGATTGAATACTTTTTCCAAACGAGTCAAAATCAATTGAGTTGTTTTGAGGAGAAGACATTCAGCCATTTTTCTCCGTAACGCATCAATAATAGGACATTTTTTTTTTCGTTTGGCACTATAGACCATGAAGATCTTTAGCCGCGAGATGTGGTCTCCTCACAGACGTATGTTGCTAAGAACCATGGTCCATGGTGCAGCAGCAGGCCAACCGTAGCTCCATAGCCGATTCCTTTGGGGCCAATCTGGCAGTATCCTCTCTCGGGTTTAAGGATAGTGACAAATTGGTCTAAATTCATGGATTATGGCTGCTCGGAGTCAGCAGGCGCACAAGGACCTATATTTCTTTCCCCAAAACAGACCGTCCATGGACCGAATCTCAGGGGGCTACTAACATCCTGGTTAACCACATCCCAATTCCCGATTTAAGTACACGGAGTAGGGTCATCTGTCCTACATCCGGTCGGTGTGAGTTGCCTCCAGTAGGCTGACGGGCCTCTTATACCCGGGGGGGAGAGAGACTTGGGCAGCCTGGCTTTCTCTGGTGGACGGTCACACCCAAATCGGGCGGTCACCCATCCAAGTACTAACCACACTCGACGCTGCTTAACTTTGATTACCTATTGCAAACGCATTAGCCCGTACGGCTACCCCAGTCCCCATCAATAATAGGACATAATAAAACAATAAGTAAATAAATAAAACTTTGCATACATCAAATTATATGAAACATAATGGTTTATTTTGGATTATAATAGTCTTTAGACTTGTCTATTGCTTGTCAGAAAATTCTTTAAATTTAATAAATACCATCTCCTCCAAAAACAATTTTGTGAATAAACATTATATTGGTATGGTACCGTAGTCCAAGAGACTCCACTAAAAAATAAATGAATAAAAGTGTAACTGGCCATAAAGATAAAAATGTCCAATGATTCATATTGTTTCTACTGATATCTTTTCTGACCAAGGAATTTACTGATGTTTGCTATCAGAAAAAATAATTAATAAAGGATTAGTATAAACATAATGTAAGGTGTATTCATATCTGTGATAAATTACTTCCTTTGGAGATTTAAAAAATCTTTGGAAACTATAATTTTGTCATAGTGATCAGTAATTTTTTTTTCTGCAGCACCCTTTTGTATTTTGTAGTCACCCTATTTAATTAGTATTATGATGTCTAAAAGATATTTCATATCTCTCTAGGCACTCTGTATGAAATGATTTAATGCGATATATTACAGCTATGAATAACTTAAGGTAGACAATAGTTTGAACGGCTATTCAAAAAGATTATTAGGTTAACAATGAGGATTTTTTAGAACTGTTTTTTTAACTTGTAATTTTTTATTCACATTTACTAAATTGTAATTAAAAAGATAAACATTTTTCATAATGATAATAAATTATTTGTCCACAAATATGCTATGTAACAATGGGTTGTATTGCATTTAAATGCTTGGATTAACAAAGATATTTTTTAAATAACGAGTAGAATAAAATAAGCATTTGTGTAAAAACATCTTTTCCAATGACAGCCTAAGTTCAAGAGTTTGCCTGATCTAGATAATAATTTGTACAAATATTAGTAATTTTTACTAATGGTTTAAAAACTCGAATAAAATTACTGCCACACTTCTAAACTGTGAAATTATTTTGTTTTATTAATGGTAAGTGATTGTACAATGAAATGAATGTTTTGTTTTAAATACTTATGATTATTGTACTATCTAAGTTAATAGGCAATTGTATCAATTATATTTCGGCATGTTGCTTCCAAAGTTTTTCTAACTTCCTCGATATAGAGAGCAGTATTGCTGGATGCCAAAATTTAAACCATATGCATGTGCTTTATTCTGTATTCTTTATTAATTGTTCGATAGAAGAGAGGTTACGTTTTTTAAGATTTCCTCTATTGTTATTGTCTTTTTGAGCATTATATTATGTAAATTTTTAAAAAATTTCTACAATATTGATATATCTTTTAAGTAAAAAAATAAGCAGACATTATAGTTATATAGTTTATTGATATAAGCTGGTGATTTTTTTTCGGCCTTTCGCAGTTTATAAAAAGAAAATTATTTTTCAAAATAGATTTTAGAAATTCTTTATATTGGTACATATCTATATCTATTCTCGCCGAGTATAATAACACTCGTGACCAAATTAGCGTTATGGATAATTTAGTTTCTAATAGTTTGTATAATGATATACTTGTTTATAGTATTTCAGAATGCCTACATCGGTCTATTATATTAATTATAATTACAATTCAAAAAATATTATTGTTAATAGATATTGTTAAGTATACTTTTTTTTTTAATTTAACCTCATTTGCATCTTTTGACCCTTTGTACCTGAGAAAACTCCAAACTTTTATTATTCAAAAGACACTATTCTTTATGCAAGAAGATTGTGAATTTCCTCAATTATTGATTTGTATTTTATTATTTTTGTTGTGTTATTTTTAATTTGTTTTATGTTTCTTAAATACAATGATACCTCAGGAATTTGAATTTATGAACCAGATGATATTTGTACCTATAATTGAAGTGATGCTCTGGAAAAGGATGCATATCTTTAATTTAACATTATTTTTATTTTGATAAAAATGCATTTTTAAATTTAAATCCTTACGTTATATCTGTTAAAGATAACTTAAGCAAACACTTATTTTTTCAGGGGATTTCAAGTCTTACAAAACTTATTATATTATTCTTTGTGTCATTGTATATGCAATATTATTTTATATAGGATTATCCAAAAGTACAGTGACCAGCAAAAGTTTTCATACACACATAAGTTGAAAATAAAAATTATGGTGTGGTGCGCCCATCGCACAACTTTCACTTACCATTCTTCTTATAGCAGAAATAAGTATTTTCAGACAAAGGGAAGAGAAAGTAAAAATTACAGACGGTACAAAATATTACTTTCACTTACCTATATATGTAATATGTAATGATGTAAATAAATTTTGAAAGAATATGATAATTGAAAACTGGAGAAAAAAGAAAAATGCTTATCCAGCTCGAAAATGAATCTCCAGAAATAATAGTCAGAAGGTATACGTATAATATATCATTGGAAAGCAAGGAATTTTAGAAAAAATATAATATAAATGAAGTTTTAGAAGGTAACGGAGTGACAAAAAAAATATAAATAATAATTTCTGAAAACTAACATTTATTTAACGTAAATCACATGTTTCCAAGGATATTTAATAAAATTTTCTTACTAAACGTAAACTTTTAAATTTTTTTAAGTTTGAAAAAAGTATCTAAAATCCACCGAATCAAGACATTGACATTGTTTAAAATACTAATTCATTGTACTTGTGTGAAAGAAGAAGTGAAATATACTTCATAGATATGTTTATAATCTTAAATACATTTACTGTAGTTTAATAACTCTAGATCTTGTATTATATTTAAATAATTAGGTATCTATCAGTCGTTTATTCCGAAACATCATCAAGTAACCTTTTAGAAAATTACATTAGTGAATAATTTGATGAATTTTCTCTTTGTGAAATCCCAACATTATCCACTTACAATTATAGTGTGACACCTTTTGACCTATCTATGGCAGGCAATGAAAATCTTGTAACTTCATTTTAGTAAACGTACAATGAAAAATAACAGTTTGATAACTTATAATCCTACAATCCATAATCATTTATAGGCATCCAAAATCATACATGAGCTTTTCAGTTGACATAATGATTAACTCCAATTTAAACATTGTTTATTATTAATTTTAGTGATGTTTCCAGTGAGAAATTTACATCTTTATTCACAGTTCTATATTTCAACTCTGGAATCAACTTACTCACTGTCTGTATAGACATAACTTCTCCAACAAGAAATATCACTAAAATGATTTTACTGAAAACTGTTGAAATTAGAGTTTGTCATCTGAAAGGCTCAGAGACTGAAGTTATGTGGTTTACGGAAACAGATGAAGTAACTAGATTTTTATTGTCTACCATCGATATAATAAATAGTTTTTGTTATTTTAATGGTTTGTTATCTGTAAGCTTTAAGCTTTAGCTCTGTTTAAAATGCACTTCAAAAATTTTATAACAGCCCAACATTGCCAGAAAATAATTTCTATTCAAAGTAGAACTGTCAGTGAAAATTGTGTGTTGCACATGCCAGATTTTTGTTTAAAACAATTAATTACTATATGTTTTCACAGCCATCTAATGAATTATACTTGTTTTTTTACTTTCACCCACCATTCCTTTTAATGATTATATATTTTAATTATTTATTTAATTATAATAAATAATTAAGTGCCATTGGGGCTGTCACGTGGGTTTTCGATGTCCAGAGCGAGATTTTACCGGTCATCTCTTTCCTCTCTACTGTAATAGCTATTATCTCATGTTCAAATAGAGAAAGATGAATAGATTCTATAATAAGGCATGTTCTGGTGATAAACTGAATAGGACAGGTGAAAGAGAATCATCTGGTTTTAAATCTAAAAAAAAAAAGAAAGGTGTTCCTTTTTTACGATAATCAATTGAATTCTTAAAAAATCTCACCTACTAAAATTTAATATATAACAAGCAGCAGGGCTGGAACTAGAGAGGGACAAACGAGGACTAGTGTTTAGGGAGCAAAATATTTTTGAGGAGGAGCAATTGTCGGCTTATAATGTTAACACTCAGCCTCCCCTTTCTCTTCTCAGTTTTCTCGTAGCTCTTGTGCTTCATGCTCTCATCGTGTTCTTTACTTTTAATGCCCTGTTTTCTTTCATTTTTTTTCTTTCAATTCTTGTTATATTTTTCTTATCCAATGTTTAATTTTTTTTTATCAATTGCTATAATTTTTTTAATCTATTTTTCTTGTTATTTCCATGGAAGATTTAAAATTTTACTGCCAAAATTACAATAAATCATTTGTTAAAAAAAGAAAGTTGATCATATTGTATCTTATCTTCCATTTGTTTTTATTATTTCGTTTATGATCAACATATCGAGGTCCTTCCTCATCCTCAGGGTCATCAAAATTATAAAAATCTGGTGTGGTCATCACACAACTTTCACTTATCACTCTACTAACGATCGGAACTCCCTCACTCCTCGATTCCTTACCGACACTCCCTAATCTTTTCCTGAACAACTCACCTATCTCATTCCATACGTCCGTAAAAAATCTTGGTGTTACCTTTGATCAAACTCTCTCCTGGAAACCACACATCTTCCAAATTTCCTGTCGTACTATCTCTACCCTGAAACAGTTTAACCATCTCCACTATCTCCTTCCATATAAATCCCGACAACTCCTGGTTTCCTCCCATCTGTTCCCCCACTTCGACTATGGCTGTCTGGTGTATGGCGGACTCTCGGGAGAATACGAGGCCAAGCTTAAACGTCTCATGAAATGCGCAATACGTTATGTTTTCGGAATCTCAAGAGATACGTATATAACCCAGTATTACACCAAGTTGAAGTGGCTCTATCCATCCAACCGTCTGTACTTCCTTGCTACGTTTCTATACCAAGTCATCAGAACTCAGCGACCTTCCTATATTTTTCACAGCCTTCAATTTAAATATTCCATTCAATCCCGTTCCACTAGATCCCGTACTTCTAACCTCTATCCACAACCTCACCTCCTGCTGCGTTTGACAAATCCTTTATAATTCAAGCCGTTTCCATCTGGAATACCATCCCTCCCGATATCCGACATGCGCAATCAGTTTCCTCATTTAAATCTCTTCTTTTTAAGCACATACTTCTTTCCCAACCCGATTGATGATGAAAAGTAGATAAGAGAACTTTTTAAGTTCCATTTAAGAAATAGTTTTGTTTAATTATGTTATTTTATTTTCACATGTTTGTATTGTATACATCTGTATGTATTTAGTGTTTTTGTTTTATTTTTCTTCCAATATTTTTATATTAATGAGCATTGTAAATATTTAATTTAATTTTATGGCCACACAGGCATTTCCTCTGTATCTATAATTTGTCCTAAAGGGACAAAAGTCCCAGGATAATAAAAATCTATTTTCATTTTCATTACTATGAAAAGTAACTATTTGAAAAAATTCATTACATTTCAATCAAATTCCGTTCCCATAAGTTAGCAAACCTATTTCTACTTCAATGTCAAGGTAAGAAGTAGAATAAGCTGAGAAAGGTATAAGCTAACCAGACCCAATGATTGCTCCTCAAAAATGTTTTGCTCCCAAGACTAGTGGTCTTAATACCTTGCCACTAGTTGAGCTGCAACTGAAAACTATCTAATGCAGTATTAACTACAGATGCTGTAAACAATCACACCACTGAGTAGTTTTTAATTATGTGAAAAATATATTACTCAGAAACTGAAATCCCTGAGTATAAGTTTGGTTAAAATAGCGCAAAGTCACAGAAGAGGCACGCACTGTTTCACGGCAGAGGCCAGACAATCTGATAACTAGCTGTCTGCATGGCTGTTGATATGATATCCCCTGAAGTTGAAAGTCAATTTCTGAGGCTTCAACAATTGACCTGGTATCTATAGTTTTAGAGAGGCTATCCGAACTTCAAAGTTTACAAACTGACAATCAAAATCTGATAAATACATTCACTCAATTACTAACAGAATTTTATAATTCATGGCCAAAAGAACAAAAATTATTAAAATATAGTTAAATTACGAGAAAATCAAAAACTTGAACAACTCTCAGAAATGATTTATGAGTTATAACCTGTAGTTATTTTCACAGATTTGATAGTGACATATCAAAATGGTTCAGGTTAAATTTCAAAGAAAAAGTTATAATAAGAGTATCAGATAAGCTTAGTATTCACAATTTAACCACTCGATTTAAAATTGGTTTCACATTTTAAAGAACAGAGGGCCAAACACGGAAATGTTAATGCAAACAAATAATTTCCTATAAGTTATGCCATAGTTCAAATAGCATATGCATGATTTTACCACTCATGGTTTAACCGACCAACATTCGCAATACCATTTTAAACAATTATACTTACTCACACTGTTCCTTTGAACTGATAATACATTTTCGTGATCTATAAGTCCGCCTAATCTCCAATGAAAACGGAAGAAATTTTGACACAAATTAATAGAATGAGAAACAATTTTCATTTTTAAGAAAGAATTGCGACAATTTTATCGATCCATAACAATTTGGGAAACAGAATAATTATGCTAGTATAAACACAAATTACAATTTTAGGTGGGGTTGTATTGTTTTAGAAATACAACCAAATCTATTCTAACCCGTCTAAGTCAGATTCAAACTGGAATCACTAGACTTGTGAACTAAAACCAACACACATTAAAAGTTTTCAAAATTTTCAGTTTCACTAATTACCCTAGCATTATGGTAACTGAATACAAATTAACACAGCGACATAATACATGTCAACGATAGTTGTTGATGATCCCAGGATTTCACACCTTAAATCCCAAACAAACATGTTTCTATGATCAATGAATAAATGCACTTCATAAGTTAAATGTATGCTCTAACTTGCTTATGATAGAAATGGCCTTAACACAGACAATGTCAGCATTTGGATGAGGGATCTACTAACACATTTTTTAAGAAAATAGAAACCATGGAAGGGGTACTGCTTCTCTTATCTATCAAACATCTTTTATTTTATTTTTTCATAATTTGTCACCTCATGATTAGGCTAGGTCTTCTGTTGACTGTCAATAATTGCAATTGGTAAGTACAGATTAAATAATGAAAGTGAGAGGAACATGTCTTTAAAAAACAATATTTCATTTTTGATAAAAAAGAATTTATTCAGCAAACCAACTGAATGCTATTTCACTAATATATATTTATTTACTGGGCTACTTTCCAGATCAATTGCCTTTCCCTCTTTTTTAACTTTCATGCCAGTTTGTGGTCCAATGGGTAGTGTGCTACTAAATTAAAGAGAATAAATATAATAAAAGAGAGGCTATCCAAAAAATAAATACTTTATTATAACATATTCTCATATAAAGAACAATTACAATGACAAATAAACAGCTTAAAATTAGATGAAGAACAAATATAAAATAATCATTCTAATTACTTTAAATTACAAATATTAGTTTTAATTTTTATATATACAATATAAATATAATGGGAACTTAACAGTTATAAAATTTTATAAAATACACTTAGTTTCTATTTTCTTTTATTCACTGTCGAACATATGAGTATATAATACAATAAATGATTCATCTATGTTTAAAGTTATATTTTTTTTATATTTTATTAAAAATAAAAGTTAGGCATAGTTAACAACTGTTCTCGTCTTAAAACCAAAAATTAAACTATCTTAAAACTAAGAAAAGAAGTAAATATATTAAAATAACCAATTGAATCATAATTATAGGATATAAATAAGGGGGAGAAAATAAATTATTGATCTTTATCATTCATCATACAGCATAAAATATTAAACCATTTATAATATTAAATGATAAAGATAGTAAAACACACTAATAAACATATCATTTGACCAGTATCGGTGGATGTTCATGCATACAATAATACATGATTTAGACATTTTTTGTGCACACAATTAAATATAATTTATAATTTAGTATGGAAAATTGTGATCTTTTAACATAATTTGTACTACATGTAACAATAAATATATTTTCAAAAACCCTGAGAAATACAAAATTATTGTCTTTAAATAGTTAACTTATTAGAGATCCGAACTCAAGTCAAGATTTGACAAATGGAGACAAAACTGCTTTTGCTAAGAAACTGTTTTGCAGTGTAATGTTACAAGCTGAAGATCTCCTGCTTCTCAGTTCATTGTTTAACGTTCTCATTAGGGATGGAGTTTTCTTTCCAGGTGTCTCAGGAACTAAAATTAAACAATAATCATATCAAAATGTTTAGATTTGTAATATAATTCAAATAATGTCTCTCATGCTAATGGTGCCATCACAGATGTAATACTTAGCGTGAGTTTTAGTACTTGAACCTTTTTATTTATTTAAAGGTTTATTTTTTTCTTACTCCCAACCTCACCATTTCTGACATATGGGGTTTCTGAGAAGGAAGAGTTGTTCTAGAAGTAAAATATAACCAAAGTGGAAAGGTCGAGATTTGAGCAAATGTTCAACTGATTTTTAAGTTGTATTGTTCGAGAGAGGGGGAGGGAGGCGGCTGAGCGGGCTAACACATGTATACAGGACCATGGGTTGCCAAGCAACCTGATAATGAAGTTTAGAGAACAAAATAATTACGAGATTATGTCACACGGTGCCGGAGAGTTTTTAACTTTAGTATTGAACCCCTGCCATGGAATGCAGGCCTGCTGTGGGATATACGTTATCACCTTCAGGTTTCTAGCATCAGGAAGTAAACCTGCTCCGGAGGAGATGAAAGAGGAGGCGCCGAAAGCAGGTACATCAAAGGAGATGGAGAGCAAGGAATCTTCCTCTTCGGGAAGGAGTGCGTCGAGGCCGTCGGCTGGGGCAGGAGGCGGGGCTAAGCCAAAGGAACCAGTGAAAACTGGTTGCAGAGGCGAACCCCAGCCACTGTCGCGGTCAGGTGGCCAGACCTCTGTCTCGCGGCACCCATCTAACACTGGTGGTGGTTTGAAAGCGAGGCCGAGAGGCGGGGAGAAACCCAAAGACAAAGTGAAAACTGAGTCGGAGGGAAGAACCCTACCATCGGCCCCGTCTGGAAAACCACCTTCCAGAACATAAAAAAAAACAATTAAAATATATGAAACTGCTGCAGATCAATATCCACCACTGCATTGCGGCATGTGGAGTGTTGCAACAGTACATAAAAGGTAACGATATTGATATTATATTAATTCTTGAACCTTACTTATATGAAGGCAGGATCAAAGGACTAAATATGCAGGGGTATGGAATAATATCTGCACCCACATATCCTAGAGCCTGCCTACTTTTTAAAAACAAACTAAAACTGCTGCCTCTATGGCAATTTTGTTCTAGAGATCTTGCAGCAGCCAAATATACCCAACAAGGATATAACAAATCACTAATCATAGCGGCGGTTTACCTGCCATATGAACATCCAGAGCCTGAAGAAGGAATGGATGAACTACTAAAGAGTAAGGAGGAAATTGTTGCTGCCCTGGATGCTAATGCACACAACGAGATCTGGGGAAGCACAAACACCAACTCTAGAGGTGAGAAACTCTTAGAGACTATTATTAAATATGATCTTGATATTCTGAACAGGGGGAATAAGCCTACCTTTTGTAACAGAATTAGGACTGAGATCATAGACATAACACTAGCGACTCAATTGACTAGTGACCTTATAGATAACTGGCATGTCTCTGATGAAGAAACATGCTCGGATCACAGATATATCAGATTTGATATATCTGATAGAATACAACATGATGTGGAATATAGAGACCCTAAGCGAACAAACTGGGTGTCCTATAGTTCTAACTTGGAGGAGGCTGTCAAATGCTGCCCCAAAGTTATCCACAATACATGGCAATTGGAAATATTAAATACTTCAATTACTGATGCTATGACTAGAGCATATTTGGCCAGTAATGAAGCTAAAAAAACTACAACCAACAGGAAAGTGTCCTGGTGGAATGATAGTCTAACAAAGCAAAGAGCACTCATGAGGAGATTGTTTAATGCTTCTAAAAAATCTGGCAATTGGGATACATACAGGAAATCTCTTACTGAGTATCACAAATCTGTCAGGAAAGCCAAAAGACAAGCCTGGAAAAGGTTTTGTCTGGAGGTGGACAACATGCCGGCGGTATGTAAGGTAAACAAAATACTGTCAAAACAAACCAATTCAGGTATAATGGGAACACTCAAATATGACGATAAGCACACCACGAATGAGATAGAAACATTGAGTGTGGTAGCAAAAGCTCATTTCCCAAATTGTTTTACGACAGTAAATGAACTTCTTGACCCCAATACACAGGATCGTGGTACTGGCGCACGTATGTGGGGTCAGGCAAGAAGAGTGATAACAAACAGTAGACTTGAATGGGCAGTGAATTCGTTCTCTCCTTTCAAGTCTGCTGGAATGGATGAGATCTTTCCAGCACTGCTGCAGAAGGGTCTCCCAGAAATAAGGCCATACCTTCTGGAACTTCTAAGAGGTAGCCTAGCACTGGGATATCTACCATGTAAGTGGAGGATATCCAAAGTGCGATACATTCCTAAACCAGGAAAGGAATCTTATGAAGACCCAAGGCATTTAGGCCAATATGTCTGTCATCTTTCTTAATGAAGACATTGGAAAAGATACTGGACAGACATATTAGGGAACACATATTGGCTACTAGTCCAATACATTCAAAGCAATATGCCTACCAACCAGGAAAATCCTGTGAGGTGGCGCTTCACAACTTGGTAACAAGAATTGAGAAATCCTTAGAACAGAGTGAAATCATGATAGGCGTCTTCGTTGATATCGAGGGTGCCTTTGATAGAACTCCCTATAACATCATAAATGATGCGCTAAGGAAAAAAGATATAGACGCTATGACCTCCAGATGGATTGGGAGAATGCTGGAGGACAGAGTTCTAAAATCAGAAATAGGGCACAAGGAACTGTGGATTAAACCCTGTGGGGGATGTCCTCAGGGAGGTGTGCTCTCTCCATTACTGTGGTGTTTTGTGGCTGACTCATTATTGGAAGCCTTAAACACTGCAGGCATTTATGCTCAGGGATATGCTGACGATATTGCCATCCTCATAGGAGGGAGGCATCAGAGTGTCCTCTCTGATATCCTCAGTACAGTGTTCAATATTCTTAGGAATTGGTGCAGGATTAAAGGACTAAGCATCAACCCTAGGAAAATCAATGTGTGTATCTTCACCAAGAAGAAGAAGGTGGCTATTAAAATGCCGGAAATCAATGGTATCCAAGTGACACTGAGTAAGGAAGTAAAACACCTTGGAGTCACTTTGGACCATAAACTGACATGGACTAAACACGTTCAAAACGTGACAAGTAAAGCCCTCAAATGCCTATGGGCCTGTAAAAGAGCGATAGGAAAGAATTGGGGGCTAAAACCAAAAATGGTATACTGGCTGTACACAACAACAGTCAGACCTATCATACTTTACTCAGCTTTGCTATGGTGGCACAAAGCAAAGACTGTAGCCAATGTATCCTTATTAGGAAAGATCCAAAGGCTTGCTTGTATAATGATAACAGGCGCAATGAGCACGACACCGACGGCTGCTATGGAGGTGATGCTTGGCATGCCCCCGCTGCAGCTGGAGGTGGAGGCTCGGGCAACAATTACACTGTACAGGATAAGCAAGTCAACTTACTGCTCAACAGTCCCCTGTCAGGGAGGACACACAACACTGCTGAACAGGATTGGAAGTGAAAGAGTGCTAGCTATGCACTCTGACACTCTAATCCGAGAACATCAGGACCGGAAATATAAGGTTGAGATAGATAGCAGCAGAATTCATAAACCAAATAGTGGAATAAATTGCTACACAGATGGCTCTCTAACAGCCTTCGGCTCTGGAGCAGGCATCTATCGCAAAGATATAAAAGAAAAAATTTCTATACCACTTGGCAGGTATGCTTCAGTGTTTCAATCCGAGATACTGGCAATCTGCCATTGTGTACAAAACCTACTGCAAACCAATGTGACTGAGAAAAGGATCACCATCTTTACTGACAGTCAGGCAGCAATAGGTGCTCTTGACAATTATTATGCTTATTCAAAGGTCGTTAAGGAATGCAATAGAGCACTTAACGAGCTAACTGAGCACAACAGAGTTGCAGTGGAGTGGGTGCCAGGCCATTCTGGCATACCGGGCAACGAAATGGCTGATGAGCAAGCCAGGTTGGGCTCAGATACTATTCCTATAACTCCCGAGCCTGTCTGTGGAATCAGCCTTAGTACTGCCAAGGGCAGGATCAGGGAGATCTATGGGAACAAATTTAGGAATTACTGGACCGACAAGAAACAGAGACACTCGAAGCTGTTCCTTAAAGGCCCATGTAAAAAAAGGAGTGAACAGCTACTGAACATGGACAGAGCAGCTCTTAAAAAACTCACAGCGATCTACACAGGTCACTGTAAGCTAAATAATCATATGTTCAATCTCCGAGTAATGACGAATCCGATATGCAGATTCTGTCAGGAGGAGAATGAAACAGCTTTTCACATCATATGTAGATGTGACAAGTTTATAAGGCTGAGACTGGCGTTATTTGGGGAGGAACAGATGGATCTCCCCAGTAGATTTGAGTCGGTTAACCCAACCAGCCTACTGAGATACGCGGAAGCGACAGGACTAACGTTTTGAATAAGACGACCTAGCGAATATTGGCGCACAATGGACCCAAAGGGGTCGACGTGCTTAAAGCCAAAAAAAAAAAAAAAAAAAAAAAAAAAAAAAAAAAAAAACCCCTGCCATCATCCCCAAGCCCAGGAAAAACCGCCATGTAGTCTAAAAGGCGAGAACGAAGAGAACAAAAAAAAACTTTGGTTTGTTTGAATTACTCAGTAAGATGTCATAAATGTTTAGAAACAATTTGACTCAAAATACTGGAAAAATATTTATAATACTTGGAAGTATTCTCAAAAGTTTGTTAGTTCCATATCACATCATGTGTAAGTTCGTGACCGTATGTGTTGAATATATATTGTCACTATTTGAAAAACTGGAGACAAAAATAAAATAAAAAACTGACTGCTACTCATCATTAGGAAGTGTACTTAAACACCTTATATTTACTTAAACCCCTTGTAGGAATGTCTACTACCCTCAAATGAAAATCATGACTCTTTCAGATTTAGATATACATTGCATTATGAGACTTTCTTATTATTCTTTCCCACTTACACATTGCCTCTAAGGGTTGTTCTTAAGATACAACTGAACCTAATACAAACAGATTGGGAAGGTCACGATTCAATTTGGGAGTCCCCACAAAATAAATTTTAAACCGCCAAGGCCTGATTCAAACAGGTGACAATAAACTTGAGAATGCAACAGTGGGCAACACCTCATCTCGTTCTGTAGGTGAGACTTTTTTTTTGTTGATCACCTCATTTTCTGGCTTGCATAGAGGGAGGTTATTCTAAATGTACAACAAAACTTATTTTAAGTTGAGTTGGAAGGTTGATATTCATTCTGTGGGTCTGCCAGAAAATAAATTTTAACCCCCCTCTCACCCCACCTTCCCTGGCTGGATTCGAAACAGGGTATACACTTTAACATGCTAGGCCATCACCTCTCGATTCATGAGATTAAATCTATCTTTGAAGAAGAAGGTACCCGACTACTGCACGATTTTAAATATTTGTAGACGTCAATTTCCCTAACAATCTACTAAGTTAATATGGAAGTAAATTCTCTTAGGATGAGTGGGAGGGTTATTTCTTTGAATTTTATTCTATTTTTATTTTAATGTCTTCAATGTTTTTAAGTATTGACAATTTATATTCAACACACATGATCATGAACTTATTTTGATGTTATATGAAACCAGAGATGGTCAAATGCTACTCTGAGTAATGAGTACCAACTATTTTACACAAATTGAATCACTATTGGGAATTCAATCACTGCCTCAGTTAATCGTTTAACATCAATTGAAGTAGTACTTCAATTCTTTGGTACTCAAAAAAGGTCAGTGTTTGAGTAAAACACTTGGTACTCAGTACTCAGAGTAGCATTTACCTATCTCTGTATGAAACTAACAAAAATTTATAAATATTTCAAGCATAATACATTTTTTTTCTTACTGTGTTTTGAGCTCAAGCCATTTTAAAACGTTTGCGACGTCTCAATGAATTCAAACCATTTAACTTAAAAATCAACTGAGCACTTGGTTCGCTCTTAAGCAAGCACTGCTGCTTCGAATCCAGCCTGAATTGGTTAATATTTATTTCTTGTGGAACTCACAGAATGAATCTCAACCTTCCCACTGTGGTTAGGGTTTGGTTTGGTTTTAATTCTATAACTCTCCTGTATACCAGAAATGGCAAGACAGAGGGTAAAAAAATAATAATTAAATAAATTTAAGTTCTGAAGCTCATATTAGGTATCACCTGCCCCTTTGGTTCGAAATATTGTGATTACCTGATAAAGTAGTATTTTTAAATTCTTCATTGCAGGCTTCCTCTCCTTTTTTCTTTCCTAAACATGGGACATAAGTGTTAATAGAAAACAAGGTAAAAACAACCTATAAAATCATCTTAAAATGATAGGACAAATCACAATTACTCAAAAATTCTTTGAATTTTGAAGATGCAGATGCTGCTGCTTTTTTTGTATTAACTCTTTTCTTAGTTTTATTTACTCTTTTCTGTTTTTCCAAAGGGCACCATCCATTCTCAGCTAAACTGGCAAGATTTTCATACTTCTTATTTAATTGTTCCACCTGCAACATTTGAATCAAATTTAGAAATTTATAAATACAATAGTACACACTTTTTAGTAGTATTACAATACACACTCCATCAGTTACTTCTTTTAATCTACATATTAATAGTGTTGATCCCATTGAATGGTTTTGTTTATTTAATTAGATTACAAGTAAGCTCAAATGTTTTTCAGTTTAGTTTTAACTACAAACCAGGATAAAAGCTACAGTAATTGTTGAAGTTGAAGCAACTACTGTCATCATCAGAAAAAAAATTAAAAATTGTGACATTATATGAAGTGGGAAAATCTTCACGTCGAAGAAGTTAAGATTCCATCAATGAACTATGCTCAAAATTTTTAAAAGAACTTTTTCTTAGGGCACCACAATACAAAATAAAAGTACTGAGAAGAGAAAATAAAATAATGAATGCACAGTTTAACAGTGCTATTGCCGTTAGATCACTTCAAAACTACCATGGAAATACCCAAAGATCTAGCAGACAGTAAGTAATCAGAACAAAAAACAAAAAAAAAAATGTGTGTGGAGAAACTGTCACTCATTGATAAAGAGAAAACGGTTCATGGACAAAAACAAAGAATCACGACTAAATTTGTCGAAATAAAACAAAAACTAGACATCAGAAGACTGACAAAAAGTAACATTTTCAGATGAACTTCAAATTCAATACGTGCTGTTGTGATGGTACTCCCTACACAAGACATATGAAAGATTTAATGAAAACTGCACACCAAAACTAGCGAAGCATTCAACAAGTGTTATGATCTGGGGATGTTTTTTATAATTTTGAATCAGCGAAATAAATTTTATGGATGGTACTGTTAATACCGACAAATATATAAAAATTTGATTCCTTTAAAGAAATACTATCTGTTGCATTGTTAGATTTAATTTATTGATAAAACTATCGATCTTGCTACTCGTAATTCTTGTGTAATTTTTTCCCTTCATGATTGTTTTTTTTGTACAGATAATTTAGTTTGTGATCAATTAACAAGATCTTAAACTTACTTTCTTAAATCGATATTAAACTAAATGGTCATGAAACAGCCCTGATTTAAACTTGAGGAAACAATTAAAAATGTGTAGAATCGTGAGATCAGTGCTGAAACCATAAGGCAATTGATTGAATCAATACCAAGTAATAATGCTTCACTAAAAAAGGTATGCAAAAAAGTGGTTCCACACAATATTAAATAGAGAAAATGTCAACAAAAAGTACTCACATATTTGTATTTTCCTTGTGCAGATATTAATTTCTTCTATTATAAAAAAATGTATAATTATACATTTTTTAAATTTTCTGTTATAGATTTTCTTAAGGTTCTTTGCATTTCAATTATATTAATTTTTTGTTTACACATTTGTTACAAACATGCATTGTTATTCATTTTATGAAAAATAAAATTTTTACTGAAGGAATTTCTTTCTATGACAACTACATGTATGTAATACACGCACGCGCGCACACACACACACACAAACATACATTATTCATTTTACAAAAGGAGAAGAAAAACCATACATTCACACAAAAAAACAAAAAAACAATTAACTAGTGAAAGGCTTATATTTCCATAAATAGAATATATGGCAATAATAATAACCACAGGGGCAAGGAGAAGGCAAGAATTCTCCTTCTCCAATCTAGAAATTGAGACAATTACATCATGAACCCCTTTCAAAAAACAATAGAATAATTTTTTCACAACTCCTGTATATTTCTTTACATAAGAATGGTATTTCATTCAATATGTTTCTGATTCAGTTGCTCTATTAATAGGCTAAAATGACTACTTATGTATCTTTTTTTTTTCAACAAGTGGCAGAGATCTCTCTTAGTTAGCCCTCCGAATTACCTGGCCCAACGGCCGCAAGGGAAATAAACAAATCGGTTTAAGTTGTAATAAGTAATTAAACAAATAATATTATTATGAAATACAACTAAAATATTTATTTAACTAAAATATGATAAACAATATACCTCAAGGTACATCATTTCCCAAAAGCCAAGTAAATCATCATCTTTTATAACTACCACAGATTCTTTGTGTTCTGAAAGTGCATTGTCAATCAATGTTCTAAACTGTTGAAATTTATCAGAAAGAAGGAGTCTTGTTTGGCCAACGACAGCTAATATTTCATCTTTCACATGCTCAGGAATACTATTACAATCTTCTGCATGACGTTTTGACCAGGTATCCGCTGTGCTATTCAGTCTTGATGTCTCTTCTTCTAATTTAGCTCTGTAAAAAGACGATAGTTTTACTACTTCCAACAATTACATTAATTAATTTTAATAATAGTTTGATACAGATAATAACCAAATTTTGATAATTCCTTAACATATTCATAAATGAAGTAGCCACATATAAGTTTAAAAAACAGCTGAAGCTGAGTAGTGGTTACTACTATTAAATTATCTTATTTAAGGATTCTCCATGGAGTCAAATAGTAATATCAATTTATAAAATCTTTGCCTAACCTAATGTTATATAAGTTCTAATTTTAAAAACAATGGCTATCTCTTGTTATTGTTCATTATTGATGTTAATAAAAAATTCTCACTCACTGCTTTATTTCTCACTTTTTGTTTTTTCCTAACTCGTCATATTCCTTTTTTCTATGCCTCTTGTAAATTATTTAGTTAAACTACTATAGGAAAGAATAGGGAGTATGCAGCTGTTGAAAACATATTTGTTCTATTCTATTTGAAATTTTTCCTTTAAAAATATGTTTAGAACTCCAGTAATTTCAATGTAGAGGTGCAGCTTTGCAGTTTTATTTTTAATGGTATGAGTTGGCTCAGGTATACTGCTTTATCAACACAATTCAATCTCTTCTTCCGATACATAAATTATTTTTGAATCTATTTGACATAATTTTGGTTTTCTTCAGCACCTACGACTAAGGTGATGAGAGATTTAAGATTAACCCAACATCATGATTTCTTCATTTTAAATATTATAGCATTATTCCCTGTCAGAATCATATCATCAAAAAATTTTAAGGTATTAATTTTTCTGTTCATCTTAAATTACTTAAATGCCATTTATATAAATAAAAAAAACAAATCTGGTGTACAAAACAAAACAGATTAATTGACTTGGACTTTGGAATGCAAAGAAAATGAGGTGGGCCAGACTGGATATTCTGGATGGAACTAATAATAGGAAAATAAGTATTCCTGCATTCTGGTGTGAGTTTAGTGGAACATGAGAAACACAAGAAGAGTTGGCATCATTGAAATTCTAATATCTTAAAATGTTCCGAAATAATGAAAAATAGTATCTTCTTTTCACTTTCTGTAAAATTATTTCCTCTTTCTTATTTTCCACCTTCTTAACAACAAATAAAACAATATAATCACTGTAACACCTCGGCGAGTTCTTGAAACATCAAACTTCACAATTTTCTTTATATGGTCAATGACATGGTAGAGTTATTTTAATAAATTTTAAATTACAATTGAAAAATAGTAAAACTGATTAAAATATATTACAATAAATTAGATTGAAGTTGTAAATGTTATACTATTTTACGTATATATATATATATATATATATATATATATATATATATATATATATATATATATATATTTGGATATTATCATATTAAATTTCCTCAAATATACGACAGTTTTTGCATTGATTAAAGAAGATACATGCATAGCAGTACATGCCACAAATGTTCTTTATTTAAACTCGACATGTTTACCACACAAAAAAAGTATGAGGCCAACCACAAATCATTTAAACATCGATGGCATTTTGAAAGGTGCTGTGTAAAAGGTTAGACTGTGAACCAATCCTTGTTTCCACAGTCATCTCTTAGAAAAATTAAGAGCTATTAATACCACATCTGGTATACTTTTAAGTAATGGGCAAATGAAATTTTCTTCTTTTTCTTTATTTAAATTAATTTCCTCCTTTTCTGAGGGATTTGATCATTTTTTGGTATTGGCTAAGAATATAATCTTTGTTATTATTCTTTATTTATTATTATTATTTAATTCTTTTAGGATTAAGACGTTTTGCCGAATTATTAAGATTTTGTTTTTAGGAGTTAACATTTTTCTTACTATTCTTTATTTGCTGTAAATATTTATCAAGTAATATTTATTAAAATATCAAAGAAAGCCTGCCAACTGTTCTACATATCATTAGTGTATAAATATACATGAGGATCAGGACGCAATTAATTTTTAAGTGATTTTTTTTAGTACTTTAACAAAAAAATAAAAATTGATTCCGTCCTATCTATCACCTATAATTCATTAAAGACAATGTTGAATAACATAGTTGTCATTCATAAGGAACAATTTCCAAGAATAATCTTATTTTTCTATTCTATTCTAAAATGATGTGTCCATTTTTGGATTTTATAAACTATTGACAAAGATATCGCACAGTGAGGAAAAAAAATCACAAAATAAAATTTCGTTATAATCAATTTTTAAAAAATTAAAATTTATGAATGTACATAACAATAACATACCTTAAAGCTTCAGGTCCGATATTACCAGATTCATCTACAGATTTCTTTTGAGTTTCTATATTTTCACTTCTCTTTTTTTCTACTCTGACATTTTCTGTTTTTATGCCAGACGGCATCAAGTCTCCTTAAAAATCAAAATAAAATAATGAAAGAGTCAATGAATTAAGTTAATTTCAAATTCCAAATTATTACTGTGAGCTGCTGATTAGACTAAGTGAAGAATAAATCAAAACACTAAATCTTTTCGTTTTTTTTTTCCTGTTTAATGATTAAAAATGTTACTTCTTAATTCAAGAAATCATTAATGTACTTTAAAAACTGTTATATTGATATTTCAAGTTTTAAAGAAGTTGTGGCCAACATATGTAATGTATGAAATAATGAATAAATGTATACATTATTACATTTTAATTTTATATTCTTTTTCTTTTAATTATATGGAATGTAAACAGCTTGCTTACAAATTTCTTGTGCAACTGTGCTAGCATCAGTTGTACCCATTTCCAGTGACTGTTCATAATCGGGTAAAGCTGTAATCTGATACAAGAGCTTAGTGCTTATAAAATCCCTCTCACACCATTAATTTTAAAGTTTTAAGTTTAAAGTTTGAACCAAGTTGTTACATGTGAGCATTCATCTGCTTAAGATAACTAATAATATAATTATAGTTATTAGTCTAATAATACAATTAAGGTAGCTGTTGAAATAAGCTGTTTTCTCTTTGTTTCTTATAGTTTCTAGGTATATTGTAATTAGAAATATTATATCTTTTATTTGAATCTTTTTCATCAATTATAGGATTTCTTGGAAGGCATAGGGAAGTGGCGGTCACATCGCCCAGCCATTGTGCCGCAGATAGCCAATGGCCCTCAAGGTTGGAGGAACAGTACAGTGACACACATGCAGTACACTAACAACAGCACACTACACTCACCCTAACACTACAGACCAAGGTTATTCACAGCACACACCCTAGGATCAATTTCCCCAGGTATCCGCTCCGGAGGAGGGTGCAAGTCAGGAGGCAGCACCTTCACCTGACTCGGGGGCAGTAACCCATAATAATGGGCTGGTAACCCATTCTCCTAAAATTTCTCTTATCACGATTACATCACAAATGAAAAAGCGGACTGATAAACTTTGCAAAAAATTTAATGGACAGAATCAGACCAATTGATTAGGGAATGGGTTCAGGATTAAAAAGAAATGGAAAGGAAGTATCCTGAGATATAAAAACATTAGTAACAGAATGAGTTATCTAAGGATTAAAGGACGATTTTGCAACATATCCCTGATTTCAGTACACGCCAAAGATAATTTTTATGATGCGTTGGAAAGAATTTATGATAGTCTGCCAAGATACGATGAGACAAACTGGTCTTAGGAGATTTAAATGCGAAGGTGGGATTCCAGAAAGAATTCAAACCAACAGTAGTTAGACAGACACAGTAGGCACCAAGAATCCAACGAGAATGGTTGAAGACTTGTTGATTTCGCCATTGAAAGAGAACTATTGATAAGCACCGCACATTTCCCTCACAAGAACAAATGTAAGGAAACAAAGCAAGGAGATAGAGGCCAGAATAGCATCAAGAAATCGTTGCTTTTTTGCAGTACAAAAAGTTTTGAAGTTCAAAGATCTTTCTAGGTCAATTACAATACAAGACAATTATTCATCCAACAGTCACCTATAGCAGTGAGACATCGGTTCTGACAAAGGAAATGGAGAAACGACTATTCATCTGGGAAAGAAAGATGCTAAGAAAAATATATGGTTCAGTCTACTCTAATGGAGAGTGGAAAATTAGAAAAAACAAAGATTTAAGAGTATTGTATGATCAGCCAGACATGTGGAGCGTATGAAGGAGGATCGTCTTCCAGGGAAGCTACTTTTTGAAAAGCTGGGTGGTGCCCGAAAGCGTGGACGTCCCAGAATGAGACGGCTGGACGATGTTGAGGCAGATCTACGCAAGCTTGGAGTTGGAGGATGGAGAGCGGTTGCTGCCGATAGACCAGCCTGGGGTGCCATCTGTGATTAGGAAGGGCCTCACCCTTCAAGGGCAGTAGTGCCGAATATTATTATTATAGGATTTCTTGTTTGATTCAAATTTAAGCTTTTATTAGTTTTTACTTTTGCATTAACTTACACTTGTAACTGGAACTAATATAATAATTTAATGGTTTTATAGACTTACAGGAGTTTTATTAAACTTAAATAGGAGCATTTATCTTCTTTAAGAATTATCCTAATATACGAGCATTATCTTTTTTGATTCATCTTAGATAATTAATACTATCAATAGCTTGCGATCCTAAACTTATTTTTTTATGCTTCTTGAACCTCTTGCATTGTAAGGCAATCTGTAATCCAATCTTCCAGGCAGTGGCATGTTGGGCAGTGACTGCTCTTAGCTAGATCCATTATATAGAAACTTATTTGTTCTACCACGGTTTATCTGAGCCTGGTCAACTTCACTAATGTAGGATGATCAAGGTGAAATTTAATTGTAGCAAACCATGGAGTCAAGGCCATTTTCAGATTAACTGCATTGTGGTCCATAGGCACATTCCTAGTCATAAATATGCTACCATTTCTTCATTGTCTTTCTCATTTTTATTTTTTATTATTATTTTTTTTTTTTTACACCCCTTGACTTTTTGACTCATGGTGGAATGAATCTTCTAGCAGTTTTGGAAATGTTATAGGCAACAGCTGTGATCGTTAGGTTCTCTTGACGATATCCAGGGATCACGTGGTTTTGCAACAACCCACCAGTTGCTGGGAGAGCTAGAAAATGGAGGGTTCCCTGCCACGACCTAAGTAGACGACCTGGCAGTCGTCGTGGCCGAGGATAGCAGAGCCAGACTGAAGACACGAGCAGAGAGATATGCCAGTCTCGATTTGGCGTGGTGTGTGAGACAAAACTGTACAGCTGCCGCCACGACACAGGCCATACTCATGAGAGGCTCCACGGACAGTGCTCATCCTATCAACCTTGACATACAGGGAGAGAGAGTGAGAGTGGGTGAAGAAGTTACATACCTCAGAGTGAGGCTAAGAAGGAGATTCGACGTCATCCCTCACCTAGAGTACTTAAGGGTTAAAGTGACCCTGTCAATAAATGGGCTAAGCAGGATAGAGCATTAGGGCTCTAAGCAACGATGACCATTTATAAAGGTGTGGTCTTAGGCATTTTGAGGTATGCATCACCTGCATGGAGCAGAAACCTCACACAGCAGCAGAAGAGGAGATTGGCTACCATTCAGCGTTTGGCTCTGCTGAGGGTCACGAAGACGTATAGAACGGTGTCACATGAGGCAGTGCACGTGTTGGCCAGAGCGATGGCCCTGGACCTCATCCTCAAAGAGGATGCATTGAAGTACGATGTAAAGAAGCAGGGGCTAGAGGCGCTTCCGGGGAGACTCCAGCGAAAGGTCAGCGAGAACCCCAACCAGTGGACGAGGATCTTCAGGGAGGACTTCACTGAAGAATGGAATGGGCGATGGGTTGCTTGCCAGAAGGGCAGAACTTTGAGAAAGTTCTTCCCCACCAACCACTCGAGTTTAAAAGCTAATTGGGTATTTCCCCAACTACTGGGTCAGGGTGGCTACCAAATTGTCAGAGTAAAATATCCTGACTTTTCCCTATTTAATAAAATAAATTAATAGTTATAAATATTATATATATATATATATATATATATATATATATATATATATATATATAATTTATAACTATTTAATTTATCAAACATGATTGAAAATTGAAAGATTAGAGTAAAATAAAAGTCTGTTCAGTCTTTTAAAAAACAAATATAATATTCAAGAGGAACCATATTTTAAACTTGATTAGGATTTTTTTTAATTTTAGAAAACTAAACTTTAAGTAATTTATTTTTATCGCCAACTTACTAATACTTTAAGCACTTTCTTTTCATAAAGTGAGAGTATGTAAAAGTTGATACTTGACGCTTCTATCTATTATAAAATAAACTGAACTACAGGCAAATCTTATATGAATGTAGTTTCACATAGGCAATTTAGTTTTTTTATCGCCACAAACAGAATAATAATTATCCATACGATGCCAACTGTGAGGCAAGAAGTAGTTTAGTCAATGAATGATTACAGAAGGAAATGGCAGAGACATAATTTTTGACTTTGGTAGATTGTTTGGACTAGTGACATTGTCTGCTTCGTACTAGCAAGGAGAATTAAATGGTTGGATCATGTAGCACAGATGAATGAATCGAGAATGCAAAAAAGAATTCTGCTTGGAAAGATGTATAGTAGCAGAAGGACTGGACGACCTCGGAGACGTTTCATTCAGAATGTGGAAAACCTTGGTAAAAGGAACTGAGGTGAGACCGTTGTGCAGAGAGGACTGTTGCAATGTTGTCAAGGAAGCCAAGGCCCACCCAGGGCTGTAGAGCTACATAGTAAGTAAGTGTGCTAACGGATGGTTGGCTTTAAAATTTGGAATTTTTCATTTATAACATAATCTTTTATGTCTCCTTTCTAGCTACTTGCTTATTTTATTAATGTTGTTTGTGGAATGGCTGTGTATCCACTGAATTTTGGCCATAATGGATGTTAGGTACATCTTCAAGCTTTTTATTTTGAATTTATTAATTTGTTTGTTTATTTAATTTAGCACATTTTATATAAATTTATTTTAGTTATGTGTATATACTTTTTTCTTTCCTGCTAATCAGCTGTTCAACGTAATCTTAATTAGCTGTCCCTCAGTATGTATTTGGCTAGCTGTGTGACGTGTCGACAGAAATTTTTTTTTTCCTGTTCATTTATTTTTTTTTCTTTCTGCATATATGTGATCTTATTTTTTCTGTTCTGATAATGCCTGAATGGGTGAAACATTGGCAGGTTAACTTTTCACTTGTTTGAGACTCGTGGCTTTAAAATTTATAATATATTCATTTAAAACAATTAATTGCAATGTTTTTTCCACCTAATGAATCAGTTAAATTTTTGTCTCTTTTCATTTTCTTTTATGACTGTACCTAATAATAGGGAGGTAAATTCAATCGTTTGGAAAAATTCTAAATTTTCTAAAGATCCTAAACATTTCACATAAAATTCTTTATTGAAAGTTATGGATAAGTGAAATATAACAGTTAAACTAACAATATGAAAGCCCTATAGAGGGTAGTATTTGGATATCTGGAAACGGAGGGGTGTCAGCAATTGTTGAAACCTCTCACATTTTTCCTTAGGTTTTAGTTCCCATTCCTTTTAACAATTTTATTCATTGATTATTTTTACCATGTCCTGGGCATGACATTAAACTACATCCTGAGAGGATATAGCTATAGAGAAGGATATCGGTCTAGGAGAAGACGACTCCTAAATATACCAAGAGTAGGTATAACAGGTGTATCCTGAAGATAAATAACCCGATCCTCCAGATAGAGAGTTGAGTGTGGGGCCAACGACGCCTCCTCAGAAAAAGTATATTGTTCAGAAAACTGAATTGAAAGGAAAGCCAGATGTTTCTAATAGTAAAAGTCCTAAGCTTCCTCTATGAATTAGACTAAAATGTAAACAATCTGAGGTTTCATACTAACTTAAAAAGAAGTTCATGGCATGGATACCAAATATAGAAACGTAGTTGGTAGTTTCATTCATGCATTATTACAATTTTCCATCTTCATAACATTTCTTTTCATCTTGTTATTTTTCTTTTTTTATTAGGAAGCATACGTTCATAATTTTTTCATATTTAAGGCAATAATACTTCCAATTTTCTTCAAATTCTTTTAGTTACATTTGTTATATCTAACGTTTTGGGAGTATTTTCTCATCATCAGAGCGATCTATCTTAATCATCACTTTCTTTTTTTGATGTGGCACCATTTCTCAAAAAATCAAATATTTGTCACATTTTTTAAAAATATTTTTTGGTGTTACATATACAGCTTTTCATATTCATTGATACACTAATCAACATCTGGCTATTGAATTGTTGATTAGTAAAACAGATATTGATTAGTGTATCAATGGATATGAAAAGATGAGTAACACCAAAAAATACTTTTAAAAAATGTGACAAATATTTGATTTTTTGACAAATGGTGCCACATCAAAAAAAAAAAGTGAAGATTAAGATAGATTGCTCTGATGATGGGAAAATAGTCCCGAAACATTAGAGATAACAAATGTAATTAAAAGAATTTGAAGAAAATTGGAAGTATTATTGCCTTAAATATGTAAACAAAAATTTTTTTTGTATATCCATTTATTTAATATTATTTTGTTACATACAATGGGAAACAACAGTTTCATTAGAAATATAAAATTATCCAGAAGGATTGTTTGTTTGATGTGGGCCAAGATTGCAATAACTTCTTTGCAATGAAATGATTCTAAATTTATAGAATTATCTCAATTTTTGTTATATTTTGATAAATCTTAACTTCATATTTGTGATGTACAAGCATTGAGAATTCTGCAGACAGTAAGGAAAAAAAAATTTACAAGTGTATTAAGTGCATAGATTTAATACCTGTACTTGGACGAGGGCGCCTTCGTGTAGATCGTGTTAATACATCACTGGTAATAACAGGGCTCATAATGAAGACACGTTCTGCAAGTTTATCCGCTAAAAGATTGTTTACTTCTTCTTCAATTTTGAATTCCTTTGAATTTGACTAAAACAATTTTTTTTTTAATACTCTTTGATTTTTTTTAGGAAGTTTATATATTACTAAACCATTGAGCAACTGAGAGCTTTCATACTTTCTTAATTTTAATTTTTGTATAAATTTGACAATTTGTGAATTTACCCCGTCATCATAACATTTTTCTTAAATAGCTCACTGTTGCCTAAATCGTCTAACATATATTAAAGTAATTATGCTGTAACATAATTTTTTTTTCTAAATAAATTGATTATTAGCCCTACTGACATCCGTTTTTAAAAAATGAAAATAAAAAAATTATGGAAAGAAGTTCTTGGTTCTCAATGGTTAAAGTTTTTTTGTTTTTTTTAAGGCAACAACAATAAATGGTAAAAAGATTGTAAATATTCTGCCTTTACTCCTCAGACTTCCCAATTCCAATTCGACACCGGGCAAGAGAGGACATTAGGCTGCATCAGCACATAGGAATAGAGCCAGGGCCCAAAAATTGACCTCATTGCAGGCGAAGGTTTGACTGTAAATTACGAAAGGTTATCTTACTTTTAAGTAAAATAAAGTCTGTCTGCCGTTCCAGAGCCGCTGCTTTAAAGAATATTAGGCCAGTAACTCGAGACCTAATATTAGTATCTTATCGAGACATAATATTGCAGGTTGTCTTCAGGGCTACAAAAGATACAAAACATGTTGAAAATAAAAAATAACTTATATTTAACGTCTACTTATATTTATTTTTTATTTTCAACATGTTTTGTATCTTTTGTAGCCCTGAAGACGACCTGCAAGGTGGATCGAAACGTCGGCAAAAATTAAAATAATTAATATATTTTAATTTATTATTTATTTTACCGCACCCCCGACTAACTCCTTCTCATAGAAAAAATAATATATATATTCTTAAAGAAAATTTAATTATTAAAAACTTTCTTCCCCATGATTTAATCGTAGAATGTTATCATGAGTAAGCTAGCCAAAAACAGAGTACAAAGATGAGGTAAAATGTTTTTTCCTTCTCTAAATTAATGATAGTTGAGGACGGATATTTTGAAAAATAAGCAAGGTAACGAAAAAAAGGAAATGTAAAAAGCAAATTTTATCAGTTTTAATTTTGTATTTAACGTCTTTGTTGATGGGATGAATATTTTTCCAGATATAAGCGAAAACCTGAAAAAAGTGACCTTCTAGATGCCCCTCCCCTCCACATCTGGCTCACAACCTAGGAGTGGGGACTATTAGTATCTTTACCTCCTCACTAGCCCAAACAATGTCCTAAATTCAAAAGTTGTGTCCCTGCCATTTCCTTGTATACCCCCTTTTTGAGCGTGCATTGACTGGACGACTGGTAATTTGAACCCAAAAAAAAAAAAAAAAAAAAGCATTTCCATTGAAAACTTTGTTTTGAGATTTTTCATGCTTATTATTTATTATATATCATATGTAGCTAAGTGAAAGTAATAGTTTCAGCCATTACGGCTATACATCTAAAATACTTACATTCTTAGACTTGATCTCTTTTCCTTTCTTAACAACAGAAACTGTTGTTCTAGAAATCAAATCAGATTTAGATTTCATGACTTCATTCTTCTGTTTTTGTATACTATCAACAACTGACACAGCAACCTAAACAAAAAAATAAAAAAAATATCAAAAAGCAATCTACTTAAGTCTAATCAAACATAAATTAAATTCAAGCAGAAATTACTATATCTGAAAAAAATAAAAAATATATATATATATAAATCGCACTAAAATCTCTGAAGCATATTATTGGTCTCAGTGTAAAACTACATACTGGTACAAAACATTTGAATTTAGAGTAATTATATGATTTTCCTGTTTTATGCACAATAATTAGTTGTAATTTTTTTCTATTTAATCTTCTAGTAGGCCTTTATTCATAACATCAGCAGGTCGGCTGAGCATGAAGTGTGCCATGCCTTTTTGGTAGTGATTAATTTCTGTTCTAAATTCAGTATTTTATTCATTAATATGTATTTATACAAATTATAATTGTATTTATTTATTTTGAATTACTATTACTTATTTTTTTTACTTAATTATATAGTAGGGAAACAATTGTGTTTATTTTTTGTATACCAATATGAAGCTGGATCAATATAATTATGAATATTCAATCAAACAAATATATATATCACTTATATAGTAATTTACCATAAATTTATGATGTCTTTGATCATTTATTTATTTACTTATTTATTCTATTTGAAATTGTTAGCATTGTCTTGTCTTTCTGTCTATAGTTGTGGATATATGTGTGAGCATTCAAATTTTTTTTTTTTGTATCTCTATATCATGCAATGTTGATGATTCAGTGTAGTTTATTGTGCTTGGTGTAGTTATTGGTTTATATTTTATAAGACTGTTATTATAATGAGGAAGGAAAGATATAAATATATATATGTAGTGTGTAAAGCAACCCGTATGTAGTAGGACTGCACTACTTTCAATAAAGTATTTCTCTCTACATATATTTTATTTAATTAATTTGAAAGGTTATATATAACGATAAAAAAAAAATTGGATTTTAAAATAAAATAAGTTAACTATAATAAAATGGCAAAGTAAAAATCAAAAATATTAACAGAAACAAATTAATCACACATTATAATCAGATCCCTCTTGCTGATGACAAAAAATGTACACATACTCAATTACAAGATAGACTTAGACATTTGAAACATCTTTTTTTTGTTGAGATCCTTTCTTATTTTTTTCTGATGGAATTTTTTTTTATGAAACATGGATTTGATGACAAGTGTGGTACTTGTGATCTTTTCCTCATAACTTCAATGTTAAGGTTTTCAAGAAAATACAACAAACGTTAGGAGAAGCGTCAGTTATTGAAGGAGTATAAAATTTGGGAAATTATTCCAGCAGTATTCAACATATGGCAGAAAATTATCATAGGATAGGCCACCTTCTTGTGATTCTTGAAACCAAGCAGGGCGCTGTCATTTTATTCACCGTGACAACTCATAATGGTTATAGTTAATCATCATAAGCGGTTTCCCAGTTTCGACGTCGATATCAGTGGTATCGTGCATTGTCAAGAATAGAATGACAGATAGGTTCAATTAGTTAATGTGACTCCAAGGTTTTATCTTTTTGGAATCTTAACTTAACAACTCTAACAAGCTGTTTTTTTGGGAGGTTTGTGCCAAAAATTTGGCCAGAATCTCCCTTTTATATACCTACATATTGAAATTTCCATAATGAGAATGACTCCAAAATAAACAGCTATTTAAAAATTCAATTCAACAAACACCAAAAATATCTAAGAAAAACTATGACACTAAAACTATAAAACATGTGGGCACACAATGTACAGAGTGTGCCACAACCGTTTTCCAATCCATTTGAAAAAAAAACAACAGGATTATGAGGGTCAGAGAAAGGGAGGAAGATAGTAGGACAATTTAAGTTAGATAAACAAATACATGTAATTACCATGTCATCTGGACACTAAAAAGTTTGCAAAACTGGTACATTCAGCGCACCTGATGGAAGGTTAATATAATATGAATTGCTAGTACTTACTATTTAACAAAACGTACCTCGATATGATGCAAATTTGTTTTAATAAGTAGCGATTCGATAAACGAGTTGTAAACATGTGGTTCTGACAAAGGAGATATACTTAAAAAATACAAAACACAAAGCTTGCCTACAACTGGATAGTAGCCTAATGGGGAATTAAAAATTAAAGAAAAACAAGCTATTAATATTATTTTTATTCAACATATCTCTGTTAGCTTCAATGCATTTTTCCCACGCCCAAGAAGATTATCTCTTATTCAAAGAAAGTTTTTGGTGTAGGATAAATAAATATGAGAATTTAAAACTTTATCTAATTTCCTTGTTGGTCTATCCTTAAAATACACCTCACACTTGTCTATAACTCGATAGAAAAAAAATCTGATGAAAAGCGTGCATTGCACAACTTTTACTTACCATTATATTAAGAAGAATTAATGGCAGAAAACATCTGGGCTAGAGTCACAGAGTGCATGGTTCACAACTTAATGGGTTCATTTTAATGATCGTATGAAACTATTGTTTTTAATATTTGAAGTGTTCCAAGTAATTTGTATTACTATTATCATTTCATAATTTTGGCACTGAGCTCCAAATGCTCAAGGTCCAAGGTTGAAATCCCGGCTCATAGTAGAAACATTATTTGTTGTTTCATTGGCCCTAGGGTCAGGAGAACCTCCTGAGGCACTCCCAGCCTCCTTAAAGTGGGTACTCTTTATTAAAAAATTAATTAAGGGTGAAAAACCTGATGATTGAGCGTGATCTCGGTCAAATCATCTCCTTGCACAACCGTTGAAAAAGAAACTGTATTCCCTAAATAGAACTGTAGTTGTAGTGGTACAGGTTTTTTTTTTTTAATGTGAAAGACCATGTATTTTAATTCTTCATTCCAGAATAATTCATGTCAAAGCAAGCTTTTATGAAATGGCTAGTAGAAAGAAAAAGATTTTTAACTTATCACATTACAGTAATGTGCTTTGCATTTCTCCGGAAGAAGTGTCATCTGGGGTGGAGAATAAACTACGCTTAATAACATTGTAATTAGTATAAATAAAATTTTCAATAGTCCTTAGTTTTCTTAAAAGAAAATTTAAATTTTAAGAAGTGTTGAAGGGTGAAGAACCGACCCTTAAAATTAGTTTGAAAATCCCCAAACAAATATTATGATTCCATTCCACAAAGTGAATCAAAATTACATGATGCTCCTAAGAAAATTTTGATTTTTTTAAGAAATTCACATTCAAATTGAGAATATTGTCCAAAAAATAGCCAAGAAGTTCATTTCAAGATCAACCATGCTAAAAAATTAGAATTAATTTCATAGATTATTTAAATTTAAATTTTTATACTAAACAAAATGTATACAATAAATGGGTCCGTTTCATCCAAATCAACCTCATCTCGATTTTCATCTAATTAAAACTGTCTCCCATGTTCTTATGTCTTTTCTATAACAGTTTTTACAAACTACACAACATGGAATTCTATACTGACAAATTCAAAATTTTTGAAAAGTTAAAAATTATATTTAAATGGTAAAAATGGAGTAATATATTTTCTAGGTTTTAGGATTTTCAAAAAAATCAAATAATTTCACACATGTAATATAATTTCTTTATAATTTCTTTCTAAAAACAAAAATTAATTTACTGGGTACTGAACAGGAGCAGCAAGTCAACTCTCACCTGATGAGAGCCATACTTAGCTTACATAAAAAACAAAGACCTGTGGTAAGTACCAGTAATAACTTATCCATGGGTTTTCAGAGCACTGAAGGAATAAGATAGGGCTGAAGCCTTAGTCCGCTACTGTTTATGATGATTCTCAACATGGCCCTGAAGAAAGCTAGGAAAGATTTATTGACTGGGCCACAGAGAAAAGTCCAGTTTACCTCATTGGCTAACTCATGCGGATGTAGTCATACTGGGGAAAACTAGAAGAAATCTTTAACTCAATCTCCGAATCCTACAGGAAAAATCTGGTGGGGTGCCTGTATCATACAACTTTAACTTCCAACCCTACTTTGAGTAGAAATAGGAAAAAATAAAAATTGTAGACGGTATAATATATTAATTTAAAACAACTAATTACTATACATTTTTCCCATGCGTCTAATCCATTAAATTTATTCATTTTTCTTTACTGCCCACCTCCTTCTTACAATTATATTTTTAGTTTCACATGAACAAACATTATGAAACAAACAGAGTAAGTGAAAAGTATTGTGATCGTGAAAATTTTCATATCTGAATTTTTAACAGAAATACACGTCTTAAGGTCCCCTGAGTCCAAATAAATCTCGCAAAATGATTAAGTGTATATGTGAAGAGATTAGCTCAAAAATGAAAAGTTGTATGAAACTGAAGTTGCGGATTCAAGGTTTGTATACGCCTGGGATGTCAAAGCAACTTTTTCACAAAAATCGGCAAAACTAAGACTAGATAAATTTAATAGATTAGAAGAGTGGGAGTAACTTATGATAATTATTTTAAATAATATGTAAACACACACCATTTTGGAGGACTTTGTTATTTAGACTCGGATTCAAAATTTTTCACGATCCTAATGCTTTCCCTTACTATATAGTTAAGTGAAAGTAAAAACTGCAGATAAAATGAGAATTGGAAACAGGAAAATCAAATACTTAAACTAAAGGTGAAATAATTAAACTAAAAGAAAATGGCTTGATTGATTGGGAGATCAGAGAAATGGAAATTGGCTGGCAAATGCTGAAATAATTTATTTATTTTTTCACCATATATTTATTCATTCAACAACAAGCACCTACATGGCAACTGAAAAAAAAAAAAGGGAGGCAAATACTTTAATTTTCTCACAAAGCTGGCTTTTTAGGAAAGAAAAAGTTTACATTCTTTTAAATGATAAACTTTTTACTTTTCAGAAGAACAAAATCAATAAACACGGTAAATTGAAAATCCATCCATAACAATTGGCTTTCTGGATATAAATCTAAAAGTACCCTACTATATTAAGGATCATTCCATGCCAAATCTCATAAGGCATCTATTTATCTTCCCGTACACATATTTTAAGGAAAATTTTTTATCTATTAAGTAAATTTGTCAAATGTTAACCCAATTCTAATGAGTAGTTTTAGAATTTGGAGAATGACTAACAACTTCTAAGATATTTCAAGTTTGAAAGACCATTTGAGCTCAAAACTGGCTTGTATTTGTATGGGCTTTCCCACATAATATAATTATTTATTGGACTGAAGCTTTCAAAATATTTACATTTAAACAAGGATCATGCGATACCAATAAGTATTAGCATTATGATTTTTCATCATGGATAAAATTATTCTTAAATATAAAAATGGCTCAAATTATTCGGTGAGATCCCGAGTGTTTTGAAACAATTAAAGCTCAAAACACTGAAAAACCATTTTAAATAATGTGTTTAATTAATCTAAAAAAATTAGGCAAGGAATTTTTGAGCAAAAGCCAGGACTGATTTTTAAGATCGATGACTCAAATTATTAAGTCATATCCCATCATATTTTGAAGCGATTTGGGCTCAAAACACTGACAAATTATTGTATAAAATCCAATACAATAAATTATTGTGTTTAATCAATCCACTTAAAGAAATCTTGTGAATGTTTTGAAACAATTCTATATTATATTTTCAACATTAACACATATTAAACAATTCTATAAATAGTATTTGTGGGCTTTTCAGTTTAAAGAAATTAAAGGAAGTTGGAACTTTCATCGACCAAGTCACTGGAAAAAACTGTGTGCAATGGAACCAGGAGAATAGTTAAAAGAATAATTATAAAGAATAATTTACAGACAATTTCATGCTCTTTTCAGTAATAAATGGTTGTACTACAAATTTTAGCTATAGATATTTTTCTCTGGCTGTATCAATTAAAAAATTATAATTTTAATGACTAAGAATTATTTTATTCATAATGATAAATTATAATGCTAATACTTGTTGGGGTATCACTCACCTGATTCTCTACCAAATGTAGGACAGATGAATATATTTTGAATGCTTTGAGCTCAATTTTTTTTTTAAACTTCTAATATCCCAAAAGTTCAAATGACCAAATTCTGAAACTATTCATTTAGTAGGGCATTTCTTATTTGTGTATTTATTTAATATACATTAATTTAATTTAAAATCTGAAGGGGTAGGTGTCAAATTTAACTTTGGCTAATTTACAATTTAAATTTGACTACTTACAACAGGAGATAAAGATGTAGGGTCACAGATTGCAACGAAACTTATTTTTTTAATAAAAATATATAATAAAGAAAAATTAAAAATTTTTGTCTCAAAATTTCTGCCTAGGCCTTACATTTTTTTTCCCCACAAATCTAAAAAATTGTGATAACTTCAATATAGCTCCACTTATCTACACGAAAATTAGCACGAGTTTAAGGCCCTGTAATATACACAAAATGTCACAAACCAGATGTGCTCAAATAAACTAGGCTTGGAGATAAAAAATAAAAACGTTTGAGTTTTTATTATTTATTTATATTTTGTAAGCCTAAAATCTTAAAGTTACTGATATGGTTTTGAAGAGAAATAATTTAACTTTCCACAGTTGTATTAACATTGACTAAGGAAAAAATCCTGAGCAATATTTTAGTAAATGGCATGAAAAAAAAAAAAAATCCTTCCATAAAATTGAGCCCAAAAATTGATAGTTTTGGTTACAAAACAAACTCGTATTTAAGAGTTTGAGTGGACGCTAAAAACAAATCTGAATCGTTTTTTCCATGACAGAAATTTACTTTGTTTACTTTACTGGAAGCATTTTTGGGTTATTGTAATTAATTATAAATTAGAAGTCATTTAATTTGATTAGCAATGTGTTTTTCTTATTTTACACAAAAACACAAATCAGTTGATATATAATGAATGACCTAGAAATCCATGCAGAGCAAGGCCAGAAAACATTAATATAAACAAATAAGAAAATTTCATAATTTTTTTTCTTTGACTCCTAGGGCGCATTGCAAGAACCCTCGAACTAATATTTTTCGACCTAGTATCGCCAAAAAAAATCTCATTGAAATTGGTGACTTCCACATTCTTAACCTGCTCTTGTTAGTATGGAATTTCCTTTATTATTTTTGTTTTATATTTCCTCATAAAACTACACAAATAAAAACAAAGACATTATTAATACAAATTAAATAAAAAAATTCAGTCTTTTTTAATAAAAAGGCAAAAATAAGTTTACATAGGCTGAATAAAAACTTCCTACACATTTGTATTCCATTATACCTATTTTACCTTAATTAGATTAAGATATTTTAAATTAAACATAGATTACATTAGTTATGTCTGTTTTGATCTCTCTTTGTCTTCTTGGTCTAGTAGTTATTGTTTTTGCTGGAATTTCTTTTTGCCTCGTTGACCTACTTGTAGTTGTAGGAACAATAACTGGCTTGCGTTTCACCACAGGGGGAGCATCCTTAACCAATGGCGCTCTCCCAACTGCTGCTTTTGTTGTAATTTTTAACTAAAACATAATTAGAATATATATTATTTGATATTTTAATTTTTTCAAAGGAAGAATTATAATAGTTATAGGTATAAATAATGGAAAACATAACTACAAAACAGAAAATATAAATATTATAAAATGCAATATATTCTAAACTTGACAAATAAAACCAATAGGGAATTCATCGCCAATAATCACCATAATTTAAAACTAGGAATGTATAATTGTAATAAATCGGATTTTATTACAAATTTTCATTATATATACCTAGAATAAAAAATCTCTTTTCCATATCTCCACCCTTTATTTTGTGTATATTGATACATTTGCTCATTTATCTTATTTATATGATTACAACTTTTTATTCTCTTATAACATCGTCAGTATGTTTTGATAAATTTTACAGTATCTCAATTTTCTATTTACATCTATTATTTCCTTATATAACTTCATATTCCTTTTTTCTGTTTTACATTTTATTCTATGATTATCTTACTTCCTTTTAGCATACTATTACATCATGTTTTAGCAACTGTGTCACCCCATTTATTTTTTGTCTACACTTACATTTTTTGTCTCATGCATTCCACTACTTTTTGTAGTAAATTTATTTTTCATTTCTCACCATGTTATCTTATTTTGATTATATTTGTTTCATTAGTCCCTACTTTGTTGCCGTTATTATTTATTTCTTAGTTCCCTGTTACTATTATTATTATTATTCTATCTACTTATTTTACTTTAAGTTCATTCTACCTACTTTATTTTAGTTTAAGTTTATTCTATCTACAATTTGTAGTCTATACCTTTCACCTACATATCCATTTTTTTTTTTTAAGTTTACTTTTTATTATTCAATGTTTATAGTTTCTCCTATATGTACCTATTGTTGTCTGTTTTTTTCTTAGCCCTGATGAAGGCCTAAATTTTGGAACGAGACATCGGCAAAAATAAAAACAAAATTACTTATTTATTTTAACTATATTATTTTTTTTTTTTCTAACCATTCTTCTCTTCAACTAGAATAAAAACATAATAAATCCTAAATTATAGAGTACAGGTTATCATGTTCTATGTATGGAGGATGGCTGGTGTACGATTTAGAATATATTTAAAAATAGACTTGGACTAATAAAGAAAAAATTTAATAGCTGCAGGTACTCATGGATGGCAGCGCGGTTAAATGAGTGACCGACCAGCTGACCTGATGCTCAGATAAAGTTTTCATGTGACACTCCGGTTAGGTTGTAATAAAGCCTAATGGATTCCTAACTTTCGGGCAAGAATGTACACCAGGGATCAAACAGATAGCTGACACATATACAGAGAAGAGTCAAAAAACAACTTCAGGCAAAATGACTGAACTGAGCTGGAAAAAAATTCCAAAAATAGTGACAAAAACACCAATTTAAAGAAAAGAGAAATTTAGGGAAAATTCATCCTCATACATAAATTTCCTAATGTAATATAAAAAAATCTGGTGCGCTCAACACACAACTTTCACTTACCGCTCAACTTTGAATAAAAATTATTTTCTGGCAATGTTGGCCTATAATAAAATTTTGAATTGCATTTTTAACTAAGCTTAAGCTAAAAGTTTCAGCTAATAAATCATAAATACCATTAAAATAACAAAAGTCCCATTTATTACATCACTGGTTGATTATGGATTGCAAGATCCGTTGATTATGAATTATACTACTATTAGTTATTAAACTATTTGTTATTTTCCATTGCAAAGTTTACTAAAACAGAATAAAGAGATTGGCATTATCTGTCATAGACAGGTCAAAAGTTATCACACTAATTGTAAGTGGATACTGTTGGAATATCACGTAAGGAAATTTCATCAAACTATATTCACTAATTTAATTTTCTAAAAGGTCGCATGACGACTTTTCAGAATAAACGGACGATAGATACCTAAATATTTAAATATAATATCAGATCTAGAGTTATTAAACTACAGTAAATATATTTAAGGTTATAAATGTATCTATGAATATTTTTCACACAAGTACAATAAAATAGCAGTGGATACTGTTGGAAATCACAAAAGGAAGCTTCATCACATTATTCACTAATTTAATTTTCTAAAAAGTCACATGACAGTATTTCGGAATAAACTATTTAATTAAAAGGCAACATTTCGACCCGACTTTGCAGAACTTCTTCAGGACTAGAACGGACAAGATACAAAAAGATATAGAGAATTGTGGAAGTTAAATCATATTTAAATACAAAATTATAACCAATATGAATAAGCTTATTAAAATTATAAACATTAAAATATTAAGAACAATAAGTTGTATCAACAGAGTAAGCTAAGTAACAAGATCCTAAACTGAAGTAAATAGATCCTAACAATTGTTGAGTATAATAAAATATAATATGTGCAATTGTGAATATATTCCTACAGATCCACAGAAGAGATTAGAAGAAAAGGAAAAAGGATATAATATGAAATAATGGACATAAAAGGATGTGAAAAAAGAGAAGAAAAACAAAAAATAAGTAAATAAAAATAGTAGAATAAAAATAGAGACTTACAGGTGTGTTGAGCAAGGAGTTTCACTTAGAGCTGGAAAACCAGGGTAAGGGTAAGTATTGGGGAAATTTTTTGACCTGGTTGGGTGGTAATGGCGAGGGGAGGGGAAGTAGAAAAAGTAAAAAAAAACTGGAAAATTACAGTATCTAAAATTTGAAGATATAGATGGATACAAGAGAAAATACTATATCTATGAAACAATAAATTATAAATATATACATATACATTTAAAATTATAGATAGGAGTACAATGTGAATAAAAACGAAAATTACTGAAATAAAACCTGCAAAGAAGTAAAATATAAATATAGAAATAAGAGACCATACATTGCAGAACTAATTTGGAAGTATAGAGAGGAAACAAATATGAATAATTATAATTATACTTTGGTTGTACATACGTAAGAAAATTACATTTAAATATTAGATAATGGTTAATGGTTAAAGACATAATGGTTAAAAAGTAAAATGAATACAAAGTAAAAATGGATGATCGTACATTAATGTAGAATGTAAATATAAAATTAAAATAAAAGAGAGAAACAAAGCAGAAATACTTAAAATAATGAATTATTAAATTGAATTGATCATTAAAAATTGAAAATAGATAAAATGAGGAGAAGAATAGTTGGGGTGATCAGTCAAATAAGAAGGCAAAATAAATGATAATATTTATTTTGTCATTTTAACCACTATTATGAAAATAGATAAAAATAATAAGATATAATGAATAAGTTATTTTTCATTTATAAGATTTAAAATGTGCCTATATGTTAAAGAAATGCAGTTTTTATCTACTTTATGATTAACAGGATTCTGTTCCATGTGGATGTGGATGGATTCGGAAATGAGTCTTTTTTTCATGGTTAGGAATCATGGCAAAAATAGAGGTTTTTCAAAATCAAATGAATTATTAAGGGTTAATGCATGTTCTGATAACTTGGAGGCGGAAGATTTCCGGGAAGTTTTGGATGTTTTATGAAGGGAAATTCGGGTTTTTAAATCTCTAATCTCTCCTGTCGATCTGTAGGAATATATTCACAATTGCATATATTATATTTTATTATACTGCAACAATTGTTACCATCTATTTACTTCAGTTTAGGATCTTGTTACTTAGCTTACTCTGTTGATACAACTTATTGTTTTTAATATTTTATTTAAATTTGATTTTAACTTCCACAATTCTCTAATCTTTTTGTATCTAGTCCGTTCTAGCCCTGAAGAAGAACTGTAAAGTCTCGTCAAAACATTGGCTTTTAATAAAATAGTTTTGCCACTATTTAGTCTACCTATGATCACCATCCCGGACCATCTCCTTCCTTAATAATGTAACGGTCAACTATTAAATATTATTACTTTTCAAAAATTATTATTTATAATTTTTTTTTGCCACTCTCCGTTACCTTCTACAAGCTTCTATAATACTAGATATTGTTTTTTCTAAAATTCTCAACTATCCAACGATATATTATACATATACCTTCTGACTAATATTTCCGGAGATTCATTTTCGACCTGGATAAGCATTTTATTTTTTTCTCCTATATTCAATTATCAGATTCTTTCAAAAGTTATATTCAGCATTTTTTCATAACTTTTAATAATGTGAGATGATTAATTATTTAAAATAAACCACATTAAACATACTTGTTTGTTTATTTAGGCTTTAAGGCGTAAAACCCTAGGGTCATCAACAACATTAAACATGCTTTAGAGGGAGCCGTATATGAACATTGGGCATTTAAGCCCTGTAAAGTTACATCAATGTGGATAAAACCTGATTGATATTAAAGACCACTTAATTATACAATGGTACATTGAGTTCAATCAAAATTGTTAGTTTTTTAAAAAATTACAAAAACGTGTTTTAGCGTTGATATAAAGTGGCACTTTCGGTCAGCCGATTTTAAGGAAAAAGTTATTGTCACATCTAAGGCATATACCTACCTTAAATACATAATATCAGTTTCGTAAGACTTTTCATTTTTGAGCTAGACTGCTAACATACACACACACAGACCATCTTGTGGGACCTGGGTATTTGGACTCAGAGTACCTCAAAATGTGTATTATCGTTGAAAACTCAAATTCGAAAATTTTCACCATCACAATACTTTCCTTTACAATATACTACATATATAGGTTAAGTGAAAGTAAAAATTAAAAATTTACATTTAGTAAGAAAATTTCATTTAATTTCCTTGGAAACATGAGTTACGTTAAATAATGTTAGTTTTCTGAAATTATTATTTATATTTTTTTAGACACTCTCCATTACCTTCTACAACTCTATTTATTTGATAATGTTTTTTCTAAAATTCTTTGCTTTCCAACGATATACTATACGTAAACCTTTTGACTGTTATTTCCGGAGATTCATTTTCAATCTGGATCAGCATTTTTCCTTTTTACTCCAGTTTCCAATTATATTCTTTTGGCCATTTTTTAAAGTTACTTTCAATAAATAGAGTTAATTTTTTTTTTTTAATAAACTATATTAAAGGTACTTTAGAGGATAATGATAAGACATAAATGATTTTTGGGCATTTAAGCCCGGTAAAGTGACATCAATGGGGATAAGACCTAATTGTTATTAATGACCACTTAAATATACAATGATACACTGAGTTTAATCAAACTCGTTAGAGCCGATTTCGAGAAAATTGTAAAAATGTGTTTCACCGTTGATATAAAATGGTACTCCTGATTTTAAGAAAAAGTTGCTGTCACATTTAAGGCATATACCTACCTTAAATACGTAATATCAGTTTTGTACAACCTTTTGTTTTTGAGCTGGACTGTTTAGACAGACAGACACACACGCACGCGGGACTTGGTTATTTGGACTCAGGGGACCTTAAAATGTTTATTTCACTTGAAAACTCAGATTCGAAAATTTTCACGATCGCAATACTTTCCCTTACTATATATTACATATATAGGTAAGTGAAAGTAATAAGACAACCCTCTTCCAATTCAGAATCCACTAAAAGAAAGAATATTACTTGATTATCCAAAACTCCCAGAGTGAACATAAAAAGAATAAAAATAAGCCTCATAAAATTTTCTTTAGAAAAAAATACAACTTACATTATTCTTAGCTGGCTGCTGATTTTCTTTGTTGTTTCTCTTTGATCTTATAACAGTTGATTTTATGGGTAATACATCCTTTTCCTTAGAACCATTTTGATCTATGCTGTTCAGTGTTGCTTTGAACACAAACTATAGAGAAAAATTAAAAATATTAATTTTATCATTATTCTAACTGTGGTTACAATTAACAGATATCAATTAGTTCTGCAACAGCAGTGGTATGGGAATTCTTAAATCTAAAAAGCATTTGTTTTCTTGTTTTTAAATTCTAGTTATTGGAATATTACCAACTTTCACAATATTAGAATTAAATCAAAATAATAAAATATGAATAATATTTATTTCAAAGAAAAAGGCTACAGTTAATTAACGACTGCAGTTTCTAAAGTTTCAATTAATAAAAGAAGAATTATCAAGATATCATTTTTTATAATTTTCTTTAAAAAATAATACAGACTAAGCAAACATTAAGTTTGATAAAACTAAAAAAAAAGTGATCATGGAATATGCTGATTATGATAATAAAATGAAAAATTTGTTGGACAATGATCTAATATATAAGAAAATTCGACAAGAACCTAAGAATGTATATAAAACCATTGATAAATTAATAAAAAATAAAATTAATTAACCCCAACTATATCACACTAAGGATACATGGGATTGTTAAGTTACACAAAAGTCGTGCTGAGGCTCATTATTAGTAATATTAATGGAGTCACTGAGAGATTTGCAAAACAGTTCATCCCACACTCAACAAAATAAAATCTGACAATAATTACGATGTTAAAAACTCAATGGAGGTCAAAATAACCAGATAAAAAAAAATTAAAAAATTGGAGAACAAATATTGCTTGGTTAGTTTTGATCTTGATGTGGAGAATATATTCACAAACATCAACATGAATGAGGTAATAAAAATAGTAGAATGGAATCGAGATAAAATATAACTATACACCAAAATAATAAATCTTAAGTTGTACATAAAATGTGTTAAAACTATGTAGTGAGAACAATTTCTTCATACATAAACAAAATTGTATAAAATGATCAGTGGCCTCCCAATGGGATCATCCATGAGCATGAATCTGGCAGACTTAATAATGAATCAGGTTTTAGATAGAGCAAAGAATGAATAAATATATGTCCACTCTATCCTAACGTCTAACCAGGGAAAACCAAGCATGGCTGGAACAGCGTGGAATCGAGAATGTTGACGAATTCGTATATCTTGGTTCATTGATAAATGCACGAAACAACATTGATTGTGAAATAGACAGGAGGATTGCAGTGGCTAATCGATGCTATTTATACCTCCAGACACATCTTCGCAGTAGAATGTTGTCAAGACAGGCCAAAATAAGAATATTAAACTCTTATTAGACCAGTGCTCACATATGGCTGTGAGAGTTGGACCTTAACTAAGGAGTTGAGAAATCCCTGCTCAGATTTGAAAGGAGGATTATACAACGCATAATTGGAGGGGTCCAGGAAACACCACAGAATTGGAGGAGGAGAACAAATTTAGAAATAAATACATTATTTAATGACCTGGATATGACCCAATTCATTGTACTGGGAAGACTACGCTGGGCGAGACATGTCGCGCTGATGGATATGAATGCACCCCCACAGAGAGCTATGAATGAGCCTGTGTTTGGAAACAGACGAGTGGGAAGACCATGTTTGCGCTGGCAAGACTGTGTGGCTGCTGATGCATGTAGACTACTTGGTATCAGAAATTGGAAGGCTGCAGCAACTAACCGGGTGAACTGGAGATCCATGCTGGAGCAGGCCAAGTCACGAATAATTGGGATGTAGTGTCATTTCATAATAAAGAATGAATACAAAAAAGATATACCAATGGTTGTTAAATACATAGATGATGTATTGATGGTAATAAAAAAAATGACATTACAGATTTTCTGAATATCCTAAAATAGTATATCAAATTTAAATTTACAAATGAAATAGAAGAAAATGATGTGATAAGATTTTTGGATAAAAACATACAAAAGGCAAAACCAGGATATTGACTACAGAATTAACAAAGAAGGATACTAGTAATAAATTATTGAATGTTCACAGCAGCCATCCTTCTTATCAAATCAGAAATGTAGCCAAGAATTTAATAGACTGAGCGATAGAACTAACCAGTAAAAACCACATAAATAAAGTGAATGTATTGTTCATAGAATATTAATTCAAAATCGGTATACTGGAAAAATGATAAATGATTTATGGATAAAAGGGACATATAAGAAACATGAAGTATATGTCCACAGTCATCAACATCAAAATGAAAACCTTACAAACATAGGAAATAAACAAAACCAGAAAGAATACAAATTTAATAATAGTACAAATACTCTAACTGCCCATTTGTCGATTCAATAAAGTACAGCGAATCATCATCCACCAACAGGGTTGAAAACAGTGAAAAAAATATTAGTAAATATCGACAGATAAACTCAAAATTTTATTTCTTAACACAAATTATTAGTCTCACAGATAGAATAACTAACACTTTCAAAAAAAAAAAGATCTATCAGATTTAAAGTTCAGCAGAAAACGAACAAACAAAATTCAGAACATTTACACTAATAATAAAGATAAAATAAACAAAAATGATAAAACAGACATCATATACAAAATAAATTGTAAAAACTGTCAAAATAGTACCGATGAAAATAAGAAAAACACATGTTACATAGAGCAAACCAAACCAAACTTAAAAAACAGAATTAATCAACATGAAAGTAATTGTAATTCCAAAATTAAAAAATATAACACTTGCATAGGATTTTCAAAACACAGCACCCAACAGAAACACACATTTTTTAATTCTATAATACTGAAAGTGTAAGCAGGGAAAAAACAGCTATAAATGTAAGGTATTGGAATCTATTTATATTACTAAAAATCTAGACACAGTGTGTCATTTTCAGGCAGACAAAAAAGGGTTAAATAGTACATATGCAAATAATATCACCAAATTATAATTTTAATTAAATAATATCTTTAATAGTTCAGATAATAGTAAATAGTAAAAATAACAATATATTAATATGTAACCTCCAAACCAAACAATCCCATAGAGATTATAATCCAATTATGGACTGAACAGAAGGAGCATTATTAACTAAGTAAGAACATTAAAATTCAGTAGGAATCAATTTCTAATTAACCTTACATTAATATATGTAAATTCAGTTATAGAATATTTTTATAAACAATGTTTTATTTTAATTAATTGAATTGTGAATGAACTTAATGACTTGACCCCATTAGAGTTATAATTTATATAATGTTGCTTTTTAAGAGAGAGAGAGAGAGAGAGACTAGCATCACTATCATATTATGTTAAATGTGGTTTTGTACGAAACTGCTTGTGTATGGGTCTTATAGATGGCTTCAAAATGGCATCAGCCAAAAAGTAGCCCAAGTGGAAGAAAAATGAAAATAAATTTGAAAAATGCAGCCTTACTTTATGTATTTAAACATGATTTCAGCTAAAACATAAACATAAATAAAAATAAATTATATTTATTGTACTATGACTGGAATCCCCAACAGTCTTCACTTCAACAATAACTTCCAACAGCCAACAATTATCCACCACCGTGGTAGTTGATATTACTTTTGGTATTGTAATCTAAAATAGATTAGACTGATCACGAGATATAAGAGGAAAGGTGAATGGCAAAAATGGAGGTTGATCTAAAATGTTAAAAACAACTAAAAATTTTGCGTTATTTCATACTTGTTTTTGTCCCATTTGAAATTAAGTTTGGTACTGACATAAAAAAAAAAAAACACTTTTCTCATTCTGTGATGCGCCGAATTTTGAGCAGATAAAATCCTGAATTCATATTTAAAAATTAAAAAATCGAGTTTTGTTTCATACCTAATCGTTTTAGTTTCAGTTTGAATCTAAGTTTGGTACTGACACAAAAAAAAAAAAAAAACACTGTCATGTTATGCGTGTGTTGTGTCTAGCGTTGCACAGATAAAATCCTGAATTCAAGTTCAAAAATCCAAAATTTGAGTTATTTCCTACCTATTCTTACTCATTTCTTTAGATGCTGCTTATCAGTCAATATAGACAACTGTAGCATCATTATATAAATAGGCAAACACAATACGGTTCAGTCCCTTTTTCTCCTCTATTATTCAACCGATTTTCTTCCTTCTTTTTTTGTTTAATAGCTATCGATGAGCTTTAGTGTTATCAATAAATAAAAATATGAAATAGTTTGTAAATAAAAATATAAATGGTAGTTTGTTCAAAACAGCTTATCTCCGAAAGTTCTTCACCGATCTCTTTGAAATTTTGACACAACGTCACAAAAATATTTAGAAGTGTTTTTTGTATACGTTTCAAAATCAGGCCTTTCCTTTCAAAATGGTGCCCGAAAAAAGTGATTCATTTTAATCTGTAGCGCCCAATATGGCTTTAATGATATTAATGAAACTTGACTGAAGTCTTCACCCTTGAAACATTTATAATTTATGTATATAACATACTTTCCCAGAAACGACTGCATACAAATGAAAGAATTCATAGCGGCCATAGGAGTAAAGTGGGTTCAAAAAATTTTTAAGGGGTAACAAAGTTGAGATGTATTTCACACCTCGATAAACCCTCAATTACCAATTTTCAATGAAATCGAAAAATAAAAATGTTTTGCATCAAATTTTCAAGGCAGAGGCCTTAATTGTTTTCTTCTAAAATTCACAAAAGTTGTCATATCTTCGATATGGCTCAAGTTATCCAAACGAAAATTTGCATGCATTTAGGGCCCTGTAATAATAATGATTTTAATGAAACTGAGACTAAAATCTTCCCCTTGAAACATTTATAATTTATGTATATAACATACTTATCCGAAAACAAGCTGCATACATTTTTATGATGAATTCAGTATTTTCATTACAAATAACTCAAAAACACACACTTTTTTTATTGATAATACCAATATTTATTTGGAAGCTTCCTGAATTCTCTACAAAATAAAATAAAAAATCGAAATCGAACTATTTTAAACATTTAGTATTTTTTTCTTTTGCAAAGTCGATTTCCTTTATTTTAGTTTTTGATAAATCGAAAACTTTAAATTTAATGAAGT